CCTGCTTTGTACATACTGTGATTGACCCATGGTATTTTGGAGAGGTCATGGGCCTTGGTGACTTGGTTTTTGAAAGGACAGGCTCCACTGACAAAATATGCGGCCGTTTAAATGGGCGGACGGACAAAGGATCTTTTATGGATCTTATAAGGCCCCGATGGGTCAAGTGCAGATCATTGTAACAGCAAACTCACACGTACCCAGTAACGTAAAGTTAACATAGGCACAGGCAGGTACAGGTAGCGAAAGGTAGTCCTATAGGCAAAGTTAACTAACATAAATGAAGTCAAATCAAATCGGCGCATCTTTCAAATGAACCACCACGCAAAAGCGCCCCCTATCGAAAGTGCACCCACGGGTTGTTTTTTCGGAGACTCACGAGAGGTATTCCTTCTCCAAATATAACAAGGAGCGGCAACAAATACAACCAAAACACTCCTACTCATTAAATCGCCACGTAGGGGGTTGAAGTGGTGAGGCACAAAGAGATTACCTGTGTTGAAGTAAACCTAATGAATAAGAATGTTGTTAGAACGCTGATCCAATGGCTAAACATTGGGATGTCTATTCATAGACCACGTTCTTGTCTTTGCCGGTATTTACAATTTATTGACTAGCCAGAAAACTTCATGAATAGGTATTATGAATTGTTGGTAAACATTTGTGGTGTTCTCATGGCTTAGAAAGTTGTTCTTTTATTACAGAGTGGGGAAAAGTGCAAGTGGTATTCAGCAAAGCACGCTTTGTGTACAAGTCATTAACATTCATGTAAAAACACGTCTCGCAGGTGGGACAGGTTGGCAATCCGTGTGACGAGACCAACACTTGCAGGGGACGCCAAATTAGACATGCCCCACATGTTTGGCCGTGAAGCTTAAGCCCTGATTGGCACACATCCAGAACTTTCCCCCGACCAACAGCCAACCTCCAGCCAACCATGGCCGAACCTCCTGTCCACACCCGCATGTTAAACATTTTATAACGTTTGACTGGCGCAGCCGAACAGTAGCCGACTTCCTCGAACACAAGCCAACCACAGCTGACTTTGCAACCGACCTACTCCTAGACATGGTTGGGGGAATTCGACAAACCATGGCTGAAACTTCCATTATCAAAAAAAAGTGTTGCTATGGCAGCTAATTGATGCAAACCTTTCTATACTTTACTCTTTGTTAACAAGGGAAGTATTTGCTCGTAAATGTTTTCAGAAAAAGCACGGTGCGGCAACTTGAGCTGTCAACATTACTTAAAATGTTAGCTTCACGCCAAGACTGTTTCATTTCACATGAAACGTCCGTAGGATTTGCTCTCATATCCCGGCGTAAGTTGTACTTGAATTGGAGACAGTCATAGGCGTTCTCTTACACAGAGACCATTTAGCCGTCCCCACTGTACAGTCTGGTGCTTTGATCGCGCTACTTAAAGTTGTTGGTGTGAAATGGTGACCCAGTGTAAGTAAGCATATATGTACTATGCGGACTGTCATAGACGTTCTTCTGAGACCATTTAACGCACAGAAAGGCACAGTCTGGCGCTTCTGGTTCTGGTACTTTGTACGCGCTGCTGTAAGTTATTGGTGTGTAATGGTGTGCAGCGCGGTGCATCGGTGAGTCGGCTTCCTGTCTCGATGACGGCAGAACGGTTACCTTAGCTTCACGGCCATACATGTGGGGCGTGTCGAAAGAGCCTGCCATAAAGGCGAATATAGCCTCCCAAACACTGCCGGCCTCCCCCCAAACATGGGAGTTGGAAGTAGGTCGGTAGCAAGTTTGGCAGCATCTGCATGTGTTCGACGTGGTTGGATACTGTTTGTCTGCACCAACCGGATGTTTCAAAATGTTTAAAAGTACCAGACTGTACAGTGGAGCTGGTTAGATGGTCTTTAAGAGAAAGGCTATGACTGTCTCCATAGTGCATATATGCCAACTTACGTCGGGACATAAAAAGACAATCTTACGGACGTTTCATGTGAAATGAAACAGTCTTGGCGTAAAGCTAACATTTTAAGTAATGTTGACGGTTCGGTTTGCCGCACTTTGCTTTTTCTGAAAACAATTAAAAGCAAACACTACCCTTGTTAACAAAGAGAAAAGTAAAGAATGGTTAGCTTCAATTAGCTGCTATAGCAACACTTTTCTAGCTCCTGTTCAACTCTAGAACCAGACGCCAAGATGACAAAACCTTATGTTTGTAATGAAATGCTTGGTTTGACAATAAATCAGACATCTTTCTCTACGCTTAACGATAAAAGTTCGGGCTGTCAAGCTAACATAATTCACATGTTATAGCCCCTGACCAAAGGTTCTGTCCATTTTGTCCAATGCATATAGAAAATGAATTTCATTTTGTTATGGAATGTACCAAATATGATGTTATACGTAACAAGCTATTTACGTTTCTGGAATCAAGTACAACAGATTTCAAGAGTCTCGATGTTGTAGACAGATTTGAATATATCTTTACCCCACAATGAACGCAAAAATAGGTAGATTTATAAAGGAATGCTTTGTTATTAGAAAAAATACCGAAACTTGTGATTAACCCACTCGATTGTAACACTTTATCAAAGACTTGTGCTAGCCCTTACTGTTTGAATAATTAAGATATTTTATGTTTTATTCGACATTAGGTCTTATCCAACATTTATCTTTATTGTTGTTACTCTCTGCTTTATATATGTTTGCCATACATTGTACCTTGTGTAATTGTCGAGCAATAAAGTTCTATCTTATCATCGAGTCAAGCTAATCTTTAAACTTGCCATTACTCTCCATTGCGATCAATCGGTACAATAAGCAGCAATTTTACGAGAGCAGAAATTCAACACCGGGGGGTCGCCCCACGTGCATTGCTTGTTCTCTATATCTATTCTCTAAATCTATTTCAAAAGAAATGGTGGAATTGCATCATTCGTCGCAATATTTGTCCAAGAACGGGAACTAATGTCCGTGCACGTGGTTGCTATGTATAGCCACAGAAAGTTGACGAAAAGGTGACTAATAGCTTGATACACTGTTGAGGTACACCACAAAGTAGTTTCCCCATAAATTTCACGGTTCATGTAACGCACAGAGTCTGTCAAAGAGTGACATACGCCAAAGACTGTACAGCAAAAGAGACTATACTAAACGGAGATACGGTTTCCTCACCTGAAAGGAAATATTCTGGTCTACTTTTTGCTCAGCAAGCTCGGTCATTCTTTTCGTTATTGTTGGTTTAAATGGCCTTTTATTAGTGTCGTCTTATAAAGGCGTATACCATCCCGAGGCAAGGCACAAAAAGGGACGTTCAGGAAGTTCGTCACTTAAAGCAACCAAAACGTGTTAGATTTCAAATCAAAGAAAGGGAAGCACGCTTTATCTGCTACAGGGACAGGAATGAAGGCCTGCATGCCCCTTTTCCGTAAGGCGTAATCATGCCTTTTTAGTCTTCCTATCTCGTAGCCAGCTGTCGAATATCATGATAATTCGTAATCAGTACATTAACGGTACCGTATTATGGTTCGCAATCAGCCCTGAGAATTTAACGTAATTCGTAATCGGCGGTAAAGATCTTGTGTAATTCGTATTCACTGCCCCATGCAGGCCCTAAGGAATGTGCTCTTCAAGTGCCGATGTTGTCTGAGGACGTTCCTCACGGCAATTAAAGGACTGACATGAAAAGCGGACACGGACGAGGGGGGCTGAATAAACTCGTCCGAGTGAAAGAACAGGAAGTCTTTTATGTCTTCTTCTTCATGACTTCTGCTGGCGAACAACGAACAAACTGAGAAAAGAACTATAACTAAAAAGACATTTGAAAAGACATTCAGAATTTGGTTGAACTGTGATCGTTTAACTTATCTTTGCACGTATAAATAAAACTTAGGTTGCGTTTACAATACGAACTTCAGTACTCATTCAATGATTCATGAGACGAGAAGTTAAACCTATGTACTCGTACTGGAGTAGTTTTAGAACCCATGTTTTATACTAGTTTTAGAAATCTTGTTAGTGTATGTACGTTACTAGTACTTTTGTATGAGTATCTACACTTACCCTGATCGGATATGGATGTACAATAAAAGACTATCTGTGTTACAGTACAAATATTTTGTTAGAGGGCTAGAGAAGCTACCACCGGCCATGACTGAATTGCCATGACTCAAATAGAGTTAAAGGTGTGTGTTCTACGGTCAGTGGTTTTCAGCATGATAAATAGTTCTTTTAGAGTTTCCAAACGGACTGTTAGTTGACGACAGAAGTTGTTTTCGTGCACGCCTCGTAGCTACGGCATACTTACAGAGTCAACACGACCCTTGTGCCTACTTGCGTGTTAGCGGGTCCATTAAAACAGGCTTAGCCCAGTCTTATCTTGCCGTTCGTGTGGCCACCCGCAAGTCGGGATCAAAACTCCAAAACTCAACCAACAAACACTTAAAGCCTGATCAACCTTAAGAGAAAGGACGTTTTGGGAAATGAAATTTTGTAAGGATTTAGAGTTGGGACAGGTGGGACTACTTTTTGTCTTACCTGCGGATGCCGTAACTATGGTAACAACCTCCGTCAGCAAACTCTCGTGACGTGACAGGTGACAGTTCCATTGTGGACCGTTTCTTTGGTTATTTTTTCTCTCCTATTTGCCCGTCGCCGCACCCTTATCAAGACCGCATTATTGTGCCACGATCGATCTGGAGGTACATTTGCGCTGATCAAACACTATTTATTTTGTCATGGACGCTATCTTCAGATTCAACGCACTCCAACTGGACTAAGACTTCTCAACGTGGTTTGCCGTAAAAATTCGTCAGGTTCCAACTTTTGTGCGCGTTAAAACATCACTGGAGACATTTGGAATATTTCCGAGGGGATCGTCCTTTGTTGGAGTGATTTTAGGACCGATACGGTTGAGGAAGACTTTTCATCCGGACCTTTCTGTACAGCTTTTATTCAAGATGGCGGACCTGTGAAAAACTAAGTGCACTTCGCTCACAAAAAAAAGGAATACTACAAGCATCAAAGATGGCTCCGATGTGGACTATCACTGTCCTCCTATTCGCTGTTTTCGGGACTTCTGGTAAGTTTTTATTTGTTACGACTAATTATTGGTGTATTTCTGCTTGAGTTTTTAATTCGTTGTAACTTATTGCAGTTGTATTTCTGTTGAACAAACATCAAGCTTGTAAAAATGCCATGTCATGTTGTAAATTCTATTTTTATTTCAATTCAATTGTAACAAGACAATACATTGGCCACCCAGGCAGCATGGCTGATTTCGCATTAATTATACAATTAAAATGATCATGATCTCAAAAAGTAGGACGTAAATTACCCAAATGTTCAATGAAAAAATTGTAACACTTGAAAACAGGACCCGAACAGTTCTTAGATATGTAATACGGCATTTACGTGTCTGCTGCTAAAGACGACAAACTGTTTGATAGATAATTTGCCATTCATTTGCAACATTGATGGAAACATTTACGCAACTCGAAGTGATACATGTATATTGTAACATGAGTGTGTTATGTCAGTAATGTGATTTATTAATACAATTACAGGATGAATGTTATTTGTATAGTGATATTATTACAGATTTATGTAATATTTGTATACTAACCACGAGTGTACGTGTTAGAACGCGACTTTTACATGTATATGATAAGCCCACAGGGGGGTTTAGTATAGAGTTAAGTATGTTTGCAAGAACATTTAAATTTAGATATGTTATTCTGAAATCACTTCACTCAATACCGGCTTGTCAGTCAAAGTGTGGTGTACTTATAACTTTGTTACGATGGTAGTCAACCACTGTTCCGTAATGTTACAATATTTACGCAAATCAAGGTCGCAGTCGTTATGATATGTATACTAGTTTAAGGAACGTTGATGAAGGTTAGACATCCAGGTAAACGATACTCGTAAAAAAATTCAAACTCTACTACTGGATCAGTTAACGGATTTATTTCCGGACGTTTCGAGTGACATCCATCACTCTTCTTCAGCGTCACAAATGAACAGAGAACCGATTCACTCTTATATACAAGTAACTAGAAAAAACGGTTAAACAACAAGGTCCGTAAGAAGCTTTATCATGTAAAAGAACGGTTCACTCAATGTACAGGAATTAGAACTAGAAAAACCTGTTCAACAACCGTAAGAGTCTTTGTCATGTAAGGAAAGTTCCTATGGTAAGAAATTACCATAGGAAGACAAAGACTCTTACGGTTGTTGAACAGGTTTTTCTAGTTCTAATTCCTGTACATTGAGTGAACCGTTCTTTTACATGATAAAGCTTCTTACGGACCTTGTTGTTTAACCGGTTTTTCTAGTTACTTGTATATAAGAGTGAATCGGTTCTCTGTTCATTTGTGACGCTGAAGAAGAGTGATGGATGTCACTCGAAACGTCCGGAAATAAATCCGTTAACTGATCCAGTAGTAGAGTTTGAATTTTCTTACGAGTAGTTTAAGGAACGTTTGACATTTTTATCAATTTAAGCCAGTATGTTTGGAGCTGGTATAATTACGACAAATGTTTAGTCCCACATTTTCTTGTGACATGCTCCTTTCCAAATTTTTTCCTGGATACATGTATATAGTATACAACTGTAGACATACGATACTACTATTATCCTAAGTTCGCTTAAGGCAGGTTAGGCTTGTTTTTATAGAGGCATCCCTTAGTTTTAGACACAGAAAACATCCTGTATTAATTCTTAATCTGAAGCACACGGAAACAGATGCACCGGCTCACACCTTGCTTGTTTCCCTCCGACCGAAAACACAACATCGCAGGACGATAGAAAAACACTACTGAAAGCCTAACCCCCTACTGGTGGGTTAATGCCGACTTAGTGGGCTTTTAAGACTTAGTGTCCCATTCAGGCTACAGGGTGATGTTTCCGTTGCGCCAATCTGTGTGGTGGATAACTGTAGGTTTCCTATGGCCCAGTGGTAAACTTTATAAGTGTGGACACAGTCGAACGGAGGTCGTATTGACAAAATGGACTGTAGACCGCACGCGAGCTAACTTCATGTAAAATGTGGACATTTTAAACCTACAAGCCGTAATTTGAAACATAAGGGCACATTATAATTACAGTGTAGGTTTCCTTGGCCCAGTGGTGCTATTCACAAAATGGTCTCGAGACCGCACGCGAGATAACTACATGTAATATGTGGTCATTTTAAACCTACACGTCGTGGTTTGAGAACCTGGGTAGCACATTACAGTAGTATTTCTAATCCTTTAACACAGGAGCTACATGTTGTAACGAAGGTTGCACCTACGACTACTGAGCGACCAGCTATTTGACAGAGAGCTTCTTAATTAAACAATTTCCATCTTCACATTACTGAAAATGTGATATTTGGTAGAATGGGAAGGTAGGATTATCCATTATTCGTTTGGAAGCACGCAGGATTGTTTTTATTCCGAAAGGGATCCGCGCAAAATAAAAATGCCCAAACGGTGAAATGCATATTTTTTTACGCTTTGTGTTTTATGTCTTCTGGTGATACCTTTGCGAGAAGAGAGTTTCAGGGGCGTGGGTCGCCTCATGTTCACGGTTTTGTTCTGGTTGAAAGATGCACCAAAATGGAAACTATAGACGGTCTCTGTGAGGTCGCATAGATATCGCTGTCTTTTGGAAAGGGGACTTGCCTGGGTGCCATAAGCGATAGATTTTTTGTCCCTAATGTCCGCTGCCAAATGTATCCACCCAAACCCTTTTTCTATCACGTCATGGTAGCGAGGAGATAATTAGAGCCAGGGTACCGACTTGGGCCTGGCGGGGCGTATGGCTTCCGTGGTCGAAGGAGATTATCACTCACTCGCGAAAGGGGCTGGCAGCCAGGCACAAAGGGGACTTATCCTTATCTAACGTCCTTGAAAGTCTGTCGTCACCACCTAGTGATCCACACACTGCTACATCATACCGTAGGTTATCTCATGGCTACTCGGGTTTAGCGTTTACATGTGTTAGGCATGGCATGGCGGGGTCATGGCTATCAGAGCGTGTGTGTGTGGTGTCCTTGTTAGAGCAGGTCGGACCATTAGTCACCAGAAGTAACGGGTTACCATTACCGGTAACACTGGTGACAGAGTGGGCTCTCTGAGTGCTACATCTTTACGCTGGGTCTAGTTTCTCGTGGCTACTTGGGTTTAGCGCTGACATGTGTCAGTCATGGCGTGGCGTGTGTGTGGTGTGTCCTTCGTAGAGCAGGAATAGCCATTAGTCAACACAAGTAACGGGTTAAAGTTACTGGACGGCAGTGGTGACAGAGTGGGCTCTCTATCGTCCACTATCATGTATCATGTGGGCGAACTTAGGCCCTCTTTCTACAAGACCCCAAAACATGCTGTGAACATGCTGGGAGCCACGTTGTTGAAACTCTGTTCTCGCAAAAGTTTGATGTTAAAAAATCATAACACGTAAAACAATAAACAATCGTTCTTTGCCTGTAAGATTCGTTGATTGCTCTGTCAACAATATGGTCCCTTCGTAGTAACTCCTGATTTCAAATAAGAATCTGAAACAAGATGCTAGTGTATATATAAAAGACAACAAAACCAAGCAAAATCTTCACCATGCCCACCAACCCATATACCCAGCATCTGAAAAAAACGAACTGTATCGCGTGTCCTTAACGAGACACAACGTATGAATCCAGTACTGTCCCTCCATTAAACATAAGAAAAATTGCACTTATGGGTAGCACTAATATTGTTGTTATTTACTATACGAAATTATCTTTTTTTTCATGTATTGTACCTCGATTGTGTTTCCTGTATGCAACTATGCGTATTAACTGTGTGTGTTATTTTGTCCCCAGGACCCACCTGTAAAGCAGGGGTCATACGACTGATATGGGCCACTCTGACGGAAATTATAAAAATATTAATATTTTATCTCTCTCCACAGCCCAAGCAGCGAGTCCTGACTTCGGCGCCTCCCTCCCGTCTACGGACACTATTAACGAGGACGTGGGAGGCGGTGTGTCCGTGTATGACTTTACCGTGCAAGATACTGACACTCAAACCGTGACGCTTATCATTCTAAACGCTAGCCCTTCACCAGCACCGTTTGAAGTGGCAATAGCAACTTACAACTCTGGCACTACAACTGGACGGGTAAGGGACTAGCTAGACAAATTGAAGATGTATAATTTGTTTGCCATGGACAATTGCTATGGACCGGATTTTGGGTAGCAAATAGGATTTTATGTCAAGAATAAGTGGTGTACATGTATTTCGATCCCCTTAGTAGGTTGCTCTGGAAATGCTTCTCAAAAAGTAAACAGAAGACAGGAACGACAAAATTTCGTGATTTATCGCTTTAAGCTACCATAGAAAGACATAGACAACTACTACTACTGCTACTACCACTACAATTAGAGACAAATATATTATATCTGATACAATCTGCATATATAGAGAGATAGATACATGTAGATGGATAGATAGATAGATAGATAGATAGATCTATATCTTTCTTTGTCATTTCTTGACGTCTAGGTGAGTACAACGGCAAGTGCGTCCTTTGACTTTGAGACCACCACGTCCTACACTTTAACTATTGAGGCCGAGGACCCCGACGGAAACAAGGTGTCCGCGGACCTCACAGTAAATATTGCGGACGTGAACGAAGCCCCAGTCATCACCAACATCCCCAACTCCGGACAGACCATCGGCCTGAACGAAGACGTCGGCGGCAGTTACCAAGTCTTCCAGGTGCGCTTTAGCATTAATTCTTCTCTTTTAAACATGTCCTACTAAAGATAGCAAATATATAGAGACAAATATAAAACTTCTATCCGACTCGATACATTGACACTTGACTTAATGCGCATGTGACGTCGTTCTGTGTCAAAGGTTACAGGAAGTCGATATCGCCCTCCAGAGAATGATTGTATGCCCAGATGTAGCTTTCTTTCACGAACTCGGAATAACTTTTATGCCGATGCTAAAACAGGTACATACATCTTAGATTCTACCCTGTAAAGTTTGATAAATAAATGCTAAATAACAAACATTCAAACATCCATTCATTTTATAACACGTTTTCCAGGTGACAGCCACAGATGAAGACAATGGTGACACTATCACCTACTCGCTAGCCGGCGGAGGATCAGACTTCGAAATCGGCAGCTCCACCGGTATCATCACTACTACTGCTTCCACGTCCATTAACTACGAGAGCGGTACGACGTCCTACACCCTGACGATCACGGCAACTGACGGTGCCTTCAATACGGACACGGGAGTCCTGACGGTCAACCTGGTAGATACGAACGATGAGTCCCCAGTATTCAGGTAAGGCCTTATAAAAATGCTGTGTTTCTGGTTTCTTGGTGACTGACCCTATCATCATTATTATTTCAGTTGTAAAGAGAAATTGGGCTTCCTTTCTAATCTGCGTTTTTTTTTTGCGACGCCTCAGGGGTGCATTTATTTCAGTACTACAATTGCTTTGAAAGAATTTCACAAATTGGACCAATGCATTCCCTAGTGAATCAGTTATGAGGTAGCCTTCGACCATGTTGTTTTTTCGGACCGCGCAAGAAATGTTGTGCTTTGTGTTCTGCTTTTATCATATCATTTGCAAAAAAAATTAAATCGAATCTGTTTCCTGTGTAGCGGTTCCACCACGACCCCCGTTAGTCTGAACGAGGACGTACCGGTGGGCACCAGTGCGGGAGAGGTGCCGGCCTCAGACGCAGACTTCGGCGGGACCGACACCATCACCTACCAGTTCATCAGCACGCAGAACGACTTCACCTTAGATGCCAGTAAGTCTGTGTTGTTTTTTTTTTGGTTAGTTTGTTTGTTTGTTTGTTTAGCATAAGCAGTAAACCGCCTATACTCGTAACACTCAGTTAAGTACAGTTAAGTTAAGCTGCGTAAGACCGGTTTGATCCACTCACACCGGGAAGGACTTCTGCTCTTTTCGATAGCGTGATCTGTTCTTTAACGTGCTCGAGGTGTGGCTCTCCTCAAACACGGGACCTCCTGCTTTACGTCGCATCCGAGAGAACGTCCTTAACCGAAGCTAGGTACTCGTTTTCACCAGAGTCGAATGAGGAAATAGGTGTGAAGGGCACAACAATGGGGTCTGCCATAGAGGAGTCCAGAACCTCAGAAAATGTTACTACTATTTTTAGTTAACCAGCCTAACCACAAGAGGACTTTTCCCCCAGGTATAGGAGTAGTCGCCTGCTCCACAAAAGGACTGGCACTCTGTAACTTCGTTACCGTAGCCTTTCCCATATCTTTTATCCAACGATAAAGACCGACGTACTTCCCGTTTTTGCCCCAGGTACCGGAGTAGTGTACACTGCAGCTGATCTGGACTATGACGCGGCAGGTGCCACCCTTTCCTGGTCCCTGCCCATCCGAGCGTTTGACGGCGCCAGCCACTCCGTCACGACAACCCTCACTATCAACCTGGAGGACCTGAACGACAAACCGCCAGTCTGCACGCAGTATGTCTACACGTAGGTGGCACTTTTTTTTCTTTTTAAATCTTAGATGCTAAAAGAATGATTTTTGACACGTCCCTGAAGGTTAGAATGGTGAAGAAGGCAAATCGAGAAGGGTTGTGAAAATTGGATGTCAGATCGTCTGTGGTGCGATAGCCAGATAAAAGATACACGTAGACAATTCACACGCTACTACTAGAAACGATACAGAGGAGGTTCAATTAAGACAGCTACTAAGTCTAACTTCCTTCTAGCAAAATTTGTAAGGTTCTAAAGCGAATCCGACCAACAAAGAAGCCCCGCCAGGTGAGGCGTGTCTCTGAGGCGGGCTTAATACTTGAATAAAGTTTTCTTACGGAAATATGCGTCTCAGAGTGTCGGGGACACAAGAGCTGTCTTTTTCTCTGCGGTTCTAACACAAAATTGCATCCCTACAGGAAACAGATGGCGGAAAGCACGGCGACGGGTACAAACGTGGCGACGCTGAGCTGTAGCGACTCTGATGGCACCAGTCCTAACAACCAGCTGTCCTACAGCCTGTCGGGCGGGTCCGGACTCTTCACGCTCACCGGGGCTGAAGTCAAGGTTTGGATGCTACATTAATATTTGTAACAGTCTTATTTACCAATTCATTTGGTGACCTAGTATCCTTTCAGTAATGCGCGTTTCCTGTGTACTTGGGCGTCCAGTAGTGTCATGTTTTCTTCCTAGCTTGTCCTACATGCAAAAGACCACAAAGTGTCATGTTGAGTATACCCACCAATCAATACCTGAAACATCCAAGCGGTATTTTGGGAAGGCACAGACAGTAGAATGCATGTAGGGCTTGGCCACCCTTCCCCAAGTTATTAAACGTTGTACTTCTTTACCGTTTCTGTTTGAATCAAAGCTTTCCAGTGTAAAGTTGTTGATTTTTGCCCTGCCTTGCAGACGAGCGCTGCGTTGGAGTATGACTCTGCCACCGCCTCCGCCCAGAACTGGCTCTACACCATGGAGGTCACGGTCACGGACGGCGGGACCAACCCACAGGCAAACTCAGGTACAGTTTACCGCACATCCTTCTGAAATGTTTAGAAAATTCACTAACTTGAGTGTGATGACAGATATCGGTTCACCTCGCCAGATGCCATGTCCCTAGCAGATCACTAGGCCCTAATTCCTTCATTTCAGTTCATCAGTTTCACCACAGGTCCTCGTGAAGCATGAAACTTGGAACGAAGCTCGACATTTTAACTTCCTCCCCTATTGCCCTCTTAAGTGTCGATTGAGACCACGCTTATCATCTATCCTAATTTTTTATTTCAAAGCTCATTGCAGGCATTCATGGCATTTATTTGGTTCTTCTCGCTTCTTTCTAGCCACGGTGACGGTTGTGGTTGAAGTGACGAACGAGAACGAGAACAACCCGACCTGTACCCAGCCCACCTACACCGCCACGCCTAATGAAGACGAGACCGTGGACGCAACTATACAGTCTCTCAGCTGTTCGGGTAGGTTACGTAACAGCATATACGTACAAAACACACTAATTTATCCACGTCCTCACCGGCAATAGTGGATAGCTCTCACTGGTAGAAATATCCCAGGTTAAATAATCAAACTAGAGTTACATGATCTCATACCTTCGCTAAATGATGTTAATTTTTACAACCGACGTCACCCCCAAAATCGTGAGCATAGTATGTCCAGAACACGAGATGTCAAAACCAGATGTCCTGCAGTACCTTGGAAAGACGCTAGGGTTCTTATGATCTGATCATTTCGAGGTACAATGTATCATCAATCCCTATCCACATATGCAATATCAAGACGATCCATTTCGAGTTATGTTGGCTGGCACACGCACAAGAAAGCAACCGAAGGCACAAACTTCTTGATGGAGATGATGATATAGTTTAACGTTAAAACCTAAATGTATATTTATGTATTATACCTTATATTTGCCCACCACAGATGGCGATTATGGAGACTTCGGTGACCTAACCTACGCCATCGTAACTGGTAACTTGGACGGGAAGTTCTATATCCACCCGACTGCTGGGGACATCAAGCTGAGGACTACACTGGACTACGAGACAACACCTTCTTACGTCTTAGAGGTAATTCTAAGTACAGTGTTTCTGATCAGAATTTCAATATATGTGTTAGAATACCGCACCAAGAAGCATTGGAAGTATTGTGATCGTAGCACGTGTAGGACACAAGATATGAAAAACCGGAAGTTCCACTGAAGTATCATGTAATGATTTTCAGTTTTTGTCAACATCTACTAACAAACAAAAACAATCTTCAAGCTTTGAAAATAAACATTCACCGTCGTCTTCTTTTGGCATAGTCATACGTCTGTAGTGTCACCTAGCTCCATGCCTAGAAGTGGTCATTTTGGCTTTCTATTAAGCAAAATACGTCTTAGCGATGCTAATCATAAAATCATAATTCATTGAAGTGATTGGTCATTAATTATCCTGATGAAGGCGACAGTGGTCGTCGCTCTGTAACCCTTGTGTTGGAATAAAGTTCAATGTTTTACTATGATTACTACCAACACAGATGAACTTTTATCATAATTCATTTTGTAACCATTGAACATCTGATATACATGTATACTGCACTGACTTTCTAACCCCCCCCCCAGGTGACAGCCACTGACGGCGGGGGCTCAGCCGTCACTGCGACGGTCAGCGTTAACGTCGTGAACGTGAACGACATGACGCCGACGTTCAACCCCGCCTTCTATACACACTCGGTCGTGGAGACGTCGGTAGTCATCAATTACGTGGTCGCGACTCTCACCTGTGCTGACGGCGACTCACCGGACAGCGAAATCCAGTACTCTATTATCTCAGGTAACGTTTGATTTCTCCTACTAGTCTGTTATTTTTTGTGAAGGAATATTTATTGTTTTGGATGGGGCTGGTTTATGGAGAGTTTGTAGTAGGTATCTTGTCCTAAGCGGGGAGGATTGGAAGTGAATGGGCGGAGGTGGGGTTTTTTAGTTGATTGACAGGGTTGTTACCCTATATGTCTTGGGTGATAGGATATGATTTGGCATCGCTACGATTGCGTAACCATTCCTTCTTATCTGTTTTTTGTTGAATAATGAATGTGGTAAAGTGCATTTATCTAGCACTTTGTAAACAACATGGGTGACAAAAGGATTAACCATGATTAAGATAATCATTATTCAACGCCTTTCATTTTACAGGAAACACCGCGGGTAACTTTAAGATATCGGATGTGGACAACGGAAACCCTCTGATCGAAGTGGCGAAGGCGATCGACTATGACGACGCCAGCGAGGCTCAGTCCTACACCCTGGTGGTGAAAGCTGTGGACGAGAATGGAGTATCGACGGGGCTGTCCTCAAGCGCCATTATAGAGATAGACATCACTGGAGACAACGAGTTCACGCCGAGCTTCGCCGCTGCCAACCCCACATCACCTACGGTATGTAGTTGAACGTTTTTAACTATTCGTTTACACCCGGGCCCTCTTTCAATAGCGATTTCATAAGATTGGTACAACACTCAATTTCGCAGATAAGGAACGAATTTTGTTACGTTTTGTCTGTTTTATTGTCTATTCAAGTCATAAAATGAAGGGTCACACAAATTCAGTTGTGGTCTCGAAGCGATCGTTGTCTGTTGGAAACGGGGCCTTGCAGACTTATACTATGGCATAGGGCGATCCCCAAGGTGCCGTTTAGAACCCCCTTAATGATTTTATATTAAACAGCAATACGCATCTCATTGTACTTTATCGTATGATTCTGGGATATACATAGTGATTGATTTATCGATTTATCGATCGATCGATCGAGTAATTGATTGATTGATTGATTGATTGATTGACAGCTTGACGAAGAGTCGCAGGTTGGCACATCCGTTGTCACCTTCGCCGCTACTGACGGCGACAGAGGATCAGACGGGGCCGTCACGTACGAGATTATCAACGGCAACACGGACGGGAACTTCGAGATCGACACGTCTACAGGCGTGGTCTACACCGCTAAGGTGATCGACTACGAGACGATGGGAAACACTAAGAGCTACACTATAACAGTGAAGGCCTCGGACGCAGGGTCGCCGGTCAACACGGCTACACAACAGGTAAGTCCGCATCGGGGTCTAGAAATAATTCTGCTCACTATTGTGGATCTAGTGTAGACATGACATAAATTTGTTATTTGTGAAAAAATACTTGCCCAAAGATTGCATTAATACATTGAATTAACCTGGTTCATGGCAAGATCCACGGTGGTTAAACCTGACTACCCAAAAGTCCACACCTTTGGAAGGAACCGAATCATGTTCGACCATTGGAACCGAATCATGCTTGACCACGCGTGTTCCATTTGGGGTCACCTGCGTTCATTTACAATAAACTCATTTACATTTTTTTAAATCTCTATTTACTCCACCATCTACAGGTGACGATAACCATTGATGACATCAACGACAACGGCCCGGTGTGCACGCAGTACCTGTACGCCGTGTCAGTGGACGAGAACACCGCTTCGAACACAGCGATCGCCCAGTTGAACTGCCAGGACGCAGACACCACCTACGGAACCGTGAGCTACTACGAGGACCCGGCCAGCTCAGTCTTTGTGCTGGACACCACGTCCGGGGCGGTGACACTGGACAATTTCGTACTAGACTACGAGTCCGGCACAACGTCGTACGAGCTCAAAATCAAGGTACGTGTCCTAATCCATTCAGGCCTAGAACAAGATAGGAACGGTTCTAGGTACGATAACTCATGTGTCATTCTTTGACATCCATAGGCAGAGAATTACGACGAAGCAAAATCTTATTTTATCTCATCTATCTCACGTGTAGGCGACAGATAGCGACCCGAATGGGGCGAGGACAGCCGACATCACAGTCACCATGTACGTCAACCCCCTGAATGAGGACGATCCAGCCTTCACACAGGTAACACTTGCGTTTGTATTGCCTAAAATTATGCAATTTAGCCAGCCTTGTAATCAATTGTTTAGCTGCAATGTGATTAGAGTGAATCGATGTACTGATGTTTGTCAACAATAGACCAACGTATTTGTTATTCATCAACACACAACAAAACAGTAATAATGGCAGTGTGGCGCTGCACTCAAGTTCCTAGCATATTTTAACAGCGCCACACAACAAAATACAATTTACATAAATAGAGTTTATATATATAACAGCACGCCGAAGTCCCACCACCCCAAGACACTACACAATACTAAAGCTAACCAGGTTATAACAAAAGTTATTGAACAGGAGTGACTTCTACAACTGATTGACGAGAAAAAGGTTGCTGTCAATCTGAGGATTACAAATGCAGATTGACTTTCTATATCTGACGCACTGACCTTTATTACAGACGATATACACTGCCGGGTCTTTGGATGAGGATACCGCCATAGGCACCAGTGTGATCACTATTACTGCTAACGATGCCGACAGCGGGTCAGACGGAACCATCACTTACGCCATCACCTCACCTGCTAACTCACCTTTCGGCCTAGACTCGTCTTCAGGTGAGTGGAAATTATTATTGTTACAATATTAGTTGATATGGAGGTTGGTAGGCTAGTATGCGTTACACAACAACCTTTCACAGCCAGGAACTGACGGGGCCCAATCTCTGAGAGCTTAATTTTAGTCGTACACTCCTAACTCCGGAGAACCATTCCCATTCCGAGAACTACCAATTAGAGCTCAGAATTCTTTATCATTATGAAAATTAGTCCAATAGGAGCTTACGATTTGCTGTCACCATGACGACCAATCATCATATCCTCTATCACCATGGTAACAGACTGTTCTCACTCTGACAAAATCTGGTCTTCGGAACTCGAGATCGAAGAGCGCTCTTTCCTGGTATTATCTTCTCCCTCATGTAAACATAATGTATGACTTGGACGCATAAAACGGAATGTAAAGTATAAATTTGACGGTCACATAATGTGCTGCTACTAACGTTCTCTTTCTGCCGCATATCCCACCCAGGTCTGGTGACTCTTGTGTCTGCGCTTGACTACGAGACGGACACGAACTATAAGCTGATCGTGACGGCTACTGACGGCGGCGGACTGGACGATACCTCCACGGTCACGGTCAACGTCAACAACGTCAACGACAACACACCTTCCTGCACGTAAGCACACTTCACATTTTAGAGTGCATACAATTAATATAGCCAGAGAGTCAATCGCATATTTCGTCAGGAAATGTACGTACCCTTTCTACATGTATTTAGACAGAACTTGATGACAAGCCTTCAGATACGGTTCAGTATAGTAGCCCAATCCCACGCTTATCCAGAACCATGCCTGGGGCAAATCTAGGTTCTTGGATACGCGGAGACTATCCAGAACCTTGCCTGAGCCTAGCCCTAACTCTTTCAGGCATAGAACTAGATAGGCGCGGATCTGTGTACGATAATTCCCATGCTTGTCAAATATCTTCAGTTCTGCGTACTCCTTGGCTTAGAGTAATACAATGTGAGGTAGAAACATTGTCTCAGACTAACGTGTTGTCTCCCCTCCCCAGCCCGTCTCTCTTGACCACCGATCTCGCCGAAGACACGACCACCCCCTTCACGGTCCTGACTCTGACCTGCTCGGACGGGGATACCGGCGCGGACGGCACCCTCGTCTACACCCTATCCCAGTCACCGAGCACAAAGTTCTCCATCAGCAACGCTGGCGTGATAGAACTCACAACCGCCGTGGACTTCGACGGTAAAGGCTTTCGCCGTAATAGCATAATAGCTACCTGACTATGCTGGATGTAGGGATTATAATGTGGCCGTGGAGTTTGTACAACATAGAGTTCATTTGCCTACGCAGTTATGTTACTCTTGTCGCAGCCCCCGTAGCCAATTAATGGCCATATATGTGCCATAGATACAAGTTAACTATCCTTTAGAAAGACGTGGTTAAGACTAGTGATAGCAATATATTGGCTACATCAGTATTGTTTTAGTATCGGCGGCTGTCGTATATCTATCATAATTCATTGGTTACGTTACAGACAGGGGTGTACAAGTATCTTATTTCAAGGCTAACGTCACACCAGACCCAAAACACAGACCCAAGACTTACCTTATCCGCCCAATCAGGTGGCGAGACGTCATACTCCCTGGTTGCCACGGTAACAGACAGCGCGGCCGTGGTGGCGGACCGGAAGTCGACCACGGTGCCCATCACGGTGGAAGTGACGTCAGTGAACGAGGGCGCGCCGGTGTTTGACAACGCGCCTTACGCCGTGAGCGTGAGCGAGGCGACAACAATCGGGACGGCCGTGTACACCGCCTCCGCCACGGATCCGGACAGCACGGCGGACTCCTTCGGACAGATCACGTAAGATACATAGTGTTGATTACCTTCGCCAGTAGGTTTTTGTTCTTGGATGCGTGTGTGTGTGTGTGTGTGTGTGTGTGTGTGTGTGTGTGTGTGTGTGTGTGTGTGTGTGTGTGTGAGTGTGTATGTGCGTGTGTGTGTGTGTGTGTGTTGTGTGTGTGTGTGTGTGTGTGTGTGTGTGTGTGTGTGTAAGTGTGTGTTTTTGGGAGAGCGTTTTATGACGCTAATATGGACCTTCAGTCCACTTTCTTTGGATATACGGGTAGCTAACATGGACCTCCAAATTATATTCAATCTCTGCAGGTATTCCATCACGAGTGGAGACACACTGAACCTGTTTGAGATCGACTCCAACACGGGACAAATCATGGCGAAGGCAACTCTGGACCGGGAGGCAGCGTCCTCACACACACTACAGCTTAAGGCAAGTATCGATATTTAAGAAAACCATACTTATCTGTAGTGAACCTTTCCTAGCTTCATTCACTCCTTTGTTTACATAAACATACCAAACTGTAATTTATTCCTTCAAAAAAATAACCCCATATCCTTTAGGGCTGTGGACAAATACAGATCCATATAGCACTGCCCATCATGGCCCATCCCTCTCCTTCCACTGCCTTTTACCTCCCCAACCGAAGTCATGTACCCATTTTACACCTGGGGGAGCGGGAGTACCTTTCTCAAGAAAACAACGTCTAGCAAGGAATGCCAGGGATCGAACCCGTGACCCCTTGGTCTCGTACCCGCTAGCCTAGCCGCTGGGACATTCGACGCCGCAACATAAAGATAACACTATGTTTTGGACGCCCCAAATACTAGGCCGAAGACGGAGGCACCATGTCGGGCACCACGTCCATCGTGATCACCCTGACAGACGAAAATGACCAGACACCCGAGTGTAACCCCGCCACGTACATCGAGACTGTGTCGGAGACAGAGGCGGTCGGCTTCACCGTGCTGACGCTGGGGTGTACCGACACGGACGACGCGGCTTACGGGACGATGTCATACTCTATAACTACCGGTACGGTACTGATTCATTCCTTTGTTTACGTGGATAGATTGTTAATATTTGGGTTCCAGACTTGGGAGGATGGTGTAATGGTTCTGTAATTCATCCTAGTATGTACTTCATCCAGAGTTATTTCCTAATCGATAATACAATACAGATGCAAGACATTTCCGTATATCTGGTTTGCTTCTGTAGATTCTATCCAGAACCATACCTTATCCTCACAATAACCCATTCAGCCAATATAGAACTAGAAAGTCATGGTGCTGGATATGATACACAAGTACTGCTCTATCATTTTCTTTCTCAATATGGTAAATCATTAAAGGACGTTTGATTTAGATGATGTAGAACGCATGTTTTTAATAAATTTTAGCTACCTTGTAATTTATACGTATATGCTATTCTGTCCCATTGTAGGCAACACGAAGTTGTACTTTGAAATGAGCGGCGCGGACCTGAAGCTGAAGAAGCAGCTGGATTACGAGGACGAGACGACTTTCTCCCTGAGCATCCTGGTCCAGGACAACAGCGGCAACACTCCGTCCAACTCCGCTACTGTGCCTGTGTCTATGTGAGTGTTTCTTATGAAATTGCTCCGTTTCAAACCCTTAGCCTAGCCTTAGTCTTAACCTTAGCCTTAGCCTAATTTAATGTAACTACAGTAGTTAAATGTCGCGACGACTAAGTTTGGCCGGTCATGTTGTACGTAGTGAAGAACCAGCCAGTAGGCTTCTACTTTGGAACCCTGATACAAAGAGAAGAGTTGGACGTCCAAACATAACACTTAAGAAACTTATAGAAACTGGAACAGGCTTGGAGGGCCAGGAACGTATCTCTGTGATGAATGACAAACAGTTTTGGCGATCTAACTTTGTATGCTCCACCTCTTCGGAGGATGATAGATGATGATGATGATGATTGGCCTTAGCCTAGCCTAGCCGTAGCCACGCTAATGTTTTCTACCCATCGTGTTCCAGATATGTTGACCCGTCGAACGAGTTCACGCCGTACTTCAGCCCGGAGACCTACTCCAACACCGTGTTCGAGGACGAGGCGGTCGGCGCCACCGTGGTCGATGTGGACGCCTACGACAGCGACTCCAGCGCGAACGCACACGGTCAGTATGTTCGTGTGTTTGTTTGTTTTGCTTAACCGGCAAATTCCCCTCAAAGGTTTGGCATAACACATCGGTTTAGTACAGTAGTTACAAGTTGAGTAAGATCAGATTGTAAGGTTTGAACCATTCAATCTAAGATGGACCCCTACTCTTTTCGGTAAGGCTACTTGGTTCTTTGACGTGCTCGAGGAGTGGCTATCCTCAAACAAGGGATCCCCCGCTTTATGCTCCTAAGCGGTACCCTTGTCGAAGCTAGTTACTCATTTTTATCTGAGTGGACTGAGTAAATAGGTGTTAAGTTGCTTTCCCGGGGGCACAACATTTGGGTATGCTCTGGATCCAAACTCAGAACCTTTAAGTCACCAACCATAATAACCACAAGACCACTTTGTCACCACTCCACAGGCCAGATCACCTACACCATCCAGGGCGGCAACAGCGAGGGAAAGTTCTCCATAGACGACAGCACGGGCGAGGTGATCCTAGTGGACGCCTTAGACAGGGAGTCCACGGCGAGCTACAGCCTGACCGTCAGGGCGTCGGACGGTGTGACAGGTGGAGGGACGCCCAACACTAACACCACCACGGTCACCATAACTGTTGGAGATGCCAACGATAACGACCCGGTGTGTAGTCCGGCTGTGTACACTCGAGCGCTGGCAGAGGATACTGGCGTCTCCACTCAGGTGAAGAAATGTTTGAAATCTTTGTTATGCTTCACCATGCCAGTTAGCGGACAGGTTGAGTATAAATTACGCTGGTATTCAAAAAGGCTGTCTATAGCTGAAATATCGTGCATATGTTGCATGTAGTGTATGTCGGAACCTTGTTAAAAGTAAAGGTAGTCCCATAGTCTTTCTGAGGCCTTAGGGGCAGTGGGTGGTTAGTCCAGTTGAATGCACATCCCTCTCCTTCCACTGCCTTGTATCTCCCCACGAAAGTCATGTACCCATTTCACACCTGGGTGGAGTAAGAAAAGTTGCCAAAGCTTTTCCCAAGGGCACAACGTCTTGGCATTCAGACACTCGACGCCACGCAATATATCTTAACGCTACTAAAAATATCTCAACACTTTGATATCAGCAGATATCAGCATAAGTCACTAACGTCGACGTATCAATCCCGCAGGTGGTCACGGTCACTTGTGCTGACGACGATGACGGCACCAACGCGAACCTCGTCTACTCCACGACGTCGACGTACTTTGCTATAGCCAGCAGTTCCGGAATTATCACTGTCCAAAACGTGCCTGACTTCGACGCGGGAGCTCCCTCATCCTACAGCCTCACCGTGAAGGTAAGGGCCATGATTTTGATTCGTTTACATTAGCCTTTGTTTATGATTTCATGTAACACATGTTTTGTTTATGTAATGCAATACTTTTAACTGATAGATTTTGTTGATGGACAGAATCGTTTTTAGTTGACAAAGTGTTAAATGAACACAGTTCAGTCGAGTTCAAGACTGTCAAGTTGATTGAATGATTTGATTTCGTAAAGAGGTTCATCAGTCACGTAAAAGTAACAATAGAATATTTTTCAATCAGTGAATGTTTTTCAAAGGTGATTAAGAGGTACAGATGTACAGTCGACATCGAAAATTTTGAGTTACGTGTTTCTACCATTCAAAAACAGTCACTGATTGAAGAATATTCTTCTAACTGTTGATTTGATTTGAAAAAGGCTGTAGACGGGGGAGTGACGCCGCGAACCGGAACAGCCCTGGTCACCATTACCCTGACGGAGACGAATGACTACACACCCGCCTTCACGCAGACGTCCTACAGCGCAAGCGTGAACGAAAACGTGGCGGTCGGAACCTCCGTCGCAGCGGTGACTGCAACAGACAGTGATGCAGGTTGGAATGATAATTTCTGAAGTGTAAAGTTGACTTTTTTGGAAAGACGTTAAAAACCATGTTTGCGCACTATGTGACAGTTAATCTAGTCGGGATAAAATAACGTTAATTTTGGTGACGATACTGAACGAAATTTGCAAAAACTAAAAACTGACGCCTAAGAATAATATAATTATAGTCAGCTAGCGCAGAGACTTACGAGACTAGAAGGCAACCTTGCTAACCAATTCCCAACAGATTACCTACTCATGACTAGCTCCCTAACACGATCTGGAGAAGATCGGGAGGCCATGGTTGACTATGTGTGACAGGGGATTACAATATAACTCCCAACCGTGTTCCGGAGAAGGTAGGGAGGCTATAGACGCCTATAAGTGTCAGGGGCTTAACACAAAATATAATGACCCTGCCCCTACAGGTAACGACGGCGTGATAGTGTACACCATGCCGACCTACACCAACTTCCGACTTGACGAGGACTCGGGGGAGATCACGCTGAAGGCGGAGCTGGACTACGAGACGACTCAGACGTACCAACTGGTGGTCACGGCGACGGACCAGAGCGCCGCACTGGCAGACAGACGGAGTGCAAGGTAGGCTTCAAGTTGTCTCTCACTAAATTTGAGAGCAAAGACCGGTATAATTCATAATGCAAATCAACGGGAGACTCTTAGCTTGAACAGGCCTAGATTTGCCACAAAGAACGAAACGTTTTATTCGGAAAATCAGACAAATGAAAGCCTTGCTTTTACAGTTGATTTTACGGAGGATATATTGGGATGAAATGTTTAAAAAAGGGGGGGGGAATTACCAATGTGATAGATTGCTCCAAGTTAATTTTATGATGCAAACATTGTAGTCTACAACTTGAATCACTAAATGTCTAATTGCTTTCGATAATTATTGTTATCAAGGTATAAAACGTATATCACGACTAATCTCGAATTACTCTAACCACAGTGTCACAGTCCAAATCACCGTGAACGACGTGAACGACAACGAGCCGTCGTGCAGCCCGGCCACGTACACGGCGACGATCGCCGAGGACGCCGCCGACGCCACGAACGTCGCGACGCTGGTGTGCGACGACCTGGACTCGGGCGTCAACGACGACCTGGTGTTCGCCATCTCCGGCGGAGACGGCCTGGGGCAGTTTGCCGTCAGTACCGCAGGTTTGTTTGTTTGTTTGTTTCGTCGATGAAGGTTAGACATCCAGGTAATACAATACGCCAAAATAGCAGTTACTCAAGCAACTGGGTATGATTTTGGAAACGTCAGGCGTTTCAGCTAGTATCCACTAGCTTTCGTCAGTGACTGAGAGACCAGAGGGGAAATGCAGGTTTATAAACACAAACTATTGATTGGTATGCAAATAAAGTGCAAATAGATACAATTTTTTGGAAGTCGAAAAGGGGAACAAAAGTCAGACAAAATGCAAAATACTCCAAAACATATTATTAAGTGATTACAAAAGTAAAAATAACAATATGGTGACAGGGGTCGTGAGTGTCGTCAAGGACGGGACGGACGACTTGGACTTCGAGACGACGCAGACCTACTCGCTGGAGATACAAGTGTCCGACTCCGGAGTGCCAGCGCTTACAACTACTGTACAGGTAAGAATAACTCTAGTGTACTGTCTATGGCTCATCGCAAAGCAAATACTCCAGCCCATAAGCTTACAGTCTAAACTCGATACCATCGGCTAATCGTAACACAGTTATAAAGATTACTAGCCTGGTTACCAAGACTCGGGAGCTATAATAGGTTTGGTAACCAGGCTAAAAGATTACACTCGCTTATCAGGAAAAAATCGGTCATTTGTCCATATTCTTGGTTAAAGAAATTGATCAGTGGGTTAAGAATAACCTTCATATGAGATACTCTAACGATGATTTTATATGTGAGATGTGGGACCTTCCAAGAACCACGCATATGTCTGTACGCCTCCGATGCAGTAAGTGTACAAGGTAAAGTGACCACTTCGTCAATCGCAGTCTACATCGGACATGTCTATATCGTACCATTGAACATGTATCTTGCCTCAAGTTTTTACTTCACGGAAGCAACAAATGACTGTTGTTTTCAACCCACAGGTCGGAGTGACGTTGACCGACGTTAATGAGTACGCCCCTGACTTTGACCCTGACGCGTCAGCCGTGAGTTCGTACAGCATCAACATCGCCGAGGACGTGGCGGTGGGGACAACAGTCATGACGATCACAGCTAACGACAATGACACGGCGCAGTCTGTCACCTTCTCGTTCAACCCTTCAAGCAACAAGTTCCTCATAGACGCAGACTCGGGTATGTATTCATTTCCGCTATAAGATAAAGTAATACCTTACCTTGGGCATCGGGCACCAAGTTTCCATGTCCTGTTGACTGCCGTCTCTGCCTCTTGTCATGGGATGCTCGTCCTTTCTAAATCCTCCAGGAATTTCCTAAAGTCCTATAATAAGACGGATAAAAAGAATCTAATGTGATTGAATACAGATTCGTAATTTATGCTTACTGATATTTCGGGTACATTTTGTTAATGTAAGTCTGGTGTCTTGCTTAAGGAAAACTAATCCCACTTCTGACACCATCCTAAATGCATATATTCTTTTACATATTTTCCCATTATAGGAGCTATTACGGTGAAGTCTAGCCTTGACTACGAGTCGGTGACGTCCTACGCGCTCAAGGTGCAGGCGGTGGACTCCGGGTCGCCCGCCAAGACCAGCACCGTGGACCTCGCCTTCTCCGTCACCGACGTTAACGACAACGACCCGGTCTTCAGCCCGACGTCTTATGCCGTACAGGTAAGCACTTATAGTTGGAAAATGGCTAGGTTCAATATACATGTACCTTGATGTAGATTTGAAAAGATATCTTACGGTATGAACTTGAAATTGGGTTGGCATCCTTTAACGGTTAACGATAACGACCCGGTCTTCAGCCCGACGTCTTACGCCGTACAGGTAAGCATGCTTACCTTGACTTACAGGTGAAACAATTTGGGTCAGGTTCGTTTTATCCCAAGGTAAATTTTGAAAGATATCTCTATGGGGATTGGGATGAGATCCCTCCAGCCGTAATACCTCTGTCAAACAGAACCAAAATCAATCGGGCGACAAGCCTGCAAGCTCTAAATGATTTTTAGGAATCGGCCGATGTTTGCCAGTCTCAGAGCCCCATGCATTTGATAGGTTAGATTTTTCATAGGGTCGACTATTAATTTGTTCGGCGACATTCTGGGGACCAACAAATATGACCGAAACTCGGCATAAGGGAAACAGGTGGAGTACTAGTTTTTCTTCATAATAGACTTGCTTATCCGGACATTCATAAGATATCTCACCTAATTATTTTTTAATTCACAGGTGCAAGAGAACACCACGAACGGTGCGGTTGTTGTCACCACGACCTGTACCGATGTCGAAGACGCCTCTGTCGTGTACGCCGAGTTTAGCGGGGACGTCGGTAACGTGTTCGGCATCGCCACCAACGGAGATATCATCATGCAGGTACTCTTAATCTTGCATCTCGTACAGCAACTAATAAGTAAACAGTTCTATTTTAAGTAACCACTGTGCATAGTCACATTCATAACGAATGTTTCTATTTAGTTGTAAAATGTTTTAATTCAGTAGCAAAACTGTGATTCGCGATAAAACCTCATCTTGTATTTTGCATCTTGTCTGCAGGACGCCACCAACTTAGACTACGAGACCCTGACGGCGTACACCCTCCTGGTCACCTGTAGTGACACCACTGTTACCGAGAGAACCGTCACCGCTACCGTACAGATAGAAGTGACCGGGTATAACGAAGACCCGCCTGCCTTCACCAACTCGGTCCTGGCTACCTTCGCCGCAGACACGTACTCGGGTAAGCTAGCAGAAAGAAATGCCAGTTTGGTGGTTGAATGCAAAAGAAAGACAGCTCCAGAAATAACACGTACACGTAAATGCACAGTCTTTCCTATCCTAGTCCCAAAATACAGGCCTTTTTTGACAGCAAATATAGCTAACTTTTTAGCCAGCTTTTCTGACTGCTGCCGTCCTAAAAAGTAAGTGAAACTGACCACGTAAAAACCTGGGCGAACGGACAACACTCCCAGCCCTGTAAGAATACCGGCGAGCCTACGATGGCCTGAATATTATTTATTTATTTATTTCAGCTTCATTACATAACAAAGTATGTAATTGGACAGGGGGAACAGGTCTAGCCTTTGTCTTAGCCCCCTGTCCAAGAATTATTAGAGTAATTAGCTACAGCTATTATGGACTGATGTACATTAAAGATTCTGACTTACATCTCATTCCCCAGCCACAATCTCCGAGGACATCTCCTTAGGAGAGAACGTGACGCAGGTGTTGGCTACCGACCCTGACGCCGGGCCGGATGGGGACATCTACTACAGCATTACTAGCGGGAACAGCCAGGGCAAGTTCTACATAGACAGCAGCACAGGTAAGGACAGAACATCTTTGCAATATAAGTATCAAGAAGGATAGCTTAAAATCTACAAGGTAACTGCAAGTATCTGGACATTAAGCTGAGTATGGCCTTCTGATCGTTACCAACCTTCCCACATCATGGCTGGGAGTAGATTGGGAGAAGGTCGGCAGTGGTTGGGTGTCGGCCAGCCGAATGTTTCAAAACGTTGAAAATCTACCGCCACCGTGGTTTGTGGTCAAGAGGATGGTCGTAGGAAGGTGCTGAATTTGTGGGAGGGGCTTAAGAGGCTACGTGTTTCCACTGATAGTTCACTACAACAAGATCGAAAACTCAGTAACTCTCATTATTGGTGAACAAGCATCGGGTGCCTAGATGTATAATATTCAATAATATCCTACAGGCTACATCATGGTGAACAAGGAGCTTGACCGCGAAGCGACGGCGTCATACGTGCTGATTGCGGCGGCGACGGACGGCTTCAGCATTTCTATAACCTTTATCATTCGCCAGATTTAATATCTCCTACTTTTTACATACTACAGGCTACATCATGGTGAACAAAGAACTAGACCGCGAGGCGACGGCGTCCTACGTGCTGATCGCGACGGTCACAGACGGCGGGACGGCCCCGACGCGCTCGGCCACCGCCACCGTCAGCGTCACGGTGGCAGACGTCAACGACAACACGCCGCTCTGCGTGCCGTCCATATACAGCAACACGCTGGCAGAGAACTCCGCCAGTGGGACTAATGTGGCAACTATTACATGCAGGTAGCGTACGAACTTATTAACTTCGCCTACGTGATTTTGGTAGCACTTGTATGTTCTTATTTATGCATATGTTTGGATAAGGATTAGCAGCTCAACAAAATATGCATAATGGATGAAATCTGGTGTGTGTGTTGGTCTTGACCTGTCAAATACATGGTTAGATTTTGGGTCACCTGGCAGCTTTCTAAGATACTGCAGCAGAACGTTCGATTTTGATATATCGTAAATGTGTATATTAAAAATTTGCAGTTCTCATATCACTGTTCAGTGGTATTTTACATGTCTAATGGCTACAAGATTTAAACAGCTTTTGTACAACAAGTATTGCATGCATGCATGTCAGGCTCTAAGGGACGTCGGTACATACAACTGCACTTTCGAAAACTCCACCGAAGAAGAATATTTTCCATTTACCTTTTTTTACTACAGTGACATTGACGACGGCGTTAACTCCCAGCTGACATACACTATAATGAGTGGGGATAGCCAGGGACAGTTCACAATGGGCACGACGGGTATCCTGACTGTTAGTGGAACTCCCGACCTAAACTATGAGGATACTCAGGAATATTCCATCATTATTCAAGGTGAGTTATATTCCTTTCTAACAATAGCAACAGCACCCTTACCTATCTAGTTCTGGCAGAGTTCTGGATAGCCTCCGCGTATCCAAGAACGTAGATTTGCCCCAGGCACGGGTATCGATGCGTGTGGAATATCCAGAACCGTGCCTAAGCATTTGTAAGCATAAAGCACGGTTATAGACACATGCAACACTAAACTAAACACTAAACACAACATGGCCCGCCTTAGCAGCAGCTGACATGCGGTGGAGGAGAGAGGAGAGAGAACACTAAACTATAAACTAGAGAAATGTCCATAATGTACATAAATACAGTAACACTTGCGTGTTAGTAGCAAGTGGGCGATATTCTCTCAATCGAGGCATTATTGTATGCCTTGGATCCATGGATTAATAAAAGTGTTATGAAATCTCCCTGCAGTATCGGACAGTGCAGTGACCACGCCGCTCGCCACTAACGTAACTGTCGCAGTAGAAGTGACTGGAGTGAACGAGTTTACACCCGTCTTCAACCCGACTTCCTACTCCGTCAGCATCAGCGAGAACGCCACTCAGGGCATCACTGTGGAGACTGTGGTCGCCACTGACGCCGACTTCGGGAGCCAAGGTGAGAATCGTTTTATCTAAGCTAAGACATATATTTTGGTGTCGAATGGCCGAGAATCTAAGCTAGCTATAGCGGACACGAGTTTTACCTATAGCGGACACTGAGAGTTCAAGGGTCCGATACCTTGTATTTCAGGCTAATCCTTGTGTGGTTTACATTACTTTTCTCACTTCACCCAGGTATTATGTGTAAAATGAAAGGTACTCTGTTTTGGGAGGTAAAAGGCAGTGGAAGAAAATGGATGGGCTCCATCTTCCAATACCGTGCCCTAGACACAGTGCCTTGGACTAACTACCCACTGCCCCTACGCCCTAAGAAAGGCTATTAGTCTACCTTAACCTTTTTAAGAACAGATAAACAAAGGTCTAAATAAAGAAATCAACACAATACTGCTGTAGAAACTGAGCTAAAACCACTGACTTTTTTGTCATCTTTCGCAGGAGACATCAGCTACACCATCAGCGCAGGAAACGCCGAGCAGAAGTTCGTCATCGACAGCAGCTCGGGAGCCATCGGCCTGGCGCAAACCTTAGACCGTGAGACAACCGCCAGCTACCAGCTCACGGTCCTCGCCATAGACGACGGCGGAGCCTCCTCTCTCACGGGCACCACGACTGTAACAGTCACCATAACGGATGTGAACGACAACACGCCGGTATTCGGGCAGTCCCTCTACACGGTGGATTTGGCCGAGACCACCGCAGCAGGGTCTGCTGTAGTTACTGTGGGGGCTACGGATGCTGATGATGGGACGAACGCGGCTATCACGTACTCTATCGTTAGCGGCAACACGAACAACGATCTCGCCATCGATGCAAGCACAGGTAGGATGTTTTGACCATTGTCTCTGCTACAATTACTTTGAATAAACACGCTTAATGCACATTATATGATAATAAAGCACGTTTACACAACAATACAAGAGAATTTTTTTCTTGGGTTAGCTCCGTAGGGCTTTTAACAAGGATATTCCATTTTCCTGGATATGCTGGATATTCAATCCCTAGTGCCTTGCTCCCTAGAACATCTGTACAGGGGTGTCTTTGCTGTGCTTAGATAGTTAGTTATGACATGCACATTTACATGTACATGTACATGTAGATAAGTGGTAGATGGGATATTTTTTTTTTACATTTAAAGTTTCTCAACACAGCACTAACATTTTCCTGTGCAAACGGGCGAATATCACGTTTAAATGTTGCCTAAATATTTACCCCACCAGGTGCCGTGACGTTGAGCAACCCGCTCAACTACGAAGTGACCGAAGACTACACGGTCACCATCCGCGCGACAGACGGCGGATCCCCCGCCAACTCCGCCGACGCTACCCTCAGTCTGACCGTCAGCGCAGTCAACGAGTTCCCGCCTGACTTCACCCAGAGCTCCTGGTCCGTGTCAATTCTTGAGAACTCCACCTACGGAGAGGTAATGTTTTGTAAACTACATGTACCTTCGATCGCAATTGTTTTTAATGTTGAATATGATCCAGGTATTTCTTCTACCGAATTGAGATCTGAATATAAGGAAATTCTAATCTCCCCTATGAGGATTCCAGATTTCCCTAGGATTCCGGATTCCCCTGGATTCTAGTCTCCCCTGTGATATATATTTTAATATTGTATGCTTAATGATCACAACCGTAAATGTGTGATCATTTTATGGACTGATACCTATGTAAGTAGCCTCTCAATTCAGCCCTCCACGGCCAGGAGGCATGTACCTTTTTTTTTATTTACTTCATAGGTCACTCAAAATGTTTTGGGTTACTGTACAGCCAGTGAGAACAGATGTTTGTTGACCTTAGACTTCAAAAGGCATAAGGGAAACAATCGCGAGGTAGCTTATTCCAATGTGATGTTGTTCTGGGAAAGAACTTTTGCTAAGAACTATCAAACCAGTCTACCACAGTAACTACTACAATTAATACTACCTCTACTACTACCACTACAGGTGGTGGCCACAGTAGCGGCTACAGACGACGACAGCTACGCGGACGGGACTGTTACATTCTCTATAACAAACGGGAACGGGGAGGCAAAGTTCCAAATGGAGACCACCACGGGCGTGATCAAACTTACAGCCAGCTTAGATAGGGAGAACACCGACTTCTACAACCTAACCGTACAGGCCACAGACATGTCCACCTCGCCTCTGTCTAACAGCACGTATGTGGAGATAACTGTTATAGATTCCAACGACAACTACCCCACCTTCAGCCCAACTGTGTACAGTGCCACAGTGCCTGAAGACGAAGCAGTCGCCACCACCATTGTCAGCGTGACCGTTACTGATGCAGATATAGGCACCAACGCTGATATTACCTATACCATCACTGCTGGGAACAGTGAGAGCAAGTTCAACATCCTAACCAACGGAGCTGTTGTGCTCGCGGATACGTTGAACTATGAAAGCACAACCCAGTACACGCTAACCATAACCGCGACTGACGCCGGCAACCCTCCACTCTCCTCCGACGCGATTGTTTCCGTAACCGTCGGCGCTGTGAACGAGTTCGCCCCGGTGTTTGCCCAGGACCCTTACGCCGCTTCGGTAAACGAGAACGCTACCATAGGCACTGTAGTTACAACAGTGAACGCTACCGACGACGACGCCGGATCCCAGGTACTTTCTCGAGCTACGTTAAAGGCATCCAGTGCAGTTTTTAGGGCATGGAAAACCAATTTTTCAAAGCCAATATTCTGGTCATTTATATACATTAGACATAGAGTTGAAACCACACTGTCCCAATGTATATTGACCCTCATGGAGCAAAAATTTCCTACATTCTGACGGAAAATGCTTACTGGAAGGGCACTGGGCTGATTTTTAGGGTACCACCGAGAAAATAATGGACTCATCTTGGGGCTTGTTTCTGCTGTATTAAATGCCCAAAGTATGAAATGCTGACTCAAATGTGCTAATGTGAAGCAGTATGTGTCAATATCACAAAGTTTGCCTTATTCAGAATATTCCCAGTTTTGCCCCCCTGAAATTACATTGGATGCCTTTAAGAAGACCCAACATTATTTCCCGATTACAAGTGTTTCATTGTATTATAAAAAAAGTTCTGAGCATAGCAATATGAATCATGTTTTAAAACCTTTATTGATAGCTATTTTTTTAATATTGCGATTGATTTTACAGATGTCAGATGTAAATTAGCATAATACTTCAGACTCAACTATCCTCACTTAGCTCAGGTGTAAATGAGTATTGTCCTGTCATGTATTTGTCCCCTATGTTGGTGGCGGCATTAATATAAGTTGAAAAAACTTGAATGTGTCGTCACCACGTCTGGTGATTACATGTTGGAATAAAAAAATATGTAAGTCTGCTTTTTGCTAATAAAGTCATTATCATCATTATCATCATCAGGGGCTGGTTCTGTACTCCATCGTGGCCGGTAACTCAGAACGGAAGTGGGTCATCGACGAGGAATCCGGCAACATCTCCATCGCTACAACCTTAGACCGGGAGACAACAGACACATACGAGCTGACTGTTAGGGCATATGACAGCTACGGCGTGTTGCCTTTCAACTTCACCGACGTCAACGTTACCATTACGGTCCTAGACATCAACGACAACGAACCAGTCTTCAATCCACAAACGTACAGCGTATCCATTCTAGAGGGTGCTCTTGTGGGCACCACGGTGGTCAAGTTCACGTCGACGGACTTGGACATCAACGCCAACGCCGTGCACGATTACGTCATTTCCGCCGGAAATACCGGAGACGCGTTTGAGCTCAGCAACGACGAGATTCTGCTGAAGAACAAGCTGAACCACGAAACCGTCGGACTCTACACGCTAACGATCCAGGCAAGTATGGTAATACTTACTTACTTACTTAGTGGCGTGCGTAGTCCAGTCGTTAGCGATCCTGCCTCTGGACTAAGAGGTTGGGAGTTCGAATCCCGGCTGTTGTCGCTCACCCGACATGCACGCTACTGTTTAGGGTCGCAGTCCTTAGGACAGGATGTTAAGCTGTGGTCCACTGTTCATTGTGCTTGTTGAAAAGAGCTAGTGGAATTTCCCCGGTACAATGAACCTGTAAATACTGTACATAGCGTCTGTCTTCTCTGTCACGACCAGTGGAAGAGTAGCTCTTCAGTGAGTTAACTGGTTCGAGATCACTTCACTTACCAGCGCTCAGTCCTCTTCAGCAAGCTCTCTATAGCATTCTGGGGCACAGAGTCAATTTCAGCACTCTTTCTGACAATGCTATTAACAACTTTTAGTTCGCGGTAGTTTGCTCTGTTCCTATGACATCAACTGTAAAATTAGGTTAGCCACACAAAACTACATAACAGAAACAAAACTCTTTAAGATATATATGTCCGTTGAATAAATCTGTATCTGTATAGCCGGTATATTCGCCTTTCGGCGTAACACACCAGCTTGCGGGCATGCGGCGCTCGACACCGATCGACGTGTTACACCTAGCCCTTGAACACCTAACTCTAGACATTGTTTAAAGCTATCTAATGACAATGTCTCTACTGTACTTGGTGACAGCAAGTTCCACTCTGCGGTAGTTCTAGGAAAGAATGAATTCTTGAATATCTCAATCTTTGGCTGATAAATCAAATCAAATCAATATGTGTCCTGCTTTGCTTTCTAGGCCACCGATCAGGGTGATCCTGTCCTTACCGGCGAGGCGACCGTGACCGTCACAGTTCTGCCCGAGAACGAGTTCCAGCCGGTGTTCCAGGAGGACAGTTCGACAGTACTGGTTTCCGAGGACGCGGTTCTGGGCACGCTGATCTATAACGCCAACGCCACGGATAACGACACGGGGACGTACGGAAACCTGGAGTTTTACATTACCGCTGGCAACGGCGGCAACGGCGCGACGTTCCTCTGCGACTCCTCCACTGGGGAAATCAGGTTCGTTTTTCTTTGTTTGAAACCTTTGTTTGAACCTTTGTATATGGTTAGTGTCCGTTCATTTTTGGTCATTTCTGATTTCGATTACTTCAAAAGTCTCTTAAAAGAATCCAGAGTTGGGGCCATGCGTGTGCCTGGTGGTAGACTGTTCCAGACAAAGGGTCAACTATAGCCTATGAATCTTCTGAAGCTCTGTCGCTGAGGGTTTGGGACAACCAATTAATTGCTTGTGCTTTTTCTGGTCGTCCTTAGGTTGGGGACGTACCTGGACCGAGAGACGAACGCGTCCTACGTCCTCACTATCACGGTGTACGACCACGACGCCGCCGACGCCAACACTATGAATGACACCATGCAAGTGACCGTCACCGTGTCTGATGTCAACGACAACAAACCGACGTTTTCTCAAGACCAGTTTAACGTCTTCGTCAATGAGAACGTCCCGAGTGGAACTTTAGTAACAACCATGGTTGCTACTGATATAGACGCTGGTACCAACGCCCAGGTAGTGTACAGTATCGTCTATGGCAGTTCTAACTTCGTCATCGACTCCAGCACTGGAGACATCACCACGAACACCGCCAACCTTGACCGTGAGACACAAGACTGGTACTACCTCACGGTCAAGGCCGCAGACCAGGGCTCTCCCGTACTGTCCAGCGTGGTCGGAGTGACCATCTGGCTGAATGACGAAAATGACAACTCTCCAATCTTTAACCCAGATAACTACATTATCAACATAGAAGAGGACGTGGCAGTGAACAGCGCGTTCTACATGTTAAGAGCGAACGATGCGGATAGCGGTACTAACGCAGCTCTTACATATAACATAACCAACGGCGATCCGCAGGGGCAGTTTGCTATAGCCTCTACCGGAGAAGTTAGCGTGGTCTCGAGTTTGGACAGGGAGACTACTGATCAGTATATCCTAGATGTTTTTGTGTACGATGGAGGCAGTCCTTCGCTAAACGCCACTGCTACGGTGACAGTAAACGTGCTAGACGTGAATGACAACTTCCCCGTGTTCTCGTCCGACCCTTACGTTGTCTCTGTATACGAGGACATCGCAGTCGGGAGCACGGTGGCCCCCGTCACCGCGACCGATGCCGACTCCGGCACGAACGCGCAAGTGTCCTACACGATCATCGACGGCAACCAGGAGAACAAGTTCGTCGTCAATCAGGCCGACGGCCCTCTCCTCCTGGCGTCGTCCCTCGATCGGGAAAGCAACGACACCTACAACATCACCTTACGGGCTTACGACGGAGGCAGCCCGAGCCTATCTACAACCGTTACGGTCTACGTGATGGTTCTAGACGTAAACGACAACACGGCCTTGTGGTCTGACGCTAACTATACTTTCTACATATCCGAGGACGCGGCAATCGGAGCAAGCGTTGGTAACATCAGCGCAAGCGATATCGACATCTCCAACAACGCCGACCTGAGATACACTATAACCAGCGGTGACTCTGGCAACCAGTTCGCCATAGTTGACACTACTGGTAACATCACTGTGAACGCACCACTAGACAGGGAGGCGATAACAAACTACAGTCTTACCGTCCAAGTGACGGACTTGGGAAACCCTGCGCTGCAAAACAGCGTCACTGTCCTGATCATAGTCGTAGACGTCAACGACAACAACCCGATCTTTACACAATCTCTCTACGAGACTCAGTATGTGGAGAACAGCAACACGGGGCTTAGTGTGCTAACTGTTACTGCAACTGATGCAGACAATGGTACGAACGCAGCGATTGCATACAGTATCTCCAACACTAGCACGACGGGACTCAACTACTTCACAATCGACTCCAGTTCGGGTGTAGTCTCCATCGGGTCGTCCTTAGATCGGGAGGCGGACGCGATCGTGACGTTTGTCGTGGTGGCGACGGACGGAGGGACGCCGACACTGACAGGCACGACAACTGTCAGGGTGAACGTCACGGACCTGAACGACAATCCGCCGGTCTTCAACCCGGATTTCTACAGGTAAGCTGGTATTTTATAGCTGTTTCACATAGACCGATTGAACCTTCTTCTCACTGCTACAATTACTTAGCATGTTTTCTTTAACTTTTTCTGCCACAAAACCAGACGCCAATCTGATAGAGGCACTTCTTTGCACCATCTGAATGTTCTTCACTACTGTTCATTCACCATGTTGGTATAGGGTGTATTTTCTTCTCAAAAGGCGACCTCTGTATAGTGGTAGCAACACAAATGAAGATGAGTGTTATCACCTTAGTGGACTCCAAACTCGTTTGGACACACTATGGGGAAGAGGGCCAGCATGTGTTTACTCTTTCAACATTATACGAACTGAATAGAGCAGGTAGCAATCACTAGATAAAACAGAAGAACAAGAATATGCAAAGTTCTAACGGCTGTCGTGTTTCTGTCCGTGTCCAGTCTTGAGTTGCCGTACGACTCCACCAGTACGGAGGTCCTGACGACAGTGTCGGCAACCGACGCCGACATCACCACGAATTCCGAGATTATCTTCTCCTTGGTGGACCAGACGGAGTGGTTCACGATGGAGCCGTTCAGCGGGAACTTCAAGCGGCTGGCGGGCTCAGGAAGTCTGGAGAAGGACGTGAAGATCGTGGCAAGAGCCATCGCCAGGGACGGGGGTAAAGGACTTTGAGTATTTTATTGTAGACTTTGCTTGTGCCAACCACGTACTTCGTACGATTGCAATAGTCGTGTCCTGCAAAATTCAACCGTCTTGTAACGGTAAAAGTCGTCTAGCGTCCTTGTCACCGGTTGGCTCTGTCACAGCTTCCTTGAAGTCTTAGTGCATCAAATCGTACCATGACTTGTGACGAATGTGGCCGCGCCATAACGTAACATGTAGTAAAGTAGGGAAACTATGGCATTTAGGACACATGTGTTTACTCCATGGGTAAACTGCTATGGGTAAGACTTAAATCGACTTGTTTGGGACTTAATGTAAGCATCAAGCCTTTTACAATTTGTCTGGCGTCGGATAATCTAGTAAAATAGCAAAAGTAGAAAATCACTAGGGAAAGTAGGTAATTGACTCCTAAACTTCACCAATTCCCGTTCACAGGCTCACCGCAGCTGTCGTCAGACCTGGGGTACATCCGCGTGGACACGTATGACGTGCAGGACACGGGCGTGAACTTGACCCTGACCATCCCGTGCACCAGCTTTAACCAGGCGGCCTTCCTCGCCTCCCTGTCCGCGCTGTTCTCGCCAGGCCGATGCGGGGTCTCCTACACCACGTGCACCACATCGGCCAGGAGAAGGCTGCTGCAGACGTGAGTGTTAACTAATCCTTATAGGGGGTTTCTTTTACACAACACGATATAATCTACCAACCTGATGAAACTATTTTCGGAAGATCCTAACATCGCTGGCAGACCCCAGTGTGTTGTGCCATTTGGAAAGACTAACACTATTTCCTCACACAACTCGAGTAAAAATGTGTACATAGCTTAGGTTAGGGACCACGGCTAGGTAGTGGCTTCTACAGAAGTGTTTAGGGCCCTGGCTACGTTACGTCGTACGATCGTCGTAGGATCGCAAATTGAAGGCATTCTTGTGACAGTCGTGCATATGTTTTATACATGTACAGAATTCAGCTGACCCTTGTTGATGCTTCGTTCTGCAATACTCCATAAAAAATCCTACTCCTGGGTACAAATATGTGATTCTCTATTTTTCATAAACACTTGTCCTAAAAATTACACATGTATATATTTTAGGGTAACTGTCAACTGCATGCTGATGTAGTAGAAAGAGAAAAAAAGGATCTTGGGCCTGACTCGAGAACTGTTCTAACGTCTTTCATCCCCATTCCTCTTCTAGTGACTCTACTGTCGTGACTATCTACGCGCTGGCTAATAACGACACAGACAGCTTCGCGGCCATAGACCAGACCAAGGACTTCCTGACGTCCCAGCAGGTCCTGGACGTGCTGCAGGCAGACTCGTCAGGCACGCCCAACTCTGTACTCACTACAGGGGACTTCAACCAGTACGCTATAACTAACGTAAGGAGCTTCCTATTGTGTACCACAGCACCAGCATGCTTTCAAATGTCGTACCCCTAGTTTTCATATACCAGTAGACATATTGACAAACATGATGAGATGGAACCGATGTCTCAAACGGAGGGTGAATAAAACATCTCTTAGTCAGTGTCCTCCATCGAGTCTGACATGCATGGAAAATTGCTCCGCCCCTCAGGCGTCACCAAAAAAGTAGACACACTGGAAAACGTATATGTAACTATGCCATGCTTGGTTCTATGGTACGTATCGCTAGTACTAAGATGCAGGGTGAATAGGGGGAACATCTCAAACATATATGAGTACATTGCTTTTCAATGGGACATATCGTATACATATGAAGGGCTGGCTTAAAGCTTCATCATGTAACAGTACGTCAAGGTACATGGTAGACTGACTAACCTGTACGTTATACAGGTGGAAGAAGCGTTCCCGACGACCACCGCGTCCACCCCGTTCTACGACACGTGGTACGGCATCCTGACCATCGTGCTCTGCTCCGTGTTCGCCGTGATTCTGTTCGTGCTTCTCATCGTCCTCATCGTCTACTGCTGCAGGAAAAACAAGTTAGTAGATATAGTCACGGATTAGACATTGAAAGAACAACGTGTATCGTATCCAGAACCGTGCATATCTAGTCCTATGGTATCCAGAACCGTGCCTACATGCATGTAGTTCTATACCTTAATGGGTTAGGATCAGGCACGATTCTGGATACTAAGATAGTCTCCGCGTATCCGAAAACGTAGATTGCCCCAGACATGGTTCTGGATATACGTGATCCATATATAGAATTCGTTCCTGGGCATGGTTCTGGATACGGCACCGGAGCACCCTAGCCGTCAGCTGAAGTACTAGTAGTACGGTCGTACCAGATTACAAGATAGACAAAGATAGATATTGATAGACGAATCTTTGATCATAAAACATATCTGTTCTTACATTTCCACCATGACTAAGAAGAGAAAAGTATCTGAATTCACTTACTACACTATAATAAAATGATATGTGTTTCGTTAAACCAGAAACACTAAGAAACAGCAGCCGAGGCCGCGGAGACCGGACACGCCGACTGTTATAGAGAACGCCTGGACGGACCAGAAGAAGACCGCCGTCATCACAGACCAGAGTGGTGAGTTCTTTCGGCAACTACAGTCACATTGTAAATGTAGATCTTGATAACGTCTCTGAAGTTTCCAAATTTCATTAATCTAGCTACCGGGTTTTAACGTCATCTCCTGTTTGTAAAACTTTCTCAATTCAGACCCTATCATTCTTCTGGCATATCTCTAAAACTCTGACAACGACTACCTGATAGAATCGTTGATGTCCTGATAACAAGTTTGATTTTCTTTTCTTTTTACAGGGTACAAACAAGACAGTGTGAAACAGACCTCGGAGAATCCACTGGTCTTGGTAAGAAAATATCTTCTTAGCTCTCATCCATGAAAAGAAAAAAATCAAAATTTCTATTTTGGATTTTACCCCACTGCATTGATATCATGACAAACATAGAAAATTATGGCAGAATATAACTTAAGAGTATATCTAACCTAACACTGCCATGTCAGCACATCTTCTTAGACACTGATGTACCATTGTTCCCTCCAGGCGGCGGCTACCCAGTTCCAGAGGCCGCGGCGGGTGGCGCCTGACCGGGTCCGTAAAACTACCAACAACCGGACTGAGCTGTCCTCAGCTGACAGCAACAGGAGGGAGTTTGACGGGAGGGCGGTAGATCCTGGTAAGTGTGTGACACTCTTCTTTCAACCTGCAATGTAGTCAAATACTGTATAACTGTAGCTGAACCAAGTAAACACCCCCAATTTGTCAATATTGCATCAACTGTAGCTTGTAAGAGCATAAACGCACTTAATGTCTTTCTTTGCCTTGAAAATTGAAATCGCACAATCAAATAAAGAACCAACAGTACACACCGAGAAGAGTAGACGTAACATGCCAGGCGCGGCGTCTTCTGTTGGTACCTAGTCCTACTCGTACAGATAACACTGAGAACAGAAGAGACGTGGAAAGATGCATTGACCGAACCAAACATCTACATTCAGCTGCACGGTGATCCGTTCCCGCCCCGGTTTCTAGGTATCCTGAGCTTCCCTACACTCTAAACTCATGGACAGGCGTGTTGCCGATGTTCAAATCTCCCGAAATACGCAAAAACGCGACCAAATTCTACCGGATCGTGTCCCAAACACAACGGAGCCGCCATGTTGTTTACGTGCTACTAGAGTAAAACTAGCGTCACCTTCACAGCAAAATTACTGAAAATGGTCATTTTCGTAGCGTTTTCGGTAATTTTGCTACAAAGGGGTCTTGTATAAGATGTGATAAACATAATACGCTTCGGAGCACAGGTTTTAATTATTATAGCCCAAGCTTTGTCAAAATTGCCATGAATTTCTGCTGACGAATTCTATTATTTACGAATTCTTGGAGCATTCGTATAATAAGAATACTACTAGTGTCCTTAACACTAGTAGTACTAAAATCATTTATGAAAGCAGGTTAGCATTGTTAAATACTAGCAATAGGTCAATTTCTTTTTATGTACAATTTGCCCCACATTGTACCTACTATAACTGTCATACAATACATTTATTCTGTACTGTTATTCCCCTCCCAGCCACCGGCAGAACGTACGTGTACAACACGCGGACGGGCGCGCGGAAATGGCTGGACACTGCCCGGAGTAACCTCAACAACCGGCGGAACATAAACAGTAACAGTAGCGAGGCTTAGTCTGGAAGTTCATCTGAGTTGATAGATCAGTTTGAAACTGTAATTCCCAACACAGAAGTACCAAATTTTTTGTCTCTTCATCTCAATTCTTGTCAAAGGCTGTTGTTGAATAGTAGATTTTTTTACTACTGTTGGAAATTACAGTTTAAATCTGTTTAGAGTAGCGATACATGTAGGTCTACGTACTTCATGCCACACTGATTTGATAAACTGTTATTCTCAAAATAATGACCGGGGGTGAACTGCATATATACAATGTCAAAGAAAGCAATAGAGAACATACAACTACTATCTGATCAACTATACAATACTACTGATTTGTCTGCTAATACAAGGTTTGACAAACTATTGATACTCATAGGATCAAAGTACCGACATTTTGCGTACGTGTTACAATTAGTTTGAGTTGCGAAACGTTCATTGAACAGACGAAAACATACTGTGACAGCCTTATCATGTAGCGTGTTTCACTGTTATCAAATAGCACACTTGCCAAACTACAACATTGATATATATGTTTGGCCATGGTCAACAGTAAGGTTAGACATGTATGTTAAATCAGGTATTTCACTTAATGACTCCTTCTTCAAAGTAGAATAACAAACTTGAACCAGCAAAACTTTGGGTCTTACAACTGTTTATCAAATCCATGTGGCGTGGGGTGGAGTTTATGTAAATATTTTCGGTCGACTCGATATATTTTTGTACGATAAAAATCTATGACAGGACTTCTACAATGCGTAGATGTCGTCAATATAATTAATGGTTGTAAGTATGTTGTTGTTTTTTTTTACATTTGTACATTTGTTTGACAAGGATAACATTTTCCATATATCTTCCTAATAACATAGTAATATTATACTTAATATCAAAGGTGACTGAAATGTTACATGACAAGAAAAAAAAGCAGCCATCACAAATACAGTTGTATCCAAAACCTGCTTTAAACCGGACCTGGGGCAAATATGCTGCTAGCAAAGTTTCTATATCTGTAATACCCAGACTCAACTTGTACTTTTTATTATTGACGGGAATATCAGCAACGTAAGATGTGAAGTTGTAAATATGTGTGTTTTATGTGTGAAAAAATTGATCTATGAAATATCGCTATAAAATAGACCAGTGCGAAACATTGAGTTCGTTTTCTGGATATTTGTGTCGGTACCATGCACTTAAGGTTGCTGTGCAATAACGATAAAAAATGTGTTTCATATGTACATATGTCTCTTGGTGGATTTTGTAATAAAGTTTGCTACCGGCATAAGATGTGTTTGTCATTTTGTTTAGATAGAAGTTTCCTATTTACTTTTCTCTGGGATATACTGAAAATTCAATGCACTAGTGGCAGAAAAAAGTGCTGTCCAATTGAGAAGTGTGAAAAAAGAATCACTGTTCTAAAATGTAAAATGTATAGTTCTTGGCATATTTGCAACAAACAATCTTTAAGTGTCCTCATCAGTGTAACTCTTCGAACAGGGTGTTTCTCCGTTATGCCACCGTATATTGACGAAAGATGAGTAAAGTATATTTCTTAAGGGCACGACATCGTGCATGTCAGGGGTTCGAACCCAAGACCTCTTGGTTCTGAGCCAATCACTCTGACCATTACGCCACGCGATGCAATGTCAAACCGTGTGAACAATAAATAAAACCCACAGTTTGTATATTCCACAACAACATACCCTGACACTGTATTCAAACGATACACACATACTCTGAATAAAACTGTCCTTAAACTTTGCCCCTATTGAAACAGTATTTAACCTATTCATTTGCTAGTGAATCCGGTACCATGCGTACCACGGCCCCTGCCAAGCCAACACTTTTGTTCCTATTTAAACCGGTGTCACTCAGGCCTTTCCCTACATCTATTCACGACGCACGTAGCGTACATACTAGGCCACGCTGACTTAATTGTATGCATCTACGCACGCATTGGCTTCGCGTGTTCTCAAAAACATCACCTCCTTGGGACGGCACCCAGGCTGCCGACGCTCCACGAAGTCAAGACCTTAGTACATTGCCGACTCAGAAATGCCGCAAAAGGCCAGCATGTGCCGGCTTGTCGTAAAAGTCGCTTTGTACTACCGCAAATTCACAATACCAGTTTTGTATTTCTGTGATTTGGCATTGATTTTTTGCCGGATTTTTTGCCGATTCTTTTTATTCGCCCGCGCGCAATAGATTGAGGGTCTTCAGATGCTGTCATCCATAAAATTAACTCAGTGTGGCCTTACTGGTGTGACTCAGACCCTTCCCCTGCATCTGTTCACCCTCGCACGTAACGTCCACATTATCTGTGGCCGGTATGCCCTGCTCCATTAAGCATGGTACACAGCTGTTTGTATGGGGATGACGTACAGTAACACACACACGCAAACATGCCACCTGTCTGGCCGCGCTGCCCGAGAGACACGATCGGAGAGGGTCTGCATGCCGTTTTCCATGAGGCGTAGCAAGACATTTTTTACTCTCCAAGCAGAGGTATAGTCTTCGGCTTATTTTTGGCGTGTTTAAGGCTTTCTTCTTTTGTATCGGTATCCTTTTTTACACCGGTTTAATGGTAGCCGGTGACAAATTTGATGCTGTCTTTTAACCACCGAAAGATCTGCTGGAGAGTATTCTAATTCACCGTTAATCGTTGCGTAGGGAAATTCTTGGTGAAGCGCAATAAGCCACTTTAATTCTACGTAGCACGTTATGTGTTGTCCAGAATTCATTGTTAAGCGTTATCAAAAAATAATTTGTATGGTGTAGTCGAGAGCCGGACTATTTTCGCCAGGAACCCCAACAATCCAATGAAGTAGTTTCCAAGCTTTACACAAGAACAGCTTAATATTCCGTTAAGTATTGCCAGCCGTTCTAAATTTAGGACACGTCATTTCTCATAAGGCGTCGCCAGGATCCCCCATGCAGACCCTCATCTAAAAAAAGTAGTCCCGGGTTGTCCAAACACCCCTCCCCACCCACCTGTGTTTGCCGATAACTTAGCCTAATATTGACCCTCCTTTTGTTAATTGGACATTACGAACTTAATAAAGTTAGATTATCCGAGCAATAGGATAAAGATTTAGTTCAAGTGGTCCTGTAAACTTTACCTTATTTTAAGACTAACTTAAGTGTCTGAGACTAAGGAGGGTTGGCTAAGATTTCTTCAAGAGATTGTTCTTGAAAAAGACGTGGCTTGTCGGTAAGTGTTTGTGTTAACCCTAACGACAGCGTGACAAAACTGACAACTATGGCCGCTCCTATGACAGGTATTGGTTCGTTGCTATGCGGCACACGTCAAGCAAACTGACGCTCTTCCAAATACCGTCCCCATTCCTGGCCTTGTTGTTTCTGCAGTTCTTTTCAGTAACATCCGCTCGCAGTGACAAAGGTAACAAAAACCGACTGACGTGTGGTGGGGCGATCGTTTTGAAACGGTTGCTTTACTCACCGGCCTTGTTGTGCCAAATATTTGGCGGGTTTGGTAACCCGAGAGGTGAAACAACTGGATACTCAGGAGACGTGTTTGTGAAACAGGGACAAACTCGGAGCTTGTTGGAGAAAGTGCGTACCAGATAGGGTGATTACCTAATACAGGGTCTCAAGAGTGGCATCTTTTTTATACGTTGGACCTACATAGCCGTACCGTGTTGTAGATACTGTGAAGAGTTACGGAACATTACTGACGCAGATTCGTGAAGGTACGAAAGCTTCTGTGTAGTTTTTTGGGCAGTGTACAACTGGATACTCAGGAGACGTGTTTGCGATACTCTGGGACAAACTCGGTGGCTTGTTGTAGAAAGCGTCAGTGAAAGTAGCCGTACCAGGTAGGGTGATCACCTTATACCGGGTCAAGAGTAATATACTTCCCCTAAGTGTTCTTTGAAACATTAGAACTACATACATAGCCGGTCTGCGCTGTAGATACTGTGTGAAGTGACGGAAGTGACGACAGATTCGTGAAGTAAGAACGCTTCTGTTTAAGTTTTTTCCTGTCAACACCTTTAGCCACTGTAACTGTATGATTTCTGCCATTACGTTTGTACAGTGTACGTGTGAAAAGTGGTCTGTAAGTTGCTATGAAGGATCTGGGTACCGGCTTGTGTAAAGCCTACGTGTGTACAAGCGAGGCAAAGTTTAGGGCTCTTTCATTCGGTGTGAAGGGAAGTAGGTAGCAAATGTTCAAGTCCCGCTTGTAGTCAGTGAATTCACTACATCTTAGCTACACTTAGCGCAACACTGATATGCCATAAGTTTGTCTTTCTCTTCACTTCGTTTTGTGAAAAATGACTTAAAATTGAAACACCACTTCTATATGTATACAGCAGTTTGAGTATGAACTCCAGATAGCGCCACTGAAACAACTAGACATGGGGAACAACAACATCCTGCGAACTTCTATCATCTTTCTGATCGTCAGTATCGGTAAGTACTTTCTAATAGTTTCTAACAAACTCAAACCTGTTGCTAGAAAATACTGAGAATTCAGCAAATAGGCGGAGTAGTATAACAGATAAGTTAGGCGACCAAGTTATCGACCCTAAAGCTTACAAATTGTGCCCTCTAACTCCATTGGTATACTATTTCATCTACTGCCTAATTTCTATTCAAGCAACCTGATAAGCCTGCGTTTTATCACTAACGTTACTGCAAAATGTGATTCTGAAAAACCCTGTACTTTGTACATGGCAGTCAGGGATCATATGATTCTTCTTTTAAACTTGCAGTCATATCTAACTTTTACCCAAAGCCTTCCATTCATCCCAATTTAGTATCTACACTCTTTGCACATATTGCTGCTAGTTAGGAATGTCTCGATTTTCTTATATTATGTATTATAGTATTGTACCTTGTAACCAGTTAGTATGTTATCTTTATTTCAGGTCTTGTATTTATAGTAGATTTCTTATTTCATGTTTGTCTCCACGTTTGTATTTGTGGGTTATCTAATACCAGTCACCACTGCCTTGATAACCTGTGTATTCATCTGTTGTCATTGCCAATAAAGAAAGAAAGAAAGATTAGAGTAACAGGTTGTTTCGCTACATTGTCAGTTCGCTACAGTTGATTCGCTACATGGCAAAAGTCGATTAGTCACATACAGGAGCGCAATAAATGTCAAGGATGTAATAGATGTCAATCTGTTAATCTGCATGTACCTATCTGCCTGTCTGTCTGCATGAAACTAGGGCGCCACACTCCCGAGATATAGGACACTGTAAACTAATTAATTTCCATTAGGTGGATAAAAACAAATAAAATGGGACCATTGAAGATTAAACCAGGCTGATCAGTGGAGTCAGTCGGAGTTTGTTTTGGGGGAAAGTAGAATCTGAACAATAACGCTGAAGAAAGTAAAACAGGAAGGTATCCACTATTGAAAACTCCGTAAATGTGCCTGAGGATGTTTCAAGATGAGAGCGGAGACATTGGAGACATATAGCATAATTTTTCCTCTCTTATACCTAGTTATCTATCTTAATACATGTATTTAGGCCATGTTGAGTTTGAATATGCAATTAAGTTCATTGTTCATTATACACGGGTAAGTTGATATTGCCACAGGTGAACCTCAAGTAAAATATTCTTCAGCACTCAGATAGCATGCCAATACACAAGTACAATCGTTACTCCATGCACAGTATATAGCTAAAGTTATGTAACCAAAGTAGTGTTATCACGTTCTGGGTTGGCTGACGTTCTGTTTAATTTTGATAACCTGGTTGATAAGGTCTAACTAGAAGGTCACAAAACACGTGTGTACAAACAGAGTTATCAACCTCGGTGTGTTCGTGTGGTAACTAAGGAGTCTATCTATCTATCTATATGTTGTACTGGACAAGGCCCCAAACTGGGGCATCACGTCCAGGGTCATTGACAATTGCGGCCGGTGGGGTGAGGTGCTCCGTTCAAGGAAAAAAATCAAACAAAAATGTGTTGTGTGCAATAATAAACAGTGCTATATACATTGATATACATTGAGTCATTGATAGATGTTTTCGTTCTACGATAACATTCAAAAGTCGGTCTTATCTTAATAATCCCTTAACAATTTCCACTTCAAAAAAGCATGTATAACGAAAACAAGACCATGTATATTTTACTCGGAATCTATTGGGGAAGTTGTATAATGGTTTTGCATGTACATGAAAAGTCGTCATGTCGCTTCAACAGTTACATGTAGTTTTTTTTTTCTTGTTACACGATTTTGCTGGCTGGCATAGCTTGTAGAGTAAAGTAGCACAACTTTCTGATGTAGTAGTGTAGTACATTGGCGCCCCCTTTCACTATTTACTGAAAGTGCAATGCTCAATACACAAAATCTCATCGGCGAGAATCTGATCACAGCTTTTTGCAGTAAATCGAATTTAGCAAAGATCTTTTCCCATCTTTATGATCAGGAGGGTCGATACACATTTTATTTGTTTGGCTTTTTATATTACACTTTACACTAACCCTAACACACATTAAAGAAGTGAGATGCTATGCTATGAGCTTTCGACCAGTCACTCTGGTCTTCCTCAGTAGACTGACCCAGTGAGGCTTGTCACGTGGCTTCTTTAAAGTGGGACGTCAACACTGGGTCAAAGGTATCTGGTAGACGATATCGGCCCCCGTCGCGGTTCAGTGATATTATCATTATTATATAATTATCCAGGCTGCGTCTGCGGCCAGTATAAGAACTGCCAGGCGTTAAAAGATGCCGGTTTCACGACGAACGGCCGGTACACGATAGACATAGACGAGACGGGCAGTCTGACGTCCTTTGTCGTGTACTGTGACTTCACGTCCAGCGCGACAGCTGTCACCATCCTCAACCACGACAGCGAGACACGGACACAGATCACGGGATTCGACAGCGCAGGTAGGATTAAAACATTCTCATTCCGTACTACATTGTGTCTGTAAGGTAGATTGGTCTCAATAGATGCCATACATAATGTACCTTGAACAATTGTTGTGTAGTAAAGCTTACATTTGTTGATGCGTAATTTTTACCCTCGGCATTGTTTAAAACAAGAGACAACCCTTGTAGCATTTCGAGGATGGTGTGTTTGAGGGCTGATACAAAGCTACCACACCAGAATGTCACTACAAGTAATATTTGTTGTAGCCAGAACTGTGCTTTATCTAGAACCGTACGCGTGCTCTGTCAATGGGGCACATCTACGTTCCTGGATACGCGGAGACGATGCCTGATCCAAACCCTAACCCATTCAGGCATAGACCTCAAAATATCATGAAGGAAAAGGTGGGGTGCAGTCCCATGTTCTTTGTGTTCTTAATAATCGGTATGCCACTCCTCTTAACTCGTTGTCCATAACATTATGTGACCACAGGCGAGTACATCGACTCCATCGCGTACGAGGTCTCCATGACGCAAATCGCCGCCGTAGTCTCGGACTCAGCCACCTGCCAGCAGCACCTCAAGTACGAGTGTATGCACAGCGCCTTGGGACTATCAGGTTTGTTTGTTTGGTTGTTTGTTTTAGAACAAGGGTTTATAATAGGCATACAAACATTGGCATAGTCTCGAAACCAGCCTCCTGCCAGCAGCACCTCAAGTACGAGTGTATGCACAGCGCCTTGGGACTATCAGGTATACACCCCAGCAGGAGGCTGCGTTCGAGGCTATAACATAGGCTATAACATAGGCTATAACATAGGCAATAGCCTCGAACCCAGCCACTTGCCAGCAGCACCTCATAAACAAGCACGAGTGTTTGCACAGCCTTGGGACTATCAGGTAAATATGAGAAGCTTGCAAACATAGGCTATAGTCTCAGCTCTGCAACAAGTCTACACCATGCACTAGGGCTGTCAGGCTGGGGCTTATACTAAGCATAAAAACGTAGGTTATGGGTTATAGTCTCGAACCCAGCCACCTGCCAGCAGGGCCTCAAGTACATGTACGAGGGTCTGCACGGCGCCTTGGGACTATCAGATGACAACTGGGCTTTATAAAAAAGGAAACAGATTCTTTTATTGACTCGACAAAATGTACAGTACAAGAGTTCACACACGCGTTAGGGTTATCAGATAAAAAGCTGGGGTTTAAGCATAACAGGTATACACAAAACATAGTTTCAAACTCAGCCTGCACAGTGCTTTGAGATTATCCCGTAAACATGCTGGGTCTAAGCATAACATAGGCTACAGAATCGTTTTCATCGTCCTGTCAGCAGGACCTAAATTTATGCTGTCGTATCCTAGTATCAACAGCCGATGCTTCAAAATATGGAGACTGTCTGGGTCCTATATTCAGTGACTATTAGGTGTCCCTGTGGTGTCATGGCAACGGCATATGGATCCTTCATGTTAGTAGTGATGTGTTTGAGGAATGTTCCTGTCTTGTCAAACATCTCCACACGACTGTTTCCCCAGTCTGCCACGATGATGTTCCCTGCCCTGTCTGTACAGATGCCTCGGGGGTAGTCCAGCTGACCTTCACCTCTTCCCAAACCTCCAAAATGGAACCGAAAATGCCCATTCTTGTTGAACGCATAGACACAGTTATCGCTACCGTCTGATACAAGAATGTTCCCCTCCTCGTCCACAGTGATGTACCGGGGTTCCTTCATCCCCTGCCGCTGCAGTAAGAAACTCTTCTTTGACCATGCCCTCACAGTGTTCACAAGTGTTCCATCTGGCCTGAACACCTGTACTTCACCATGTTCGTTAAAGAAGTCTTGTATGGATTGTGTGATGAGGATGTGGTTCCTCCTGATGTCCACAGCAACTCCTCTGAAACAGAATGACTTCCGTAGATCAAATTTCCTCAGCACCCTGCCCTGTTTGTTGTACTGCACAGCGAACTCAGCAGAGTCTGTCCACCCCACCACCCACAGGTTCCCCACCCCGCCCAGGGCCACATCTGTTGGGCTTATCTTCTGTTCATCTGACACGACTGTTGGGAACTGTCGGACAAACGTTCCCCGCAGGGTGAAGACTTGGATCCTCTGGTTAAGACAGTCTGCTACAAAGATCTTCCCTTCCTCTGACGCTGCAACACCCCATGGATGAAAGAACTGTCCTGTTCCTGATCCATATTCACCAAATGTCACCTTCTGAGGCTGATGTATTTGATCACCTGTGCCCCTTGATGCAGGTGCTGCTGGGATTGGTGCAGATGGGAGAGACTGGGCCTCTTGCTCTTGGTTACCATGGTGATGACCTGTGCCCCTTCCTGCAGGTGCTGCTGGGATTGGTGCAGATGGGAGAGACTGGGCCTCTTGCTCTTGGTTACCATGGTGATGACCTGTGTCCCTTGCTGCAGGTGCTGCTGTGATTGGTGCAGATGGGAGAGACCGGGCCGGCACATGCCCTGATACTGGCACGGGGGTGTCTCTAGGCTGAAAGACAGCAGGTTGGATTCGTACAGTAGTTGGTGCTGCTTTTCCTCTGTTCGTTCCAACCGCCCATCTAGCGACCTGTTCTTGGTTCGTTCTTAGTTCTGCTTGATCACAGCCAGCAGCCTGGTCTTGAAGCCTTCCCCGCTTACTTGTCGCCATGAGATTGTCGGGCAAACCAGCGACCCCCTGGGGTGGCAGCCTGATCTGCCGACGACAGTTTGGGCACTGTAACGTCACTCTCCTCCCTCCATGGTCCTGTAGACGCTGCAGACAGTCCGGGCAGAAGGTGTGTCCACATGGCAGCACCTTGGGCCTAGTGCACGGCTCTAGACAGATGCTGCAGGACATTTCTTCATAAATTTCCGTCGTTGAACTTGACGGAGCAGAGCCCATGATTTTGCTTCCAACTAGTGTGCCTGTCCTTTTTTCAGTCAAGACTCCGGTCTAAGGTTTTGTTCAGGTTTAGCCCAACAATTCCAGTAAACAATAGGTGTTTAGGTCATTTATTTTCTTATGTTTACCTACTTACTGGGTAACGTCCTAAAATAGAATTGCTAAGGAGACTATTTCCTTATTGAGCCTTATTCATAATGGGGAAGAAGCTAGAACACAACCACTTAAAACAAGTGAAAATAGCAATAACTATAAAAATTGACCAAGTCTGCCTAGTTTTGATTACAATAGACTAAAAAGATAGTCAAATGTGAAGCATTTAGCGTAATCACTTGGCAGCAATTGACCCCTATACTGATGACTGAGTTGGTATGACCCAACAGTCATTACTAACATATCAGTCAACGGTAGCGGCGACCTATTTGTCCCCTTTTGTGACATGCATTGTCCGGCAAATGATTAAAATGTAGTTACTACAACAAAGCTCCCACTTAATTTTCATTTTCTTCCCATTTTCGATACATGCACTTGCTAAACCAAAATAGAACCACCACACTTGTAGCTCCCATTCCAGAGATGAATTACTTGTTACTGCTTTTCTGTGACAATACAGACAGTAACTCGTACGCAGACCTACTGGGGAGGGTTAGGGTTAGGTACCGGTGTACTTACCTGTAGTTACTTGTGTGCTTACCTGTAGTTACCTGTGTGCTTACCTGTAGTTACCTGTGTTCTGTACAGACAGTAACCCGTACGCCTGGTGGGTGGACCGGTCAGGCGCCCAGCAGACCTACTGGGCAGGGTTAGGGTTATGTACCGGTGTGCTTACCTGTATACGTAGTTACCGGTGTGTTTACCTGTAGTTACCTGTGTCCCGTACAGACAGTAACCCGTACGCGTGGTGGGTGGACCGGTCAGGCGCCCAGCAGACCTACTGGGGCGGCGCCACGGGTCTGACCGGCAAGTGCGCGTGCGGCGTCGACGGCACCTGCGCCAGCGACCTGACGACGTCGGCGACGCTCACCTGTAACTGTGACGCAAACGACGCAACATGGAGGATAGACGAGGTGGGTCAAAAACTTTAGCTTCTGTTTGATTTTCATTTAGTAACTCAGAACGGTAAAATAACAGTACATTATTCCAGTTAGACCCAAAACAACAATGGGTAGCGGTCTTTCCTATTGATAAAGAGGTTGGGAGTTCGAATCCCGGCTGTTGTCATGTCATTTACCCGACATGTACACTACTGTAAAGGGTCGCAGTCCTTCAGTCGGGACGTTAAGCTGTGGTCCAGTGTTTACTGTGCTTGTAGAAAAGAGCTAGCCAAGGGTGATTTCCCCGGTACAATGAACCTGTAAACACTGTACATAGCGTCTGTCTTCTGTCACAACCAAGTGGAAGTGTCCCCCTCAGTGAGCTAAACTGGTTCGAGATCTCTTTTATTACAACTTTAACACATATCAAGCCTACCACTTACTACATGTCAACACAGCATGCAAGGTATGGAATATTGCATCACAATAAGGTACATGTATGATGTGCTTCCTCCGTTCCCCCCAGGGCTACCTGACAGACAAGTCAGTCCTGCCCGTGACCATGCTGCGGTTCGGAGACACCGGGCAGTCGGCGGAGGAGGGTTACGTCACACTAGGGCCGCTGCTATGCTATGCAGGTAGGTGTGGCGATTTCCTATGTAATAACCCTCGAAATCGTGCGGAAAAGTAGTACGATGCTTAAATGTATTCCTTCATTCATTCATATTCCTACATAAAGGGTAACACAATGATCAAATTTTCATCAACCACTGTCATCTTCATCGTCATAATTAATGACCAATCGCTACTGAAAAAAAAACTGTGTTGCATGGTTTAGTTCTGCCATATTGTGACAGTCGTTTTGCATAAAGCTATGATCTACATTTCTTATATCTTCTCATCTATCCTTTCGTCTAACTGTTTGACCGTTGGAGCACCACAGATGATTTGACAAGTGCATTCTCAAGTCTGAAACTTTCATAACACTACAGAGCCACATAAAACATTTCAAGAACACAGGACATACATGTCATACAAGACATACATCACTCTGTCTATCCTTCCCTTGTTTGTTATCTTTCTAAAGGCGAGTCCACCACCATTCCTCCCGTCACAGCCACGCCGGTGCCCTGGGTCCAGACGGCAGCAGGCATCACCGTCATCATCATCTGTATCCTCATCTTCATCGGCATCGTCATCATGCTCAACTTCTGCCTGTGTGCGCCCTGGTGGAGGAGAAACTGTACAAGATACTGTGGGTGTTGTAAATGCTGCGATGCCTGTCTGTGTTGTGATGGACCTTCCGTAGGACAGGCCCAGAAGTAAGTGCCCCCTCTGTGTGTGTCTGTCTGTCTGTCTCCCCCCCTCTCTCTCTCTCTCTCTGTGTCTTTCTCTCTTTCTCTGTCTCTCTACCCCTCTCCCTGTGTGTGTGTGTGTGTGTGTGGATAGTGTTTAGCACCAAGGACAGGACCTGGTGTACTGTTTGTGAGTGTGTGTACATGCTCAACTTCTGCCTGTGTGCTCCCTGGTGGAGGAGGATGTGTACTCGGTACTGCGGGTGCTGCAAGTGTTGTGATGCCTGTCTCTGTTGTGATGGACCTTCCGTGGGACAAGCCCAGAAGTAAGTGGATAGTTTTCAGCACCAAGGACAGGACCTGGTGTACTGTGTGTATGTGTCTGTTAGTTTCTCTCTCTCTCTCTCTCTCTCTCTCTCTCTGTGTGTGTGTGTGTGAATGTATCTCTGTGTGTGTGTGTGTGTGTGTGTGTGTGTGTGTTTGTGTGTGTGTGTGTGTGTGTGTATGTGTGTGCCTGTGTGTGTGTGTCTCTGTGTGTGTCTGTACATGTTTGTGTATGTCCATCTGTGTTTCTTTGTGTATACTAATTACAATGCCTGTTTTCGTCCAGGGTGCAGGTTGAACCCACGAAAAAGCCGACGAAAAGGTGAGTATTCTATCTAAATAAACCTCAAAGAATATACCACATGTTGCGTTCATATCACTATAGATGTGTATATTGGCCTTTGAGTAATTAATCAATGAATTTATGTTTTTGCTACCCTCCATGTCCTACAGCGTTTCCTTCGTGAACGTTAAGGCGCCCCCGCCAGCGATAACCTACCCCAAACAGAAGGCACCGACTCAAGGTACTGTTGACACTACACAACTTTGATGCTCTGTTATTTTCTCACTGGTGGTTCAATGTACCCAGCCTGATTACTATGAATTACACTCCTTTGCATAGCTATCGTGTGATGGTACTGCAGAACCCCAATTTCTTAAAAAAAAACTACCAGTCATAGCATGGTGCCCTTTAAAAGGTGCACTTAGGTGCTGCACTTAGGTGCACCTGTTCCACCATGCCCTCCATGTATATTATGTATGTGGTCAATCGTAATAACTAAATAAGTCCATAGCGGCTTAAGCAGTAGCGTTGTTGTTGAAATATCAACCGTGAAGTTTTTCTGCCATTTTCTACAAGTACATGATGTATGTGACAAAGCCTCTTCCTACAACCCTCCCCACAGAAGTGCTGGTAGTGGACGCTCCCCCGCCCAAGAAGAGTTTCTACATTCAGAACAGGACCAGCACGGACTGGGAGGAGCTGGAGGTTCGTGAAAAAAACTGTTTAACCTTGACTACAGCAGTCTTTATTCTCGCTAACTCTTGCTTTCTAAAGTTACCCATGCCTGTGCGCCATTCATTTAACGGCATGACGGCCAGTTTGCATGTGTAATGGTATATTTCCAGAATTATCTTGACTGAAGTCACAAAAAATCAGGGTTACCACGCGTTTATTTATTTATTCATTCATTCATTCATTCATTCATTCATTCATTCATTCATTCATTCATTCATTCATTCATTCATTCATTCATTCATTCATTCATTCATTCATTCATTCATTCATTCATTCATTCATTCATCCTTTCATCCTTTCATCCTTTCATTCCTTTATCCATCCGTTAATTTATCCCTACATCTATCCATCCATTCATCCTTTTATAATTTTGTTCAATCGTCCACCATTTTGCCGCTTTCCATGTCATCCATTCATATCTATCTTATCAGAAAATCTTGCTGCGATTTTCCATTTAATTTCTTGTCATTTCATTCCATGTTGCATGATCATCTTTTCATGACATCGATCAACCGTTGATCGCAGGAGCCGCAATCGTTTTTAAAAGTTCCCGATGAAAACCCTTCTCGTCAGAACAGAACGTAAGCTGTGTTTGGTGTCGTGACGTGATACATAAAACTACTTAATCTACATTGTTGTCCTAGTTGAACTAATACTCTGCAGAGCGCTGTTTTGATTGTGGGGAATTTTGTTTGTTTCCGCCTTGCTAACGCAACAACCTGTTGGCTTATCTTTGGCCCCATCCATGCACGCTGCCATGCTTGAATCTTCACTTGAATATCTGCACTGCACCTCCCTCGCTGCCTGCACGCTTCGGACTTTGCTTCTTCCTCAATAGAGGCTCAGAGAGGTAGGAAACTAAGCACACCAGATGGTAGAGGACAAAATATGCAATCATACTGTGCCAATCAAAATATGTAAGCCCATAAGACATGAGGTCAATCACAATCAGGACAAACAATCACAATGTACCAGCTACATTCAGCATGCCCTAAGGTTTGAAATTCTGACCTATTATACTTAATTTTCTAATCGAAATGCGCCAACCATAATTCACCAACCATACATTTGATCAAATTAAAGATATTTTAAAGGAATTAAAATGAAAACCACATGGGAAGCAAGTGTATTGGCCATTCTAACACACGAACATACAACGACAACAAATCAAGTAAAATAGATGTAACTTTATGTCAATATATGAACACTGCTAAGTTGACGAAATGACCCTGAACTTCCCTCACACAACATTATTCTATTCTGTACCATTGCAGAAAGGGAAGAAGGAATCCAACTTCGTCCCGGACGGACAGGCGGTAGACCCAGGTAAGTTTCTGTAAGGTCAGAGCTGTCAATCATTGGACCGGTGTCTTTTATCTCCCGCCCAGCCACGGGCCGCTCGCGTGTATCCTTGGTACTGAAATGGATTTCACCACTCATTACATACAATGAGGGGAAATCTGGAGGAAAAAAAACCAAGGAAGTCCGCATTTCTTTGTTTTAAAACAACATGCAAGAACATTAAAAAAACCATATACATGTAGACAAGCAATAATTGTTTAGCATTATGTCAGCCTCTGGCCGTTCTTACATGTACAACAGTAAGATCTTAGTAGTATCCACTTAACGTTATCTGTCCTTGGTGCTGAAATGGCGCTCACCACACATTGTTTAGTTGGAGCTAGGTGTAGCTTTGCACTGGAACTAGGCTCACACAGACAAGTAATCATTTCTGAGCGCTATGTCGTTCTTCTCCCCCAGCCTCCGGCCGTTCTTACGTGTACAACAGTAAGACCGGCCAGCGGAAGTGGACCGACACGACAACAGCGGTCCTAGCGGCCAACAGGCTTCGGAACGCCGGTAGACAGAGGGACGCACCCCGCCGGGACCCAAGCCCAAGACAGAGCCCTAGAGTAGACTCTCCGCCTCTCACACAAGTTGCCCAGATATAGCCTTCAACAGGCCCTTTTAAGGGGTAATGGATAGTAAGATTCAGCGAAAATACAGTAATTCCAACCAGACATTCCTAAGGTTTAGCAGCTAACAGGTCCGGTACACGGGGAGACAGAGCCCTAGAGTAGACTCACCGCCTCTCACTTATGTTGCCCAGTAGATGTAGCCTCCACAAGGCCTTCCTTAGGCGTTATAAAAAGTTCAGGAAAAGAGCCTCCACCAGGCCTTCCTAGGGGTTTATGGATAGTAAGATTTGGTGATAGTAGTAGCCTCCACCAGGCTTTCCTAAGGAGTTACAACTAGTAAGATTCGGTGAAAACAGTACTAGTAGCCTCCACTAGGCCTTCCTAAGGGGTTATGGATAGTAAGAGACTACAGTAGATTATACTGTGAAAAAGCTTGTACAAATACTGTAAAATGTATGAAATTTCAATCAACGCAGAACGCAACCTCTTGTCTTTATGCCAGAGGTTATTCAATGCATTGTAAAGAGAAATTCTTAAGTCGTAGTGGTACAATCGATTTTGCCAACGCCTCAGGAGCGGAACGTCTTTTTCTACTGTTGCTTTGCACATGTACAGTTATCGTTGGCAGCACGTTCTATGCAATTTTCACGTGTGATGTTGCGTTTCAAGATGTGTATATAAAATTTCTACAAGTTACTAACATCTTTCACAAGGTTTTCTAGGATAATATGTGAACTATATACATTTCGTACTGTCCACTGCAATGTAATGTGTTACTTTTGTAAATTTAAGTATCTTCACTATAGAAACACAAGTATGCATTATCAAAAAATACACAACTCAAGAATGATTTTCAATCAATATATTATTTTGGTAGGTTGGGATACAACAAACACTGAGGTAACGTATTAAGAAAACTTCCTTCCACAGAACAAGCTTCTTTTAAAGTACAAAAAATGTTGATATACATGTACAGAATAACCTCAGATGTGTAGAAGAAATAAATATGAACCTTTCGTTTCCTTCTGAACATCAAAATAGTGCAAGAAATACCAACAGTAAAAGTGGTCAATTATGTAGACTATGCAGTGCTTTTTTTCCGGAATTCTTAACACATGCTATTTCTAATTTATATACAGAATACAGTGCAAGAAAGGAACATCATGAAACAACACAGTTCTACTCAATTAACACTACAAATATGCTCTATTTTTATGTATTTTTTAAACTCTACTGTACAGAATTCTAACGCCACACAACTCTTCTACTGGAATTTTATACCAACCTTTTGCTAACAATCCTTGAACGTTAGTTATTGCTATACTTATCAACTGTTTAGGACCTTTTTGCATGCACAAAGCACAAGTTTTGGGAACCGACTGTACAATTTATCTCAACAATAATGTGTACATTACCTAATCATCACTTATCTATTGTTAGTAAGGGCCACATAAAAAGGTGGTAATTATTCACATGTTAGGAATTAGTCTTAATAACTTCTGATCCTAACTTTGCAAGAATCAAGGAAGAACAAATTTTGGAAATCATGAAAATTTGTGATGCGATTGTTAATAATGACATTTGAATAAAGTGTTGATAGATTTTCAATACTGGAGTTTTGTTGAGTTATAGCACCATGACATGGTTTCACTTCAGAATCTGAATTAAGAACATATCACATAAGACAACATAATGCAAAAATAATTCTGTCTAAGAAGGTTCTTTATTCAACAACCTTTGGGATTTCTAGCCACCGTAGCAGGCTTATAGAACTGGGGATTTGGTGGTCTTCGGCTGTTTTCTGATTAGCCCAGTTCCGTAGCAGGCTTATAGAACTGGGGGTTTGGTGGTCTTCGGCTGTTTTCTGATTAGCCCAGTTCAAATGGGGGTAATTCAACCAGGCTGGCTATGTTGTCTATATGCAATCAGGAAATAGCACATAAAAGCTCCCAAAGACCCTGAAGACCCCCATTTTTTGGCATGCTAAGAGGCTATGGGTTTTCATGCATTTGCAATATTGCAGAAGAGGGTGACAGATGGTCATCAAAACATTGGATGCAAAAACCAACTGGTTGTTGAATAAAGAACCTTCCTATACACTTAGTCTCTTGCCAACCTGATGAAATTATTCACGGCAAAATAATTCTGTTTTATAACTGGCTATGTCCATAGCTGCATGGATACATGTAGGCACCCAAAAGTTTCACAACACACGGTTTAGTATATAGTATTTACGAGGAAGAAAAATGTTTGGATCTGAACATTAGTACAAAATTCACTTCACACAAAAGCCACATGCAGACTTGTAAACACGTATTACATACCATTTTGCTGTAGGTTACACAGATCTCAGGCCTAGGGAAAAATGTTGTGTTTCCTGTCTTAGGGTCAGTAGGTAGGGATTATCTTTTTTCCTTCTCTTTTTTATTAGACTTTGGCAATTTCTAGTGACCAACTTGTGATCCAAGATATACAATACAGTTCAACAACGTAAAACTTGCATGAGGACACTTATATTTTCAATGTCAATGTTGGAAAACTGATTGTACAGCGTTTCATGACTCAGGTGTCAGACCATGATCAGCTTGAAAAATATATGTCCCTTGCAGGGGTCCACCTAAAATAGGCTAGGGTCATCAGTTGTTTCTAGAGTCATCAGTTTTTTCTAGGGTCAGTTGGGAAACAGGAAACACAACATTTTTTGCTAGGCCTTACTAGGCATTACTTATGATGATGTACAACACTCAAAATGGCTTAACACTTCTCTGTTCAGGTTGGGACAAAAATACATGCTTTTTTTTTGTTTTGTTACCTAATCAGCATGTTTGTAACAACCTTTGCATTTTCTGGGAAACCTTTTTCACACAACAGCACATTTCTATAGGTAGATAATCCTACACTGGGATATATATACAAAATTATACCAACTTATCATTGGAAAATCATATCCTATAATTAGCCTTTAGCCACAGTATTCTTCTTAAACTTGTGTATTATTTTATAGTATTCTACACAAAAGAGCCAATACAAACTCAATACTAACACAGAAACAAATATGTACAATTGCAAACACTTTCTGGGAAGAATTGAGTAGTTAGAACAGACGCCTCTTTTTCTTCATAAAATGTTAGCATATTATTCATTTTCACTTATGGTATTTAACTCATTCTCAAAGGAGAAGTTCTTTGTATTGCCACTTGCTTTCATCAGTCACATTTTTAGTAATTTTACCTACCAGAAATATGAGCTAGTTTTTCCATAAGCCCTTGACTGAAAGAATAAGTTCAAAACTGGCCACTTGAAGATGTACTTAAAGCAAAATGAAGTAGTTTTTTTGCAGACAAACTTTATACATTATACGTCGATGAAGGTTAGACATCCAGGTAATATGATATGCCAAAAAGCAGCTGGATATGATTTTGGAAACGGTCAGACGTTTCAGCTAGTATCCACTAGCTTTTGTCAGTGACTGAGGAAAGTGACTGAAATGTAAGTCCCAGTCACTGACAAAAGCTAGTGGATACTAGCTGAAACGTCTGACGTTTCCAAAATCATATCCAGTTGCTTGAGTAACTGTTTTTTGGCGAAACTTTATACATTGTTTACTTTGTTGTATCTGGGTACTTGTGGTTAATTTACAGTGAGAGAACTGCCTGTGTAAAAATCTTTCCTGCTCATGTAGTAAGGCCATTTTTTCAGAACTACCAAAAATGTATGTTTTTTACATGGATATTGAGTCTGTAGATTTTTCTGCTTTTATACATGCAAGTGAACATGGTTGTGTCATGTTTGTATGGGTTTACGGGTTTTTGTTTTGTTTCAAATCAGACTATTATACAGGCATGCAACAAAAACTAGGGAAAACATAATTACAGTTTCTGTATCTAGACTAAGTCACTGTACAAGTCAGACTTCAGAGTTAACTGGATAGTGTAAGGCTTCTATACTTCAGTCTTTGCAATTTTCCATCCGTGTAATGCACTGTATGGAAATCTATGACAAACTTACATGTATCTACTTGTACTTGGCCTTTGTTGATGAAGGTTAGACATCCAGGCAAACAACACTCATAGACAACTTCAAATTCTGATACTGGATAGGATGTAGGGATTTTCTTTTACACAACAAGTATTGTCTCTTACCTTGCCTATGTTTCAGTTGAGTATCTACATTGTTTCAGACCTTCTTCAGAGTTGTGTAAAAGAAAATCCCCATATCATAAGCTTTACCAACCTGATGAAACTATTTTCGTATCTACTACTGGATATATTACAGAAAATACTTCAAAACATTTCCAGTGACACCCATCACTCTTCTTCAGTATTCTGTTAGCTCATTCTATTGAAACTGAAGAACAGTGATGGCATTCACTCAAAAAGTCAGGAAGTTATCTCTGTAGATACTTTTGTGATGATAATTCATCCAGGGTTATATCAATAAAATAGTGTTTCAAGCTTCACCCACGGATATAAGAATTTTATTGTCAATAAATTAAATTCTTATATCCAGTTCTAGTTTTACTGACAATAGATTCTTATATCCAGTGGTAAAGTTTGAAACACCATTTTATTATTTCTGTAGAGTTTGAATTGTCTATGAGTTATTTGGCCTATGTCTTCCTCAGTGTATGAACTATATTACTAGCTGTTTTGTTAAATAATAAGCCGACCTCCCTTGTTGAGTTTAAGAATTTTGCTGAGTCTTTGTTTTGCTGTGGCCATGCCTTTCTTCGGTCTCTTCACTGTGTGGAAAGAACAAGAACTTGATCAGAAAAATAAATCACAAAACAGTATTTTCCCAAACAAGATGCTACCATATCATATGGTTACCAAAATGGTTAAACAACATAAATTCTAAAACTTGATGCCCTGAAATTTTATGTACAACATGTATGCTTCCTCCCTTTTTCCATTTTGTTAATCAGAATAGAATCATCTCACATCTATTCAGGAGAACACTACTATAATACAGGGGGTGATTTTCACAATTTTTGCAGAGCCCTCTTAATGCAAAATCATGACACCACAAACATACCAATTTAAAGTAACAGTTACTCCAGTAATTGACTTTGAAAGCAGTCAGACATTTCAGGGAGCATCCACAACCTTTCATCAGTGACTGAAAGAGATCTGTAGGCTTAAGTATCGATCCAAACACTATGAATCTGAGAAATCTAATCATGCTGCAGTATTTCTGTGCAAGCACATCTAACCCTTGGAAGGTGAATACTTACTTTTTGGACTCTCCATGGCCATCTTGCCAGCCAGTACAGAAGCCGGCGCACTTTCTGACAAGCCTTCTCCTTCCAGTTTACTCTTCATGAGAGGATGGTTAATGGCGCTGTGTGACTTACTGAGGAGGGAGGAGGGGTGGGAGGGGGGCGCGTCGTCCAGACTGTCACTCAGTTTCCTCTTTGTGTACTTCCTCTTGGCTGGCTTCTGTGATGTAGAAAAGATAGGGAGAATTAACTATGAATGATACTGACACTCAAAATTGTCTGGATACATTGTCATCATCATCTGTCGACCCTTGCAATTTGGGTACGGGGTTAGCTGCTGCACTACTCTTGCCCACATAACCTGGTCTGCTATGGCTGATTTAAGATCCTCTATCTGGGTACATCCAGATGGTAATGGAAGGAAAAGGGCAAACATCCCATGGGAAAAGGCAGAGACAGTAGCTGTTGATAGAAGGACATGAAAACTTGCTACCCATGTTTGCTAGCTTAGGACCAGGGGGAGCTAAGGTATGGTGATATACACAAGAGTTACGAAATGTACATGTAGGTATATCATTTCAGTAAATTTAGTGGCCCAGAATTTGCTAAAAATTTACCGTTCCTCAGAGGAATTCTTGAAGATTTTTTCAATACTAGATTAAGAACATACATTAGAAATTCTGCCTGAATATTGCACAATGTCCCTGCCACCGACCTTCTCTCCCAGCTTAGCTGCAGCGTCAGCCAGCGCGCTCTCCACCTCAGGTTTGCGAACTCCTTCCCGGGGTGCACGCTCAGGTCTGGGGACTGACGGAAGGACTTTGGCTGGGACGGAAAACACAGAAGAGGTTGTTCAGAACATGTACTTAAAACTCCTGTCAAACATAACCGACTCCGACCTTCTCCATGGTTGGGTCATCTATGGTTAGGAGTTTGTCGGCACAGTTGCCTACCATTAGTACTAATCTTTAAAAGTTGTGTGCACACGCCGACTATAAATTTGGAGAAATCAAAGTCAGGAAAGTAATATTCTACTTGGAGGATTAGAGAATGAACTGGAGCTAGAATAGGATGGATTCCAGGCAACTCCCAACCCAGTACCAATCTTGGTTGGGGAGTGGTCAGGAGTAAAGTCATGAGAAGGGGGCTTAACTTTTCAAAATCACTTTGATTCACACCTAACAGATCCCAAAATCATCATGCTAACTGCTAGCTGCCATAAACAACAATCTATACTGAAAACATGTTATCATCTTAGATATGTTGATAAACAATAAGATCTAAGACACCTTTAGGATTCCAAGGAGCATCTTGAGGGTCCCTTTTTGGCTTCTTGGAGCGAGGTTTGAAGACAGGAGCCTCGTCCTCAGAGCCTTGGAGGGCTGGATACACTGGGGGAACAGAAATAAACATGCAGGTAAGTAAGGTATCTCACAGAGCAGCTCACTCGATTACGTTCTCCCATCAGATTGTTTCAAGGCTAAATTCAAAACAGCTTTATCAAAGAATGGATGGCACTCAAGAACATAATTTCACAAGTTACAGTCATGGCTAAATTTACAAATTAAAGTATTAACCATCATCAATATTAAACAATTCTTACAGCCCGTGCAGTACGTTTTACTGTTTACTACTAACTGGTATCCCTGCCCTCTTTAGTTTTGGTTGTTAATGTTGGTTAACAGTCACGTCTTCTGGTTGGTTGTGTACAATCAGGAAATCTCTGTATCACTTTGACTATGGTGTAGTCCTAAAAGCTGATAGCTGGTACAGGTAGCAGAAATTTAATACACTAAGTCTTTCATTCAATCTTTCAGTCAGTCAATTAGCTCTGTTCTTTAGACTCACCATACTGGTCGTCCTTGTAGCAGGGGTCCACGGACGCATCATCATCCTCCTCATCAAAGTCATAAACCTTCTTCGCTCTTTCCTCTTTGGACTCACCAGATCTGATGTGGAAGGATAAAGTTCAAGAAAACATCAATGGAACTATTCGTTTACTGGCACAATATGGCAACAGATTCTTTATTTTTGTTCTATCACATCTTCTTTGACTTTGGAAGGCTAGGTGGTGCAAACAAGCAGTCATTCAAGCTCTGCTTCCCTTCTTCTGGCATCTTCTTCCTCGCCTTTCAACCTCTGTCATCCTTTAAGTTCATAACGAAAGAATGCTTTGTACGATTTACAGTATAGTTGCACACATTTTTTTGGTTGGGAAATGGACAAAATCTAATGTGTGTGCAAATATCATCTATACACTCAATCCACTGTGGCCTAAAGGTAATGAAACCAGTTTTTTTTAGTTCAATTTTCAATCTCATCAGCAGACATCTAGCTTTAACTATAGGAGTATGGAAAACTGTAGTTGTAAGTGCTGCAGAAATGGGTACTTGTGCCAATGTTTTGTTGTTTTACATACCTTGGCTGGTCTTTCCTGGCCTTTTTGCTGAGTAGGCTTGCTTTGCGTACAGGGGCGGGAGGGGAGACATTGACTGGAAGAGCCATAGACAACATGGCCTGCACAGCATCCTGCATAGCCGGGGAGGCAGGCGTATTCCTGGAATAGCACAGAGAGTAACTTAGACATCTTATAGCTTATACTAGCTATAGCATAATACATTTGACCTACTAGTATTATAAAATAAGATTAAAAAAACATCTAATCTACAGTTACCGTTTTCTATGACAGTTCATGTCTATGGATTTCTCAGGACTACAATCCTGTAACTTGTTCAAAGTTAAAACTTTTGATCCAACACAAAAAGTTCTCTCACCTAGAGCTTTCGACCAATCACTCTGGTCTTCCTCAGTAGACTGACCTAGTGAGGCTTGTCACGTGGGTTCTTTGAAGTATGACGTCAACACTGGGTCAGTCTACTGAGGAAGACCAGAGTCACTGGTCAAAAGCTCTAGGTAAGAGAACTTTTGGTGTTGGATCAAAAGTTTTAACTTTCAACAATGTAACTGCCAACACAGATGAACTTTCATGATAATTCTGTATCTTGCTATATTTTGCCTAACCCTGACATAAACAAATAAGCTGTTTCTTACTTGAGTTCCTCCTGAATATCAGGAAAGTCGACCTGGAGTTGGCCGGGTGCTATATCAGGTACACTGTACTGACTGGCCTGGAGAAGGTCCTCTATAGTCCCAACTGTTCTGTGTGGTGCTGGTGGGGGCTGCTGCTGACTGCTGCGGTTTAGTCTGTAAAATAAGCAGTCATTTGGCTCCATAATACAGTCAAACTTGTTCAAGAAGACCACTCAGGACACCGGTCTATGTTGTAAGGTGGTCACTACAGACAGGATTCTTACTGCTTGTGTAAATGGGCAAAATTATCCAAGGGACCAGTAGACAGCTGCAATTTAGTCTAGAAAACAAGAATGAATGTCGAATAAAAGTTTTTACACAACCGGCAGAGACAGTCACTTAAACATTGGCTGTATAAACCTGGTTGTGTAAGAAGAGACTCTTTTTTCAGTGACTTACCAACTTGATGAACTATTTGTGCATACCAGTAGCTATTTTGACTTTAATCTTTAATTACCTTTGGTGTATCGGGGAAGCCATGCTACTGTCTGATGACATGAACCCTCTGTCTGGGGATGACAGGTTTCCGGTGGCTGCATCTCTCACATTAGTCCTGCCATTAACTGCAAAACACAGCAAGATAATGTTACTATCTGTATCTGTGTATCTGTATAGCTGGTATAACATACCAGCTTAGTAGTGACACCTAGCAATCTTGACATAAACTGCAGTAAATGAAGAGTTTTTCAATTACATAGTAGTTACACATTACAGCTGAGAACATGTTGTCCTTTGTCATATTTGTCTGAGTTATCCCAAACTGACTGTTGGTATGGCATAGAAGCGATACCTAGCAATCTTGACATGAACTGCATGTGCATACCCAGACACCTTACTAAGCATAAAACTCACACGATAGTTACATTAGAGACTGAGTTTTCTTGGGCTTGCTGTAACTGCTCTACGTTGGTGTGAACATAAAAGCAACACCTAGCAATATTGACATAAACTGCATACGCCTAGAATGATAGTGAGAGTGAGAGTTTGAGTCTAAGTTATCCTGAGCTGGCTGTAACTAATCTACATGTATGTACGAAGTTCAACATGTGTAGAAGTGACACCTAGTAATCTTATCATAAACTCCATTGCCAGACAGCAGACACCTTACTAGGAATTAAAACTCACATGAGAGTTTGAGTCTGCGGGACTAAGAAGACTAAGAATAAAACTCACATGAGAGTTTGAGTCTGAGTTTGCCTGAGCTGGCTGAGAGAGGTTCATCGCTGATAACCAAAGTTTCTTCGTCACTGGAGTCATCCTTCATCACCAGAGGCTGGAACTCTCCTACTCTGCCCTGCTGACGCTGGCCGGACTCACCGCTACAAGAGCAAAAAACAACAAAGTACTGTCTATTACTAATGAGATTTTGTAGGAAATCTATGACATAAAAAGCATACAATGACCTACAAAGAAAGTGACAGCGTGGAAAGACGAATCTGCACAGTAGAGGCATTGTGCAAATGGTAAAGTTAGATCTAGACTAATTATGGTGACAACAGACTGACCAATTTGATGCAAAATCTATCGGAGGACTTACCTGACAATTTTTCCATTAGAGAGCACCAGTTTGAGTCCTTTCCCATCTGTTGTGATGTTGGTGTTGGCTGTTGTGGCAGGAGTAGATGTAGCAGGAGGGATGAAGGCACCGGCCTTGGGGATACGAACCTTCAGCGATGGCATGGCTTCCTGTGGGGACAACATTAGGTACAGGGAACATAAATAAGGTAACATACTTCAGGAGGGCATGGCTTCCTATGGGGACAACTCGAAACATAGTGCATGGTAACATTTTGTTGGTCATTCCAAACTTGGTAGACCATGTAGTACATATAAAACTTCAAAGAATGCTGCCAGCAGGTAAAGCAACATTCACATCAATTCAAGTTCTTTCACCTCATGGCTTTGCCATAGACTTTAACACATATGCCACTGCAGTTCCAAAACTAGCTGCTAGGGGACCCAAAAATTCTGACCACACATGTAGCATATCCAGAACACCAGGCATTAAAACCAGAAGTTCCACTGTGTAAAGCTGCCAGGCCGGAAGGCACAAACTTCAAAAACATAACCTTCTTGGCAAAGGTAATAAAACTAATTTTCTTGACTATATCTTACCTTAGTATGAGAGATCTCCTGTAGTTTGTTCTGTGTGAACTGTTCTAAGAGGTCCAGGTTGGCTTCTTGTACCAGGGTGGTCTTGGCTTTCTTACTCTTCCCCTTGGAAGGTTTCTCCTTGGATTTTTTCTTCTTTTCTGCCTTAGCTGGCTTCACGTTTAGTGTCTGGTCAGGAAACATAAGATGGTTTGAAAATCTGGTCTTTGTGGACAGGTGGTCATTATAGACAGTCAGAATTCTTAATGCTTGTGTTAATGGGAAAAATGATCAAAGGTTACACCAAAAAGTGGTCATATTGGCCAACTACGTTTTTTAAAGCCCTGACCACATATCTAAAGGCATATGTTAGATACTGTACGTCCATTTTTAGCACATCAGCAGAAGGTACTGTGCCTACGGGAGACCCTAATTTTTCACGTTTTTTTATGAATGATTGTCAACATTGCATCAGAATTTTGACTATTACAGAATGATGATATCTTTTCCAGCATAACCTTTGGAAACTACAGACAGGATGTTAACTTTATATACACAAATACAATCTTACATTGAAATGTTCCTTCCATCTACCTTACATTACGGATTTTCCCAGACAATGTACGTTCTGCCAACGTTGTGAGTTAGATGCTAATGCCGGAGTAATGGCACTAATGAATATATATAGTTATGAATACCACTTACATTGTAAGCCGTTCCCCCCACCTCAGCAGTCTTCAGCTCCCTGGCCAGGTCCTTGATGAGTTTGGTGTGATGGACAACCTCAGGCACCTCTGCCTTGTGGCTCTTCAGAAACTGGGGAGACAAGAAGGTGAAAAATTTAGTACATACAGGTACTGGTAATTACATGTGTAGGATTCTGTAAAGGCATTTTTTCTTTGCAGTTGTTTCATTTCATTGAAGGAGGGAAAATGATGTTTTGCAGTGTTTGAAGCTCACGGTTAAAGCAATACAAAAAGCGTAGTCATAGTGTTATGATTTTGCATTATTTTGAGAAAAACACGAAAATTGTGAAAATAAATTTTAAAGTAAATGCATTTACAGTGTAGACCTTTTCTACTTGTCTTTATTTCTTTAGTGGACTCTTCAAAAACAACATAAAGATGTGAGGTGCACAATGTTTCATGCTGGATCTGAATATATAGGTAAGACACTTTGTTTTCAGTATCTAAAACACATTGTATGTGCATAGGAAAAGGGGAGGTGACACAGGGGTTTTGAAGAGTGTTACTATCACAAGCAAGTATCACCATAAGCCACAGTTGTGTGTACAAGTGCGGTACAGACATCCCACATACACAGCCACTGACTGTAGATTTAGTAGTGGTGAGAACTTACAATGCCCTGAAGCTTTGACAGGCTCTGGTGGCATCAGGGGCAAAAAAACATGACGGCTTGTGTCAATGGGAGGCTAAGGAATGTTAGTTAGTTAAAACTGTACTGAACTATCTACATGTAGGGGCTAAGTAGTGTTATAATACTATAGTGTACACTTTAGGACAGCTCGTGTCAAAATATTAGTAATAAATACTGTGGAAAATTATCTAGAGGTTAGGTGTTACAATAGTGTAAACTTTATGGCATGTAGTTCAATTTCAACTGGGAAGAACATGGGTATAGCTGTACAGTACAGTGTCATGTTAGTTGGAAATTCTGCAAAGCCATATTCCTACTGTCTGGAAACTACATGGAAAAGGTCTAGCAGAACATAAAATGACAGAAGCTGTTAGTGATCAGCCAAAACAGATCTCTTAGAGGAAAAAGGAACCATTGTGACATGCAGCACACAACATGTAATTTTAGTGTACAATGTAAGTTGCATATATATCACTCCTCACTTCCTGATACAGCAGCCTTTTGTACATTGGTTATCAGTACATGACATTACCTTTCACCTTTGTTTGCCCTTTAACCTGTTCATTGACCTTTATTTTACCCTTTGCCCCCTGCTCACCTCCTTGCGAGAAGTCCAGCTCCTGAGTGCGGTGAGGAGTGAGTGAACCCCGTCTAACAGGTACCGAGGGGGAACTCGCAAGTCCTCGTTATACTCTGGGAAATACATGTTACTGTTAGATATTATGTAGTGCATGTATGTATTATATATGACATGCGTTATGTATTGTGTAGTGTTTTTTGAGTGCTGTGAGGAGTGAGTGAACCCCGTCCAGCAGGTACCGAGGGGGAACTCGCAAGTCCTCATTATACTCTGGGAACATAGGTTGGTAAAGTATAGGATATAGGAGTTTCCTTTTACACAACCAATCTTGTCTAACCTTGCTTACAATTTGGTCAGAAGCTCTAAGGAAGGTGTCTAACACTGAAACGTAAGCAAGGCAAAAGACAATACTGGTTGTGTAAAAGAAAACCCCTATGTATTATGTGTAAGACATGTTATGTGTAATGCATGTTTTTTTATGGCTCCACTGTAAAACAATGCTATGAGATAGGTCATTCTGGGTAAAACAAAAAAAATATGAAACATGCACAAATTACATCACAACAATCTGTACCTTCAGAACATAGGTTATGGTAAGACCTGGATGTTATTCTAACAGCAACAATACCAGGTCCTGTATACTGTGTACAATATCTACTCTGCCAAACTGTCCACAAGTGGTACATGATTACAAAAACTATGAACAAGAAAAAAAGGAAACAAACAACAAGCAAAAAAATACTGTCCCCACCCTTGAGTGTCTCCATGATGTTTTTGGCTGCATACCAGTTTGTGGCTTCAAAGTAGGGAAACAGGAATTTCTCCGGGGTTTTTAGTCTCTTCTCCATGTCATAAACTCTGTAATAACAACATAATGTTTGTTCAACATGCCTATAAAAAGATATAAATATTATATGCAGTCTATAAAATTTTTGTTTTGAATACTCATAAGCACAAACTATTTTTTAGCTCAATGAACTCAAAGTCAAAGATAGCACTGACAATCTCTAAAATGTTATCAGTCTGTATTATGTGTTCTCCAAAACCAGAAGTAGAGCCAAAAGTTTCTTCCTTAATAATAATCCACACTGTAATTCTCTTCAAGTTAGTATATTACCATTACTATTTCTATCATTATATACTGGAATCTAAAAATAAGTAAAATCATATTTTTAAAAGACAACAGTGGTTTAGAACTTACTGTAGCTGTTTGCCCATGTTGTAGCTGTGTAGGAAGTTTCCACCAAAGATGAGAGAGTCGACCGGAGTTAGAACTGCATGGATCCAACCTGCAGGGGGAAAGACATTACAGACTTAATGTATGGCATCTACAATCTATATGAAAACATACTATAAGAGCTTGATAATAATATCATCCACATCAACGGTTAACTGTAACGGGGGCCGACAACGTCTACCAGATACCTTTGACCCAGTGTTGACGTCACACTTCAAAGAAGCCACGTGACAAGTCTCACTGGGTCAGTCTACTGAGGAAGACCAGGGTGACTGGTCGAAAGCTCTAAGTGAGAACATTTCTCTTTTATGTTGGATCTAAAGTTTTAACTTTAAACATGAGAGCTACCGGGTAATCATTGACCTCCTTTTGTATTAAGTAGATGATGGGAGCATAATGATCTGTAGGAATGAAGAGGGTTGGTCAGGATTATAAAACAAACAAACAAACCTGTAGGAATGAAGAGCGTCTGTCCCTGCTTGACCACCAGTTTGTAACAAGAGTCCACCTGGTCACCAAAGAACATCTCGCTCTGATTGGTCAGGATTATAAACAAGCAAACAAACAAACAAACCTGTAGGAATGAAGAGAGTCTGTCCCTGCTTGACCACCAGTTTGTAACATGAGTCCACCTGATCACCAAAGAACATCTCGCTCTGGTTGGTCAGGATTATAAACAAGCAAACAAACAAACAAACCTGTAGGAATGAAGAGAGTCTGTCCCTGCTTGACCACCAGTTTGTAACATGAGTCCACCTGATCACCAAAGAACATCTCGCTCTGGTTGGTCAGGATTATAAACAAGCAAACAAACAAACAAACCTGTAGGAATGAAGAGAGTCTGTCCCTGCTTGACCACCAGTTTGTAACATGAGTCCACCTGATCACCAAAGAACATCTCGCTCTGGTTGGTCAGGATTATAAACAAGCAAACAAACAAACAAACCTGTAGGAATGAAGAGAGTCTGTCCCTGCTTGACCACCAGTTTGTAACATGAGTCCACCTGATCACCAAAGAACATCTCGCTCTGGTTGGTCAGGATTATAAACAAGCAAACAAACAAACAAACCTGTAGGAATGAAGAGAGTCTGTCCCTGCTTGACCACCAGTTTGTAACATGAGTCCACCTGGTCACCAAAGAACATCTCGCTCTGATTGGTCAGGATTATAAACAAACAAACAAACAAACAAACCTGTAGGAATGAAGAGAATCTGTCCCTGCTTGACCACCAGTTTGTAACACGAGTCCACCTGGTCACCAAAGAACATCTCGCTCTGATTGGTCAGGATTATAAACAAACAAACAAACAAACAAACCTGTAGGAATGAAGAGAGTCTGTCCCTGCTTGACCACCAGTTTGTAACATGAGTCCACCTGGTCACCAAAGAACATCTCGCTCTGATTGGTCAGGATTATAAACAAACAAACAAACAAACAAACCTGTAGGAATGAAGAGAATCTGTCCCTGCTTGACCACCAGTTTGTAACAAGAGTCCACCTGGTCACCAAAGAACATCTCGCTCTGATTGGTCAGGATTATAAACAAGCAAACAAACAAACAAACCTGTAGGAATGAAGAGAGTCTGTCCCTGCTTGACCACCAGTTTGTAACATGAGTCCACCTGATCACCAAAGAACATCTCGCTCTGGTTGGTCAGGATTATAAACAAGCAAACAAACAAACAAACCTGTAGGAATGAAGAGAGTCTGTCCCTGCTTGACCACCAGTTTGTAACATGAGTCCACCTGGTCACCAAAGAACATCTCGCTCTGATTGGTCAGGATTATAAACAAACAAACAAACAAACAAACAAACCTGTAGGAATGAAGAGCGTCTGTCCCTGCTTGACCACCAGTTTGTAACATGAGTCGACCTGGTCTCCGAAGAACATCTCGCTCTGGTTGGAGGAAGAAGCCCATCGCTCATACAGACCCAGGTTAGTCGGTGTCGGCCGGATCAGGTAAAATATCTTCTCTCCCTGGGGAAGCAGACAATAGAGCAAAATTAGGCTACTTGCTTTTACATTAAAAAAAAAAACAATTCAAGATAAAGGTAAAAGCTTTTGTGAGGCCAAAGGGGCAATTGATTGTCGATCTGTTCAGCGAAGTGACGCCACATTGTCATGTGACAAAATGTCAGAACATTCAGCCACCTTCACAAAATGCCCGACAGTGAGAGATTGTGTTACACAGCTAAACTCACCCTCAAAACATGGTACCATACACATTGAAATTGTATACTTACTGATAATATTACATGTTCATAAATTCAACAAAGCTGAAATTTTCCTAGTCTCCCATACTAGCTAAATGATGTACACCAAAAACTGACATTGAAAACCCAGCTCAGTGCCAAACGCTGATATGCAGCGGTAAAGAAGAACAAAAACACAACTCACCCTTAAGACATGGTACCATACAGAAGTTCCCCCGAAGTCGACGTGGAAGTCTGTGTAGGAGTCCTTAACTCCCATGAGGCAGTACTTGGAGACATACGGGCGGCTGTAAGGACAGTCTTCTGGTAGCTGCTCAGGGAAGTAGTTATCTACCCAGCTCATCTGTCTCACAACATGGGGAGGCCTCACTAGATCTGATAACCTGGAGAGAAATAACACAATCATCATCATCATCCGCCCATCTGTCGCAAAACATGTGGCGGCCTCACAAGGTCTGATAACTTAGAGAGAGGTACAATCATCATCTTCATCATCATCTACATCATCATCATCAACATCATCATCCATCCATCTGTCTCACAACATGGGGAGGCCTCACTAGATCTGATAACCTGGAGAGAAACACAGTAACAGTGGTTAGTTAGAGTACTGCTGACATACAGACATAAGGCTGTAGGGACAGTCTTCTGGTAGCTGCTCAGGGAAGTAGTTATCCACCCAGCTCATCTGTCTCACAACATGGGGAGGCCTCACGAGATCTGATAACCTGGAGAGTTCACAGTACACATACATGTAGCATTTATCAGAGTGTTAAACTTTATATAACACAACGTCCCCCAGTATAATGCACAGCCACTCCTGTAAACTGTGCATACCTGGGGTGCTGCACTAGGGATATCTCAAACACACAGTTTTCAAAGTGGTAGATATACATGACTGTGTACTTCCCTGTACATGTGTATGTATCTAGTGGATTGATGTGAATGGATGAAGGCTTTACAAGTACATGGCATAAAACTTTGGTTTCCACACAGACAAAAAAGCAATAAAATTTCCGAGAACCCTAACACAATAAATAGTTCCAAATCGGTAACACTTATCTAAGTCAGTAGTGTATGAGGTTTATCCCACCTTGTTTTAGAGAACTCAAGACTGATGACGTTGAGAACCTTGCTCCTGTTGGGAGAGTTGTAGTACTCTGTCCACTCCCGTAACAACATGCGATGGTCCTCCTGTCGACACACGTCAATCACATCTATCTCTCGCATGGAACCTGGGGAAACAAGGAGTCAGAGATTTCAGACATCTGCATTTCTCAAGAAACAAGGAGAAGTACTATGTAAGGGTGTCTGATTATAAAGTTAACACACACACAGAAAATTTTAAAAACTTTTAAGAAGTATTTTGGGTTTTCATAACCTTACCTAGCCTTCGAGTTCAAAGAACTCTGTAAAGTGTTTTGGGGTTTGTAAAAGTATTGGAACTGTGAAGGGGATGGTATGACTATGTAATCAGGCACTACACTACTTCCTACCATACATGTACCCGTACCACCCATCACCTACCACAAAAAGACTTTTCTAGATTTCATGCGCATGCTGCAACCCACGACATATTCCCAATAGTATGTACACAATACTGTGAAGCACTTTATATTTATGGTACTTTTATATTTGTGGTTTTTGCAGTCACTTCTGTCCCGCTAAGTTATCATTACTGCAACTTCCTTTCTTCTGCACCTGCCACCTTCACAAACATGTCCATTTTTCTTAGACTGCCAACTTTTACTAACACTAATATAAAGCGATTTACAGTATTACCAGAAAAAGAAAACTGTTTTCTTCCCACTACATGTTCTTACCGACATATTCCTCCACATTGCTGATGGAGAAGGTAGGCGGGGGCACCACCAGCCCCAGCCCATCCTTACGAGGCACCAGTAGGGGTACCGAGAACCCGTTTTTCTCCAGGTAGTCTACAGTCAACTCATGGCCCGATAACCTCAACAGAACCTCGTCAGCACTACGGGATAGAAAACACAGATGTGTTAGGTGTTTGGTTCAAAATGAAGACTAGAAAGGTAACATTTGCAAAGCAAATGCATAATGACTGGTAGCACATGGCCTAGCTCAGCAAAGAACTGCACTGTTTATTCTTAATCAAAGTCTACATTCAAATGTATGGTAAGCAGGCTCTCATTGTAATGTAACTCAACACCAGAGGGTGTCTGCCACAGCACCAGTTACCATGGTGACAGACATCTGGTCCAGGTCTTTGACCTTATTTGTATGGAACGGAAGAAGAAGAAACTGAGCGAAATAATTGTTTTCCTTATAAAAACAACTGAGCATTTAGCAAAAGCAACATGAATTGTCTTAAAACTCTTAGACTAAAGGTAGGATCTTAAGTAGCTACAGAAAGTTTTCTTGAAGGACGTCCTGACCTTGGAAAGGTGCGGTTCCTCAGCTCCTTGATGAAGACGACCGTTCCCGTCTGCACGGCCTGAAAAACAGCAGGGAGTTTTTCCAACTCTGAAATTTATATAACTAAAGACAACACTTTCCATAGCCTCCACCAGAGGTTATCTGTAATACAATTTGGCTAACATAGTAAGGATAACATTTGCCTCATGTTGGCCAAATAGTTTCCATATTTGGCCAACTTTGACTACTTTTAAGCCTTTGCTAAATGGTTTGGTGGAGGCAAACTTTCTTTCCCTGCAAACTTCTGGTATTACGGATAGACCTGACTTTTTGTGAATGAGTCCATGGCAGAAAAAGGGGACTAAAAGCATGAAATCTCTTTTAAACGGCATTGTGAAATATACATAGTTTTAAATGAATACAAAGCAGAGTTTCAATGAATATGGAAAATGAATTACAGCACTACAATGGCACCAACAAGGGTGAGCATGTGGTATACAGTGCAAAACAGTGGCTGAATCATGGTATAAGCAAACAGCATGCAATTAAGCAAGTGTAACAACACAGCACATTAAGCACACAATATTGCACATAAAGGCATGTTGCACAAGTCACTGGGATGAGCCTTGCAAGTTGCAGCACATTACTGAAATGAAACTAGCAAAGTAAAGAATATGACAATGCTAATACTTCTGGTACTAAAAGTACTACAGTCAGCATCAAAAGAGACTAAGTGACTCTGTGCTCCATGTAGACAAAGTACAGTACTAAGAGTAACTAACGAATAGACTTGAAACAATAGCATTAGGGGAGTTGTGTAGATGTTGCAAGAATCACAAAAAATGTGAAACAGGATAAAAGAAAACTAAAGAAATAGTTTGTTTCAAAAAAAGTACACCCCATGCCATTTTTTCTGGCCTATTCCTAACAGAAACTACAATGTTGTACAGAAAGAGAAAGAAATGCTGCACATGTATATGGTGATGCTTCTACAAATGTACACAGAGTGAAAAAAATACAATATTAATTTTATGAAAATGAAACTACTGACAAGATTACAGGTTGCTTTAGTGCAAAGACAATGTTAACATGAGGTGACACTGACAAGCTCTAAACTTAGCAGTAAAGAAGTAGTGCAAAATCTTGTCATTAACAGTTCTCATTTAACTTTCTCAAAAAGTCTAAGTTCTATGTAATAATATACTGCACATCTGCTTGGAAATTATCTAGCCAGATCTGTTAACTGTAATATTGTACATACATTCCTGAATTACCTGCTCAGTTTCTAACAGTGGTCTGTAGTTGTGATGACAATACATTTTTTATTATATTTCTCATATTGGACCTACATGTACTGGGTAGGTAGGCAGTCTCTGCATGTACAGTACAATTTGGATAAGGCCTAGGAAAATATTGTTGTGTTTCTGATTACATTTTGATTTTTTTTCTTCAGATTTTGAAGAAAAAAATTTCAACAAATACAGTTTAACAAATAAAACTGAAATGCATTAGGACACTGGTATTTTTCCTTTACTGGTAGTTAAACAGATATACATTGTACAATTGGTTTTTCTATAAAATGAAGAAGAGAGTACCATTTGTACTATACATCTTCTACATAGATTCGAATTTGCTTAATGTTTACTGCTATATGGCGTTAACTTTCTAGTATAATATAATATTGCATTAGTCAGTAGAGTAACCAGAAACACAAGATTTGTTTTCCTAGGCCTACTAGTAAGGACCTGTGACAGTGCGGCTTGTATCCGTACCAAACCATCATCACTACTCACCCTGGACCCACTGTCTATTTCTGAGTAGTCCGGCCGTAGCCAAGCCCCTCTCCTTCTCTTCACTACAGGAGAGTGGGGGAGAAATGTGAGGTTAGCCTGGATTAGAGAACAGCAACCACCGCAAACGGTCACCTACCTTAGAACCACTGTCTATTTCTGAATAGTCGTGTCGATGCCAGTTTCTCCTTCTCTTCACTGTGAACAGACGAGACACAACCAGGGGAGGTTTACATGTGGGCATGGGCGATCCAGGAGACAATGCCAATCATTGGTTGTAATACTTGTATGTTTAGTTATTATTGGCCATTGCTGTGATGAATCATGGTGATTACCCCAACCAACAGTGCCACTGATTATGCCATGATTATTGTAAATCAAAAATTACTAATAGTAACATAGTATGCTACATGCACAGAACTGTCTAGATAATTTAATAAGCAAAATCATAAGAATTGTAGCACTATTGTTTCTTTATAAATGTGTTCCCCTGATATTTGTACTAGTACCTGTAGTTGTATTTACATTTTGACATTGACGTATGATAACTTACCACTGCTGCCAGTAAGCCCCTGATTTGTAATTAGCCATTAGTGTTATGGATGCCATATGGCTGGATGCATATATATGTAAAATCTATAAAGTAAATCATAATCCATCAATTCAATGTTCTATTACAACATGAATATACTTAAACTACTTAGTTGGTCAACAGTCAAATATTGACATGATCTAGTATGTCTATTTGTGGATGTAAATTTCTTCATCTAATTTAGCTATTCACAATCAGGATTGTAGAAAATAATGTAATTAAATAAAATCAAGATAAAAGTGCAGTCAGAAAAGCATACAAAACAGATTCTGAAGTGTTGTACTTACAGACGAGTGGCCCGTGAACCTTGGCACAGTTGGGACAGTGGTACTTGTCTATATCTGCTGCCTGGTGCTCTTCTACTCCCACACAACTGCAGTAGGGGGGAGGGGGGTTCAGTCAGATTAAACATGGGTACATGTACGTCCACTTCAGTTACAAAGATACATTTTGGTAACTATCAAAGGTACAGTGGATTGTTTCGTGAAATGTACAACTTATATAAATAAATTTAATTAAAATATGACAGAAAACAGAAGCCCTGAAAATATGATGGGAGGCATTTTAGCTATACTGATGACCTCAATTGTACTTTTAAATTGTAGTGGTAACAAAAACTTCCCAGCACTGATTAAAGTTATACTAGCAAACTAAAAATATACAAGTAACTTATTTTGTTTGAATTTTTTTTTTTTTTGAGATTTAAAAGTAACCACAAAAATTCCCCATTGAACTGTAATTCATATACTGCTTTTTTTTTTGTGATTTCACAATTGTAATCGAAGACCGGATACTATTACTACAACTGCATGTACATGTAGTAGTATTACTACTAGTACTGTATTTTGATGGATTGTGAACAAAGAATCATTGTAATTTATATCTGAAAAGTGGAAACACACACCATATCAAAGCACTAGATTTGTATGATCAGTGGTGTTTTGAATAAAGAGAGAGGAACCCTGCTGTCTGCTACATGTGGATGAATCATCAGTGGCCTACGTGACTACTCTGCCACACAAAGCTACAGGGTGTTTTGTCTTGCTTTATGTCAGTACTTCGAGTTCCACAGTTGGCACCGGCCCTTACAACATGTGTACTCTAGATCGTACTATTGGTGTCACAGTGGTGTCATGACAAGTATTGAGTTGAATATTTACCCAAAAAAAAGGCAGAGAAAGAAGACACAGAACTCGCTGTATGAAGACAAATATCCGAGGTGTCTTTTTCCACACTTATGCAGATGTAGTGATATGTTGTTCGGTCGATCAGTAAGGCGCTTTGCCCTTAAACCCGTTTCTTTCACAGCTAAATAAACTATGATTTTAAAATATATTCTAGCTGCATATGCTAGCCGTATTAGTTACTGATGTAGTGAACATTTTGAACCAATCTGTCCTAACTTCGAATCGAAGAAGACACCAAAAGAAGAAAGGATGACCCTCCCCACAGAAAGCGTCCACATTTTCACATCACAATTTCTACCCCTAAACCTCCACCGATTCGCGTGAAATTTTCCCCAGAGCTGCAGGACAACACCTACCTTCCGTGGAACCAGTTTTCACAGACGTCGCACTCGATCATGAAGCGTGTGACGTCGTAAGGCTGCCGGCAGATGCAGTACAGGGGCTCGCCTGGATCCGACGCCATCTTTAAAACTTCATGGCTTACAAACGCAAAGAAGACAACAACATCCAACAACACTTATCCAAGTCACAAATACGTTAACACTCCCCACAATCATAATATTCAAGTAGTAAAATAAATTTATAGTATACTTTGTCCGTAAAATGTGGAAATTAGCGCTAAATTGGTCCATTCTATAGAAAGTTTAAGAAAAGCCACAATGTTTTCATGCGGTTAATTAAAAAGACCAAACAAGCACGCGCGCGGTGCGCATGCGCCAGCCGCAAGGCATCCCGGGAAGGAGACCTTGACCGCAGGTAACCCCACAGCTGACCGGAAGGTAAGTATCAGTAAGTAACGCATTATAACGTGGTTTTAGCAGGTAGTTCTATAACATAACAACAATTACTAATTACCGTACAAAAGACTACTGTGCAATGTCTTTGCATAACAGTCATCTATTGAGGCAAGGAGACAATTTGCTTTAATGAATTAACTTTATTGCTGGACAGTTGTAACGTTACATGGTAATTTTTATGGAATCAATAACAATGTGATCAAAACAATCAAGTCTATTCTAAGAGACTACTAGTATTACTACAGATCCTGAACTTGCAACTGTAAGTAATGTGGTTATACAGTAGAGTAGAGACTAGTTAGCAAGTAGAACATTTAACTTTGCATATACAGATTGAGGCAAGGAGACAATTTTAAGTTGTTTATTGCATGCCCGAGGGCTTAAATTGCAAACAGACAATTTGACAAGAAAAAATTGTGGTGATATAAGACTATTTGCTAACATGAAGTTTTACACTGTACAATATACTTATATATGAAACCTAATCTATATGACCAATACTTATATGAAAGCCAGACGTGATCTTTTTTTTTTTTTTTAGAATAGGCACCGGTTAAACTTGTTTATTCTGACCTGCTTCTTATTTCCTGTCTAAGCCTTAAAAAGTGCAGGTAAAATGTTTCTAGTGCAGGTATGTAACATATTTTTCATTTACTTTGTTACTGGCAACTGACCACTGCTACTTATATCATGCAGGAAGATGTATTTCATTAGCCCATTATCTCTTCTTGTTACATTTCAGTTTGCCATGATGCAGAAAAAAAAGCTTTTGAGCCCAGCCCAAATTCTTACCTGGATTTTGCAATCTCTTTGAGACTAATCTTGTTTCATTTCAGTATGGAGAAAAAAAACAGGAATTTGAACCCAGTGTCTTTGAGACTTTAAGAATCTTCTTGTTTAGTTTGCCCTATAAATTAAGCTTTTTGTTTACTACTGTTACTGCCTTTATATATATATATATATATATATGAAGTATAAAAGAAATAGTGGTGATACTAGTTTTGAACAGCTTTTAGTATGATCCATAAATATTTTTTTTGTCTAGGGATGCATCCCAAAACACTTCCCAGTAGTCTGAATTCTTTTCTTGTTTTGTTCCAGTTTACGAAGAAGATGGCGTCTGTTCTGCCGCGGATGGTGTCTGCCTCGGACGTGGCAAGGGTCCTGACCTACGCTGACCTCGTTCCCGCGATGGAGCGGACGTTAGCGGACTTCTCCCGCGCAGACGGGACAGTGGTCCAGCCGGTCAGGACGGTCATTCCTGTGGAACAGCATCAGGGGTGAATAAATTAATTATTCTTGGGCCCTTGTTGTCTAATGCCAGACAATCTATAGCTTTTCAGTCGCTCTCTGTACTCTCCAAGCAGAGGTTTGGGTTTTGGGTTAACGTTATTTTTGGCGTGTTTTTAGACTTTTTTTATCAGGGTTTCTTTTTTGCACTGGAATTTTTCTTTCACGTTGGGTTGGGTTGGGTGAAAGAAAAGTTTCAGTGCAGAAAAGAAACCCCGATAAAAAAAAATCTAAATACACGCCAAAAATAACCCAAAATCCAAACTTCTGCTTGGAGAGTAGCTCTCTGCAGGTCTGGCTGTGCAGTGCCTCTAATGGCTGGTACAGCTGGTTCTGGCTAATTGTCAAATGTATTATGCTTATTTGTGTTGGAACAAAGTTTTAACTAAAACTACAAGTACAAACAATAGTCTCCTTTGTTTTCAGGTTTTTCCTGGTGAAACCTGGTTACCACGTAGCCGGTAACACCATGGCCTGTAAACTGCTGACTCTGTACCCAAACAACACGGACCGACCCTCACACCAGGCTAGCATTGTGCTGTTCGATGCCACCAACGGATCACCTCTGGCTGTAAGGATACTAGTTCAGTCTCTATCTTCTCTCACTCTCACTCACTCACTCACTCACTCACTCTCACACTCACACACTCTCTCACTCGCTCACTCACACACTCACTCACTCACCCACTCACTCACTCACCCACTCACTCACTCACTCACTCACCCACCCACTCACTCACTCACTCACTCACTCACTCACTCACTCACTCACTCACTCACTCACTCACACAAACTAGATGCTTTGCTATACAATCATGTACCTTGTGCCTTGCTTGCACTTTTCCAGGATCATGGATACAGAGATACTGCATGATACAAAGGCCAGCGTTATTGACAGGATGTTCCTGGTTTGAAATCATCTCTCCCTCTAGTCTCCCTCTGAGTGACTCTCTCTTTCTGTCTGTCTCTCCTTCCCTCCCTATCTCTCTCTCTCCCTCTCTCTCTTTCTCCCCATCTCTCTCTCTTTTCTCTCTCTCTTTTCTCTCTCCCACTCTCTCTCTTTCTCCTTCTCTTTCTCTCCCTCAAAATGTATATGTTATGGTCACTCACAGACTCTCACTTCCCCTTCTTCTCACAGGTAATGGACGGGGGACACATCACAGACATGAGGACAGCAGCCGCCTCTGCCGCAGCAACAAAGGTCAAATATCAAAGTATTATACTCACATAAGTTTTGATACGCCTACAAACGGCAGAAAGACAGGCAGAATCATGCCTAGGTCTGGTTTATGTCGTTAAATGTTCTTAGTATATGCAGTCGCGCTGGACAAGTGGTCTGCTTAGGAAAGTCCCTTAATGCTTATGTCTGTAAGATAAGAAAAAAGTCGGGACCCAGTGTTAACGTCATACTTCAAAGAAGCCATGTGGCAAGCCTCACTGGGTCAGTCTACTGAGGAAGACCAGAGTGACTGGTGGAAAGCTCTTAGTGAGAGAACTTCTTTGTGTTGGGTCAAAAGGTCTAACTTAAATATACTGTTGTCTCTCTACAGCACCTAGCCAGAGACTCCCCCCGTGTCCATGCCATACTGGGGACTGGGCATCAGGCATACAGTCACTTCCACGCACTCAATCATCTCTACAAGTTCGACCAGGTGGGTATACATACTTTAGTTTAGGGCTGCAAACCTAAACATAAATCAGGTACAGGACCTGTTACAGGTACAGACTTAGGTTTTAGGAACAGGTCTGAACCTGTACCTGTACTTGACAATTTGGCAAATTAATATAACGGTTACATGTATTAACATATGTTCTTCTGAACTTCCGCAATAACATTAAAAACAATAATAAACTGGAGAGAATCTTTATTCAGATAAAACAGGACAGAACTAGGCAGCCTTATGCCATATGCAAACAAAACAGAACCATGTGGGCTGTTTTTTTACTTGCATACACGTAACCTTTATCATTTGTTTAATCCATTCCATTCCACCACTCTAGGTGCGTGTGTGGGGCCGGACTCAAGCTAACGTTCAAAAGTTTGCAGCAGAAACGGGAGCGACGCCGTGTGCCACTGTGGAGGAAGCTGTGAGGGAGGCTGACATCATCACAACTGTCACCATGTCCAGAACTCCTGTACTACAGAAGGACTGGGTCAAACCTGGCAGCCACATCAACGGTAGGTTTGTTTATCATGGTGTCAAATAATCAACAGACTACTTGTTTGTATGATCTTTAGGTACAGGTAGGCAAAAATCATCACAGTGTGCCAAAATTATGAACAAAGTAGGAAAATCCATGAAGGTTTGACATCCAGGTAACAAGATGCCAAGACAACACTGACAGTTACTCAACTGGATAAGATTTTGAAAATGGTCAGATGTTTCAGGTAGTTTCCACTACATTTTGTTTGTCACTGTTGACCACAGATCTCTTTCAATCACTGATAAATAAAAGTAGTGGGTACTACCTGAAATATTCTCAAACTCTGCTGTGCAGTCACTTGACTAACAGTCTTATATGAAAGGTAGAATGGTGACCAACATTTTTGCAAAGTTGAGCCTGTGTTCTCTCCACTGGCAGTTGTTGGAGCGTGCAGACCAGACTGGCAGGAGCTAGACCCAGAGTTGATGCTCAGTGCTGTGGTGTATGTGGACAGTAGTGAGGCTGCACCAAAGGAGTCTGGAGACATCATTCTGTCTAAGGTAACTACAGAGATGCTCAGTCACACAAATACTTCAGGTCCTGTCCTTGGTGCTGAATGCTATCCACACACATACATACATAACTTTACATACGCAGACACACACAGAGAGAGAGAGAGAGAGAGAATGAGTGAGAGTGAGTGAGTGAATGAGTGAGTGAGTGAGTGAGCGAGCGAGTGAGTGAGACAGAGAGAGAGAATTTGGTGTCAAATCACTGCATGTAAAAGAACCCAGCACACATATTGAGAAGGGTAGGGGTGACCCAGAGTAGGTCCTCAGTTCTGTGGTGTATGTGGACAGTAGTGAGGCTGCACCAAAGGAGTCAGGAGACATCATTCTGTCTAAGGTAACTACAGAGATGCTCAGTCACACAAATACTTCAGGTCCTGTCCTTGGTGCTGAATGCTATCCACACACATATACAGTCACAGAGAGAGAGAGAGAGAGAGTGAGTGAGTGAGTGAGTGAGTGAGTGAGTGAGTGAGTGAGTGAGTGAGTGAGTGAGTGAGTGAGTGAGTGAGTGAGTGAGAGAGAGATTATAGTGACGAAGGATTACCAAGGTAGTGTAAAATCTCTGCACATAAAAAGAGCCCAACACACTTAGTGATAAGAGTTCTATCTGTTTTCCCCTCAGGCTGAAGTGTATGGAGAGGTCGGGGAGGTCATCTTAGGGAAGAAGGAGGCCTTTAAGGACAAGACAACCATCTTCAAGTCACTCGGTCAGTCTTTGTCTTTTAAATTTCCTTCATTCTCAAATATCTTTCACACTTAACTCAGCCAATCTTGAAAGATAGTGGATAATACATACTCTAGTCTGGTATCTGAAATGCCTGACTCTTTGGAGAATCTATCCAGCTGCTTGGTTTATTTTGCATTTATACATGTTACCACAAATCTTGAAGAATTATCTTGTCTTCAGAAGAAAGTACATGTACTAGTACTTGGTACATTAGTTATTCTTATGATAAAAGTTAGCCAGGGTGCCATCCTATTTCTATACTGGGGCTCACATACTTCCTATAAGTGATTTTTTCAGCCAGCCAGTATACTAGGCCCATAGCAAATCAGAGGGCATCCAGGCTCAACAAAAGCACTATTTATGACTCCATTCTCCTGTGTCTGACTGCTTACCTTGTGTTTTTTCTGTTCCTGCTCCAGGATTGGCCATAGAAGATGTGGTGTCAGCTCAACTGGTGTACGACAAACTCACAACCTCATGAACAGTCTTCCCGAACAACTGCCTTAACAGTCTTAGCATGAAAGTTCATCTGTGTTGGTATCTAACATTATGACAACGGTTAAACTTTACGTAACTAAAATTTGGGGTAAGTCCCAATTTACTTGGTGTTGGTTACGTAAAGTTTAACCGTTATGATAATGCCTTAACAATCATTGTTGAATTTTACTACATGTATATAATTGTTTTATTAGTAAAATTATACGCAAAGAACATGTACTATGAGTATTAACCTTCATATGGCTATAATTAGTTAGCAGCTTCCTAGACCAAGCAAGAAATTTTTTGGACATAAGTGGCAGTTTAAAATGAATTAAATATTTATTATGCAAGTATGCAGCTTCACTCAAAAGCAATGTGCCTTAATATGGCGTTACATGTATATGGAGACGTTCAGTATATAACTGTTATTTCTTGAAATGCTCAATTTAATTATGCTTATTCTTGAATGATTATTAAATTGGTGCATGATTTTAGAATGGTGGTATGGTTCATTTTTACCTGATTCTTGTAAACTGGAAGACGACAATTTAAACATTCCTTTATTGTTTTAGTAAAATTATATCTGATAGTTATTGTTCTAATAATGAAGGTATTGACAAAATATTTTGAATTCATATCTGTCAATGTAACTGTAGCATAGACTTGACCAGTAGTCCCCACATGATTTTGAAAAAGTTAAAATTACTCAGACTTCTTCTGAAACAAACAGTAATTAAAAAATCTACTACAAGATAGAATGTCTTCACCTGTCTTTATTGAAATCACATAGTCACGTTCTATGACCAGACACCTACATGTAGATATTGAGAATCTCTAAGAGAGGTGGCTGACAGACACCGAAACATCAGCAGGGTATGATCCTTATATACCATCCTTTTGTTGTGACCTGTACTTAACCCAATGGGTATGTGTGTACAATAAAGGTCTTCATTCATTATATCCTATAAGTTAGTCCAACCTAATTAGACTATTTTTCGGAAGTGAGTATTTTTATTTGAAATGAGCATCCAGGCATTACACATACAAGTAAAAATACATCTACCTGTATCGGTGTGTCCAGGTATGGCACTAATTATGGCCAGTTGAGTCTTGATACGCTCTATTTGGGGGCCTGCATGCCCTTATTCGTAAGGCGTATTATCAGGCCTTTTTCGTCTTGCCTGAGGCTATTGACAGGATCGTCCTGTCAACAGCAAGAAATACTGCACTGCTGACAGGATCGTCCTGTCAATAGCAGAAAATACTGCACTGCTGACAGGACGATCCTGTCAATAGCAGAAAATATTGCACTGCTGACAGGACGATCCTGTCAATAACAGGAAATACTGCATTGCTGACAGGATCGTCCTGTCAGCAGTGCCATTTTTGACACTGTTGACAGGATCGTCCTGTCAGCAGTGCCATTTTTGGCACTATTGACAGGATTTTTTAAATCTTCCATTTTGGGCTGTATTGACATGATTTCTTCTTTGTTTTCATTTTTTAACCAGTCAGAAGGCTACTGTACTGCAGATTAGGCGTTTCACGATGGCGGCTATCATCACGTTAACAGTTATCAATACAGAGTTTGTTGGCCTCTTCTTCGTGTCCGAAGATACTAGGAAGTCAGTCCTTCATGTGGCTGCAGGCCCTCATGTGGCTGTGATGAATACAGAGTACTCCAGCAGATATTTGTCAAAACTAGACATGTTCAAAATATAAATACAAGCGAATTTCATGCATAAGCTGTCTGAAATACGAAGGCGGTTACATGAGATGAAGACAATAAAAAGGACAAAAAGAAGTTGATCTCTATCCATTATTTATTCTTTCAACAACTTCGAAATCAAATGGAACAAATCCAGGAAAGTACCGCTGGTGTGGCCGGTTCAGCTAGCCGGCCCGCTAACAACAACAGCCCCCTGGCGCGCGTATCCAGCTGGCCACCGAATTTTACCGGCCCCACTGGGCCCCCAGTACCGGCAAAGGCACGCTGCAGGGCCTGGCACGCTGGTTAGTGTTACTGTTACTGGGGGCGGGTTGTTGTGTTGCTGTTTGCACGCCTGACGGTTAACCCTGGGTGCCCCAGAGTCCGGCGTTTATTTGGCGATAGATTTCGGGAGAAACCGTATTTGTCCGCTACCATTATCCACCCAAACCCCTTCGTCCACGCGAAGCCCTCTATATAAACGCCTCATGCGCGAGGAGATATTTAGAATTTAGACCCAGTGTGCCAAGTAGGTCTGCCGGGAGTATGGCTTCCCGTGACTTTTACTTAGGAGATAGACACTCGCGCGCGGGGTGGCACCCAGGCTAGCCCGACGGGTACCCGCCGGTGGACCGCTGTGTCATTCCCGCGGCGCCGGCTGTAATGGCTAGCGCTTACTGTCGCCCCGACTAGCCTCTACCAGGCACCGTGGATCACTGGAAAAATAATAGAAATTGGCCGAAATAAAGGGAATATATACCAAGGGAGTTAGCCGACCTTATTCCCTTTATTTCGGCCAATTTCTACTATTTTTCTAGCGATCCGCGGTGCCTGGTAGAGGCTAGTCGGGGCGACAGGCACGCACTGCCGCCGCATTGCTTACGGGAGGCCAGGCGCGCGCTACCGAGCGGGGGATCAATGTATGCACGACGATCTGCAGGGGCCGCAGCGCAGGATCGTAAAAAATGGCCTAATAGCATACATAATAACATCTACATAAGACCTACACGAACCAGCGCCCACCCCAAAATTTCCAGTACGAAATAAAAATACCAAAATTTTATCGATCCTGTCAATAGTAGAATAATTTGCACTGCTGACAGGAAAATACCTGTCAGCAGTGCAAATTATTCTACTATCGACAGGACGATCCTGTCAGCAGTGCAATATTTCTGCTATTGACAGGACGATCCTGTCAGCAGTGCAGTATTTTCTGCTATTGACAGGACGATCCTGTCAGCAGTGCAATATTTTCTGCTATTGACAGGACGATCCTGTCAGCAGTGCAATATTTTCTGCTATTGACAGGACGATCCTGTCAATAGCCACAGGCTTTAGGCTTAGTAATCCGTAGGCAGCCTCCCCAAAAATCAACGCAATTCGTAAAAGAACATTAGCCGCAAAGCGTAAAGTCGCCGTCAGCTCTGAGACTTAAACGTAATCGGCGGCAATTTTTTTTTGCGTACGGTAATTCGTAATCACCCCCCCCCCCACTGCAGGCCCTCGTATTTACATGTAGATGCCGACAACAAATACCCCCCCCCCCCCCCAAAAAAAAAAGAGCAAGAAAAACCGGTTCTTTTGCTACCCTGATGCGTTACAGCCAGATAATTACTAGGCTAACTACCTTTACCCAGATGAGACACCACAGAAAGCGAGCGCTCCGTCCCTTCAGGATTTCGTCGCTTTTCTCAGGTGGGAAAAAAGAAGGAGTAAAAGACTCCTGCGCGGAGTCAGACGTGCAGAAGAGATACCGGAAGAACAGGTCCAAGATGCGGTTCTGGGTCTGCAGTCTGCTGCTGGCGTTCTCATGGCTTGTAGCTAAAGGTGGGTTTAGAACACTGCGGAGTTACCTTCATACCTTGATACCAACTTTGGGATGAGAAGGCTTGCCTGTAGTAATCCCGGTCTCAAACTTTACTCAAGTGTTGTACTTCATACTCTCCCAATGTTTGTCTAACCGGTACCGTGTCTTAAACTCGTTGACTGTTTTTGAGTCGACTACGGACTGTAGTAGAGCATTCCAGTCACTAACAACTCTGACGCTAAACGTCTGCCTTTAGCTGTCTGAGTTGTCTTCAGACCTCATCATCTCATGTACGTAGTCTAAATCTCCACAACAACACAGCGGGTTGAAAAGTTGTAGGATTCAGCCAAAAAGAGGGAGAAAAACAGGCCAGGGGAGGTGATGACTTCTTAGGGGAAACGATACTCTTATCACGGTTTCACCTGGTCAATTACTGACCATATGTTTGCCAAATTTTACATTATCCATAACGCCTATCAAAGGAGTCAGGTGGAGGCTATCGTGTTCATGACAGACAAAATAAAGTTACAATAAACAATTGTTGATCAACAAGGTTTTCGATCACTCTTATCTGAAAACCACCTGTTTGAATGTGGGGAATGTGGCTAAGGTGTGTTCGAACTACTGACCTACTGACTGACCCTGTTTCGGTATACAGGACATAATAGTACTATACAATAGTAAGAAAATAGAAGACGACAGATTATAAAGTGACATAGGTGTGTTCTTGATGTTGTGCACGTATCACTATGTATTTGTTTTCATATTACGACGATCAGAAAAATCCCCCTGTTCTCCTAGACTAGTAGTCTTCGACTTATGACATTTTAGTACAGACGCGCAAATTTACCGACGCGATTAATTGGATTCAAGCAAAGCAAAACTTCCGTTGTAAAATGAACACCATTCGACCACAACCAATAATTTGCATAAGCCTACGCAGTGACAGAAGAAGAATACTCATACAAGGAAAACAATATTGTATTTGTGTCCTGTTTTTCTCCCCAGGTAGCACCACCACCAACTATGACAGCTCCACGGACAGCTTACGTCATCTGCTGACCAACCACTTCTCGTCCGACCGCCATCACGTGACCAGTCCTGGCGGGAAGGAGGACGCCGTGACCTTCATCACGGAGACCTTCAGGAAATATGACCTTCAGGTCTTCTCACAGATGTTCGACACGGACAGCAAGGACGTAAGTTTTGTCATGTTTACCGAATTTAAGGAAACATTTGGTTTTTGCTCTGTTTCCTCTTCTTCCTCTTCTCCAAGCCAATAACGTCAATGTCCTGAACCAAACGTCAGTCACCATGTTAACTGGTGTTGGGTTACATCATGTTACAATTTTATAGCAGGAGGGATTTAGACTCCTGTCTGAAAACACATCGGAATGTGTTTGAGTAAGAATTAACAAAGCAGACCAGGGGCCCTAAAAACAACGATTGCTATCTCCAGGTGCTAGTTCCTCGGATCAAAGACTAGCCTGGATACCAGACTGTTTCCAGGGCAAGTATACAGGCTAGCTCCTCGGCTCCAGGGCTAGCCTGGGTGCCAGACTGTTGTCAGGGCCAGTCTACAGGCTAGCTCCTCATCTCAAAGACTAGCCTGGATACCAGACTGTTTCCAGGGCCAGTATACAGGCTAGCTCCTCGGCTCCAGGACTAGCCTTGGTGCTAGAGGGTTTCCAGTAAATTCCAGGGCCAGTATATAGACTAAGACCATCTATTGCTTCTCACAGGTACAAGGAAGGGGGCTAGTCCTCTCGTAGTGCTGTGTGTTTAACTCCCATACTCTTTCCCAAATGCTAAGCAGAGAAAGCAGTATGTACCAGTCTTTAGTATGACTCGGTCGCGGATCAAACTCACGACCTACCGTCAATGCAAGGCGAGCACTCTACCCACTTGGCCTCTGCACCGGTTTTAAGACCATTGATCGCTATATTTTCAGGTACAAGGGCGTAACATCATCGGGACATGGCCGGGCCTGAATACCGGAACACCAGATGACCGTCCTGTGATGATAGCAGCTCACTACGACACGGCCCGCGGCTCCCCGGGCGTGTGCGCGGACGGGTCCGGCATGACGGCACTAATGGAGGCGGTACGAGTCATCACTGCCCGATCGTGCATGCAGGAGAACTCTGTCGTCTTCGCGGCGTTCGACTTCGAGGTGAAGGAAAGTGAGTAAAAATTGATACAGTCAAAACTGCCTAAGAACACCACTCGGGGTACCGATAAAATCTATACACAGTATTATATACACTATAGACTGGATTCTCTTAATGCTTGTGTCAATGACAAAAAACTGTCCGGGTCATCACGGCACGATCGTGCATGCAGGAGAACTCTGTCGTCTTCGCAGCATTAGACTTCGAGGTGAAGTAAAGTGAGTAAAGTTGAATGATTCCCTAGTCTTTGATCCACCGAGAAATTTGATATTGCATTGTAAATTAGCGGTAATTCAGTTTTTTAAGCCTGCCAATGCTAATAAAGTGTGCTTTGTCTAAATTTATGCAGTCAAAGTGCCCAAGACGATCACTCTGGTCTATGTGGTCACTATAGACAGTATTCTCAATGCCTGTGTCAATGATACAAATTACCTAAGGGACCACAACAGAGTAGTCACATTGACCAGGTAGATAGCTTAGAACCATGAAGTCCCGGGTTCGATCCCCAGGCATGCCCGATGTTGTACCCTCGGGAAGGCACAACTTGCCTCACTGTACAGTGGAGTGAAGCTCACAGGTGATGAAGACACACACGGCGAGTTGCCAACATGCCATTAGATCTGCATATTTGTCACTAAAAAAAAACGTAAAATTGAGTTTTTTTAATTGCAGGTGCCACTCTGGACCACGCCGCCTGTCATAACGCCGGCTGCGGAAGCGCCAAGTACCTGAAGGAGCTTCTGATTCCTTACATCAAGAGTCTCGGCATCTCCTCCAACGACTTCCAGGGAGCCTTCGTGCTGGACTCCGTCATGAACTTCAACAGCACCGAGGACAGTCAGCGTCTTCCGGAGGAGGAGCGCTTCAAGGAGGTGCGTTAATGTTCTTCATGAGTAAAAGGAAAGAAAACCTAGTTGCAACAAACGGTCATATACCATTAACTTTACAACGTTAAACGTTAGTGCGCAGAAGAATGTTAGACACAAGGGTAAACAATAGTCATAGACTATCCAAACTATACTACATGTACTAGATAACTTGAGAAGGTTAATTATTGACTTATTGAGTGACATCCATCACCCATCTTCTGCATCACCAAAATGGCCTTAGCATAACTTACTAGTCAGCGCTTACATATGAGTAACTGGAAAAACGATTAAACATGACGAAGACTCGAAAATGTGGGAGATGGGAGTCTTAGGCTTTTAAAAGAAGTTTTGATGTTGGTATACCGCCTTAGAAGGAAGTAGGTGACCAAAAATGGTGCTGTTACTTTGATCATAAAAAAGCGACCAAAATACACAAATATTCGATCTCCAGGCCCCGGGGTTGCAGGAGGCCTACACGCGGATCCAGGCTGACGGCAGCAGGGGTGACTTCATCGCGCTGGTCGGGCGGAACTTCGACTCGCCGCTGTACCAGAAGTTCATCTCGGCATGGGAGGCCCTGCCGGACAACAGGTTCAAGAACCAGGTAACAACAAGGCGTCTTGTATGCAGTTATCCCCCTGTGCATGTATATGCAAAGAAAAGTGGGGAAAATTAACTGGCGTCTACCCTCATTGTGGAACCAGTCTGTGTTGTGCTAAGGAGGGCGACAGGCGGTCCCCAAATCGCCGGTCCTGTATAGAAATAGGCTGTGAATAAAGAAAACGTACATCTCGGCCTGGGAGGCCCTGCCGGACAGCAAGTTTAAGAACCAGGTAACAGCATACAAGATACATTCAGATTTACTGATATCTGATGTCATTCACGAAAATTTTCACAGCAAAAGAGAAAAGGGTATCGAAGCCCCGAACTTCCGACGGCATACTTTCTTTGATTTATTTTTAAACCTACACTTAAACGAAGAGACCGTCGCAGCATTTCAATAATCTTTTTCTCTTCTTTTCCTTCCTCTTTATTTTTTTAAAGCTGTTGCACATGCCTGAGAAAGATCTCCCGGCCGAACTGGACCCGTACTGGGACGTCTACAACAAACTGACGCACGGAGATCACTACAGCTTCTGGGTAGCCGACTCCGACCTCCGGGCCATACACATTACTGATTCTGGTTGGTATAGATTCATTTGTCTTTCCGTATTGAATAGTAGAGACGTTATACTAACTACAGACGATAGTAGATTCCCAAGATAACATTATTACTACATGTACTTTCTAAAGATGCGCATAAAAAAATATAATTTAGAGCAAAATCAAATCGGATTTGATCAAGACACAGTAGTCGATACGCGTGGACGATCCAGAGCCGTGCCTATCTAGGCCTATGCCTGAATGGGTTTGGTTTAGGATCAGGCACGGTTCTGGATAGTCTCCGCGTATCGTAAAAAAAAAACCGTAGATTTTCTTTCTTCAGGCACGTAACTCAATATTTTTCCCCTTTTTTTTTTTTACCCCAGCCCAGGAGCGCGGCTACATGCAGGAGTGTTTCCACAAACCCTGTGACGACACGGATCACGTGACCGCCGACAACCTGGCGTTCCTGAAGAAGGTGACAGACGCCACCATCGCCACTGTCATGCAGATGGCGACATATCCGGACACGTGCCTCGGTATGTTTAAAGTTCAAACTTTAGATCCAACACAAAGAAGTTCTTTGACCTAGAGCTTTCGACCAGTCACTCTGGTCTTCCTCAGTAGACTGACCCAGTGAGGATTGTCACGTGGCTTCTTTGAAGTGTGACGTCAACACGAACTGAGTCAAAGGCAGACGATGGTAGACTGGTAGACGATGTCGGCCCCCGTCGCGGTTGAGTGAGGGGTGATGGGCCCTGATGTAAATAGCCCCTTTCACCCCTCTCAGGAAGTAGTCTTGTTCGGTGTCCAATGTCTACTGGAACAGAATGTCCTGGTAACTCGATGCAAATGTGTTGTGATACTTGTGAGATGGCTGAACTCTAGCCTCTACCAGGCTTGAGGAGGCGGCTGGAAAGAGTAGAAATAGAGAGATAAGCATGCCAGGGGAGTTTGGCCGTTGAGAGAACAGTTCGCCGCCCCACAACTGTTCTCTCAACGGCCAAACTCCCTTGGCATGCTTATCTCTCTATTTTGGCCGATTTCTACTCTTTCCAGCCGCCTCCTCAAGCCTGGTAGAGGCTAGGCTGAACTCGGCCGTGAGTGCACTTGGAACCTTGCCTTCTCACACCTTTTCGTTGTCCGTACACCGATTCCCCAGACCTCCTGAAGAGTGGGATAGCGCTGACAGGGAAGTCCTGGCGCCTGACTGCTGCAGGAAAGGAGGAGGAAACCTCAAAATAAATAATAATAAATAAACAAATAAGTAAATAACAATGAAGTTTGTTTCTTGTTTTCCAGACCCGTTCAACGATTCCCCAGACCTCCTGAAGAGCGGGATAGCGCTGACAGGAAAGTCCTGGCGGCTGAAAGGAAAGGAGGAGGAGACCTTCTCCCTCAGTATCGACATCGACACGGTCAAACCGAACGGTGCTGTGGAGGCTGTCATGGTGAACTCAGAACTACAAGTGCCTCTCGATGGTAAGCTAAAAGTGACCGAAATAGATAATGATGTTTCTGTATTGATACGCAACTTATGTCTCTCGATGGTAAGCTAGAACATGTTTCTGTAAGACTGTAGACTAGTAGTTTCCTAGGTACTCCCATAGTCTCGCGCCCTAAATTTCGTTACGGTAGCAGTTTAGCAGTAGAGGCTGTCATGACGAGCTCAGAACTACGGGTGCCTCTCGATGGTAAGAACATGTTTCTGTAAGGCTGTAGCGACGCCTAGGGTAAGCTAGAACCGATCCAGATACATGAGTATGAAACTGACTTTGGAGAGGGAAAGGAGGAGGAAACTTTCTCCCTCAGCATCGACATCGACACGGTCAAACCGAACGGTGCTGTGGAGGCCGTCATGGTGAACTCAGAACTACAGGTACCTCTGGATGGTAAGAACGTGTTTCTGTAAGACTGTATAGTTGCCTAGGAACTATCCTATTTGTATAAGGGAGATCACAAGGGGCTCCCCTACTCGCTCCCTGAATTTCGGATCGGTGAGGATAAGGAGTCCCATAGAAATTTGGCAGTAGAGGGAGTCATGGTGAACTCTGAACTACAGGTGCCTCTGGACGGTAAGCTACAACCGACCGAAATACATGTTTCTGTAATATTGTCGAAGGTTTAGGCATCAGCTTGTTTTTGATGCGTGTTTAGGCGTTTTTTGTATTGGCATCTTTTTTACGCCAAATGTGGCAAATGGTAACTTCTTGTCTTGCAGCCGCCAAAAATCGTCTTGCCATCTTGGAGATTATTTCTGTAAGATTAGATATAGAAACATATGTTTCCTGAGAGGTCTGATAGAAACAGATATACCGTTCATCACTAAATCTGAAATTTAAAACTCTTGACAGGATACTCAAAAAGCATTACAAAATAGAAAACCCAACAAAGAAAACGCATTAATTGGTAAACTTTGGAAAACTTCCGAAACCATGCCTAACTTTTGCTAATGTCTTAACCTAACTAACTTTAACAATCTTTCATCTGACAATCTTCTGACTACGTTGGCTAACACGATAAAGAGTAGTCCGCAAGTTTGTTCCTAGATCCTACAGCAAATGCTGATTTATGCCTTTATTTCCCCTGTAGTTGTGGGCAGGTACAACGCTGACAACAAGAGACTCGTCCTCCGATTGGCCGAGCCAAGCCACGTGACCAAAGGTGCCAAGCCGATCGACCCGACGTTGCTGCAGAGGTGGACTGTGAACGGGGAGGTAGGGACCAGTAAAAAATCTTAAGATATTGATCGCTAACTTGATAACCTCCACACATCAAAGAACCCAACACACTTGTCGTAGGGGTGACCCATTGTGCTTGGTTATAAACACGAGCTGTAGGGCATTCGCATCACGCTTCCCCTCAGTTTAGGGCGACAAAAAATTAAGAGAAGATGAGAGCCAGACAAACTATCAAAAGATTACGTATTGCACAAATGCTGTAGAAGTACCATGGGCTTTGACTTTGACTTAATTCAGATCCACATGAACATATAGAATGCATTAGAGAACATTGGAAATTATTTCCTCGATTGTTGAGATTTCTAACCTAAACGTGGTTCTCTTGCCGCTGATATCTCAGGTAACCGGTTTCCCCGGAGGTCTGGTGTATTTCGGCTCTCTGAGCGGGATGCAGGACAGCACTGATGACGCCATGGAAGAACATGGACATCTAACGCATAATAAATATTATTGGACATAAGCTCAAACTCCATAAAAGCCTTGTCTTGATCATTTTGATATCCCAGGTAACCGGATTCCCCGGGGGTCTGGTGTACTTCGGCTCTCTGAGCGGGATGCAGGACAGTACTGATGACGTCATGGAGGAGTTCAACATCGCCTACTCAGAAGGCAAGGGGAAACATTTTATCTTAATATCCTTTACATCAAATACACAGTAAACCGGTTCTTAGATTTGGACGTAGAATATGTTTGTGCTTTAACCTGTCCTTAAGAAAAATATTTCGTTAACTACTTGATAATTCGCTTTAACATTTTATCTTATCCGTCTTGAGATACATGTTAAGAAGCTGGTCCTTAGATTCTTATGTAGAATACTTTAACTTTGTATTTTAACCTACCATTACATGAACAGATATCGTATATTGCAATTGTTTACGATTGAATACATCGCTCTAACCCTATTATTGGTACGGACGTATGGTACGGATTTTGCTCCGCATCGCTAGAAAAACTCTGGCGTAGCTGAGCAAAATCCGGATGGTACACAGGCTAAACTTCAGTCAGATGAGTTTCATTTTCGTTACCGATGTAGAAAGTTTATACGTAGACGTCTCCAACTCCCATACGAATTATCAAATCACTTTTACACCCTTGATTCGATTGTCCATCAATCTTGGTCTATTGACACGTAACGCCCAATTGAACGTTTGAATGAATATCATAACCATTACCTCCCGTTTTCCCCACATGTACAGACCCTACAGTCGGCCTCCGCCAGTCGAACACTGTCCTGTTCATAATTATAGCTATGTCTATTGCCATGTAACGCCCAAATGCTCGTTTTAACTGGATTCTCACTCTCCCGTTATCCCCATACAGACCCTACAGTCGGTCTCCGCCAGTCGAACACTGCCCTGGCTGTCCTGTTCGCTCTGACACTGGTGCTGCTGATAGCGACTGTAGCTTATCTCTGCTACGTCAAGTAAGGAACTACAGTACTTGTCCAACTAACTCCGTCCCAAAGGGTCGATGAATGATGATGATGCTTGTTTGATTAGTTTACATTAGTTAGATTCCATTACAGCATAGTTCTTTCTCTAGTGACAATTTCTCAGCTTTTTGGACACTTTTGAAACACTATATGTCAAAAGACAAAATATTAACCCAACATACAAACTATTTATTTGTGTGACCTGTACTTCACTCATTGGGTATGTGCTATGTACAATAACTGTACAATACTTCATCCATCCATTTTGCAATTTGTTAAATCATGATCTTTTCCCCTCCTGTACTCAGGCGCACCTACCAGCCCTTCACCCAGATGACCGAGAAGACTTCAATCAACGTTGTGACTTAGACACATCTCTGCACACAATGGAAAATGAAAACAGCAATTTTCACTAATTGATGAATACAGATAAAATCACGGGAACCAACTATCCACTGCAACTATGATTATAAACTGTGTTAGGACTTGACGAGTTAGTTTGGGGGAGTTTTATATCTGTATCGTTCACACAACTATGTACATCACTGTTTTGTTCTCGACAATAAACTGTTTACCTGTACACCTGAAATAGTTTTTGGTGTCTTTAATCTACTCGCAAAGAAGCAACTATTGACCTACCGACCTTTTGGATTCCTGAGCTCCAGACACGGGCCTGTTGATGCAGAAAAATTAATCGTTACTTTATGAGTCCTCGTTCGGCTGTTTAGGTATCCCCCCTCCACCAATACGCCTCAGAAAACGAGTACGGAATCTTTATTACTTCAATTAAACTAACTTACACTAGTCTGACACACATGTCCTCAGTTCGTGTTGTACGGAAACGTCGCCTCAAAAATATAAGCGCTATATTCAGGCAAACGCCTTCTTCTACATGAACACCCATGTCCCCTATATATAGGCTGACCCGTTATGACCTTGCCAGCGAGCTAAATCCAAAAAGACCGGATTTTCAACTCTCGATCACCAGCTCAGCAGAGACTAGGCGCCAGCCTGTGCAGGGCTCACCACGGATTTTTAGGTTACCGTAGTGAAAAACGTTTTGTTCTGAGCGTGTTGAGTGTTAGTAGCCCGTACTGAAGCTGGTGTACCGCCGCTATCTGAACATGGCTCTGCACGACTGGCTGGCGGTTGGGTTTCTGCTGATGGTCATGGGTGGTAAGTTTGTGTTTAGCTCAAGAATGTGTGTAGAACTAGTCACTACGAAAATCGTCGCTGCGTCAAGCTAATCATAGCTAGCTATTCCAAGCTAAGTACTATGCAGGTATTTTGACGAAAACCGTACATAGTAAGCGAAAACAAGAAACGAAATTGCAGGGTAGACATAGTTGCAGTGCCTCGCGAGCCACTGCCAAAATTGACAACCCTACATACTACTGCAAAAATTGGTATCTCAAAGCAAGACTTCATCTTCACTGTACATTTCAATTTGTTAATGCAGTGAGGGTCGGTTGTTAAAGGTATCTAGTGAAAACTCATAGTTCTGTTATAATATTCTGTAACATGAAAAGGGGCGTAACTTTTTACAGACAAGCAATTACCTTGAGGTATAATACCGCAAGGCCCCCTTAACACCATGAAACACCTTAATACCTTAATTGGCGCACTGACCTTTGAAAGTCCACCGACCTATAACTACAGGCGCTGGGACGGTGCAAGGCCAGGCAAGGGACACTGTGGTCTCGTTTGTAATAATTTGCCACAGTTTGGGCACTATAGCACTATAGTTTGGGCACTATTAGCATCGGCCTTCCAATCCATCGAATGTGGTTGTAGTTGCTTGATCTGGCACCTGGATTTTCCACCCCATTGCCTAAAAAGGGAGGGATGTGACCTTTCATAAGTGTAGTCAGCTATACGCAAAGCCCCTGTCACACATTCAGAACCCTCCCACCATTTTTCTCCCGACCACTTGCTAACCAAGGTCGGCCCTGGGTATGGAGCAGCCTGAAATCCATGATATTACAGATTACTTTTCCGGCCTTATTTTAAAAACTTATAGTCGGCACAGAATACTTTAACAGAATGGTAGGCAAAACTCGTCTACTGAGACCCCACCACATATGACCATTCTCAAGAATCCCGGCCACGGTCTTGAGAACGTTGGGGGCCATGGTCTGCTATGTGTGGTAGAGGCTGAACAGTCTGTAACAAACCATGAAAAAACCAAGATCACAATATATGCAATGCACAAGATGAAATATGTGTAAAATATACAACTAGTATGCAGGGAAGTGTGAATGATTTCAGAGCCGTAGTGTGCTTCTTGTCGACCATAAAGTCGCTGACCGCCCCTCCCAGGTACCGTCTCTAGCGACAGGAGTTCCACGGAGAACCTGCGGAAGATCCTTGTAGACCATTTCTCGTCCAACCGGTTCCACCACAAAGTCTATGTTAGAGGTCTATGGCCACAAGCTCTCAGGGAGGAGGCCCAATCAGCCTAGCCTCCATAGCATGTCAAAAACTGGGGGTTTTGGGGGTCTTCATGGTCTTTGGGAGCTTTTGTGTGCTATTTTCTGATTGCATATAGCCGGCCTGGTTGGTTGAATTACCCCCGTTTTTCAATCAGAAAACAGCCGAAGACCACCAAACCCCCGGTTCTATAAGCCTGCTGCGGAGGCTACAATATCAGCCCCTGAGAGTCACAGGCTTCTACATAGGAACGTGATTGATTGTAGTGCCTCTTTCCGTCCACCCAGGTACCGCTGTTGGTGAAAGCAGTACCACGGAAAACCTGCGGAAGATTCTGGTGGACCATTTCTCGTCCAACCGGAACCACCGCACCAGCGGCATCGGGAAGCAGTCGGCGCTACAGTTCACGTACGACACCTTCGTACAGCACAACCTGCAGGTCTTCACACAGGAGTTCGAGACGGATAACCCACAGGTAAACTGCATATAGCATACTAGATATACAGGATGACTAGTTTCCTCCGGGTATTGTTTTGGGTGGCTCTACTTTGTGCTAGGTTCGTATGTTTGGATTCCAAAGCACTATTTGTAGGTCTTCACTCAGGAGTTCGAGACGGATAACCCCAAGGTAAAGTACTGCATTTAGATAACAGAGGAAGATTACGGTGGAGAAATTAATGGATCCTTCCGGGACGGAAATATTGTTTTGGGTGGTTTAGGTCTGTATGTTTGGGTTTCAAAGTTGATTGACAGCATAACCTACAGGTTTTCTACCAGAGGAATGTATACTGCATCTACAAACTCGTATGTAATCTTACTTACTCCATAGTTTTGATTATGTATATACACCGTTTCTCCAACAGGTGAAGGGCCGGAACCTTATCGGAGTGTGGCCTGGCTCCCGGACCGCCACGAACCTAGACCGGCCGATTCTGATCGCGGCTCACTACGACACTTACACGGACACCCCGGGCGTGTGTGTAGACTTCCTTCACCAACCTGCTAATTTTTTACTGATCCAACCATCCCTTTCTATTATAGGTCAAGGGCAGGAACCTCATCGGAGTGTGGCCTGGCTCGAGGACCGCCACTAACCTGGACCGGCCGATCCTGATCGCCGCTCACTACGACACGTACCCGGACACGCCAGGCGTGTGCGCAGACGGCTCGGGCATGGCTGCGCTACTGGAGGCGATCCGGGTCATCACGGCCCGGCCCTGCATACAGTACAACTCTATCATATTCGCAGCATTCGACTTTGAGGAGAAGGATACGAGTAAGTCATGAAGTCCATCTTTTATTCTTCAAGCAGATCTTTCGGTGAGGCAGTTAGCCTGGCTACCAGACCTGTTATAGCTCTCGAGTCCTACATCCTACGTCGTAAATAGAGGGTATAGGACTCGGGAGCTATAATAGGTCTGGTTTAAGCAGGCTACCAGTCAGTATCAAATTGGCGAGGTAGTATCCATTACCACCGAAGGCAAATGGATACTGTCTAGCTCATGGATACTGCCTGGCCAATGTGATATTGTCTTGCGGCAACTGAAATATTTTCTTTAAGATTACACTTCTTGAAGAGTATACTGCCATAGACTGGAATCCAGCCTTGTGAGCTTTACATGTAGTCTGCTCACCAAGCGAGGTAGCGGATGTTGGACAGCGGACTAACTAACGCTAACAAGGCTGGGCTGTAGTCTATAGCTGACAGGTCGGGCATGGCGGCACTACTGGAGGCAATCCGGGTCATCACGGCCCGGCCCTGTATACAGTACAACTCTATCATCTTTTCAGCGTTCGACTTTGAGGAGAAAGACACGAGTGAGTATATACAGTGTATAAAGTGTACTTGCAACATCATGCGAAATCCATGCCCAAGAAAACAGTTACTAAAGCAACTGGATAGAGTTTGAAAACTGTCAGATGTTTCAAGTCCTACTTGTCAGTGACTCATATCTATTCAGTTGCTTGTTTATCTGTCGGGTCTGTACCAATTCAGGCATGGAACTAGATAGGCACGGTTCTGGATACAACACAGCCTTAGATTTTGCCAGCATTACTTTCTACTGGTCATAATGCTGATTTTGCCTTGATGATTCCCCAGCCACACCAGGCTCTGCCTGCCAGACCTTCGGCTGCGGAAGCCGCGCGTACGTGAGCGATGTTTTGGTGAAATACCTGAAGTTTGTCGGGATCAGCTCGGCACAGTTCCAGGGCGCCTTCATACTGGACTCTGTACTCAACTTCAACGACTCCGCGGACAGCCAGAAGCTCCCGCCCGGCGACTTTCGAAACGTGAGAACTTTTAATCACACTATATATATATGGTGCAGATATAAGTAACGTTTAGTTTTGGGGGATTGTTGTACGTAACGAACCGTGCTCTATCTATGCTGGAACGGACGCGTATCCAGAACCGTGCCATGGGCAAATCTACGCCCTTGGATAAGTGAAGACTCTCCAGAACCGTGTCTGCATCCTATGACATAGATAGGCAAGGTTCTGGGTACAATAGGGCGTTAGAATTATCTATCTAC